TTCCAGCGTACAAGTCTTCGACTGGTGCCTCGCTTCAGAATTCCACTCCCCTGAATTCCATGTCCAATGGACGCGATTCTCTGGGGGCGGAAGCCAAGGACGCTACCCCAGGCGCGGTGCCAAGTGTCATCGGTACCTCGCGCGCTTCGGATGAGAGTACTGCCTCGGGCGTTCAAACGTCTTATGGTAGCTCTTCATCTTCGTCGATGATGTCGCTTGGACAACGAGTTGGAGCTCTAGCGCTTGTGGCCCAGAGTGCCGGTGGCTTCGCAGCTACCGGCGAGCTTGGGTTTCAGGTCACCATACAGTCATCCCGTCGCGTCTTGTGTCAGTCGACCAAGATGACGTGGAGATGACATCGTCGGTGCACTCTGACCCAGAGATCGCACCCAGGAAGGCCGGTCTCCCCAGTGTTTCAGCCACGACTTCCGAACTGGAACTCAGGGTTTCTGCCCCGATTTCTGGATTTGGTGGTCCAAGGGATGTCAGTGCCGATGAGCCGAGTCAACACCAGAGCCCTAAGAGCGAGGTGCGCTCTCGACGCTCGACGAAATCCAGAAAATCACCTGCGTCGAGTCGTTCGAATGGATCCAGGAATCTTGGGTCAGCTTCGTCCGTATCCGCGAGGTCTGGGCCCGCCCAAATCGAGCTGAATGTCTTGCGACAACAGCAGGAGTGGCAGGCCCGCATGGAACAGGAGCAACGCGAGTTTCTCGCGAGAGAACGCCTGGGTGCCTTGGAGCGCGAGCGCCTCAGGGAATAACGTGACCTGGACGCGCGTCGCCAAGGGTCCTGTTGTGTTTGTATACTCTGTATTTGTTGGTTTTATCGAGCTAGGAGGGCATTTGGGTAAGGTGTCTTCTGAGTTCCACGTCCAGAGTTGACTGAAATCCTGGACCCTGAATTCGTGATATTCTGGATTTCGGGGGATCTGATTCTGTGGGTTTGCCTTTGGTGTGGAGGTGCGTTCTGAAGTAAGTGTGCACTCCCGCACTTCTTCGAGGCTATATTTACAACCGGTGGAGTGCCGTTCCATCGAAAACAAACGAGCCGACAGGGATTACACAAGGTACCCACGCCAACCAAGGAGTGTGATTCTCAGGGTTTAAAGCTTTGCGGCTGCGAATCTCTGGGTCTGCTGTTGACTCTCAAGTCGATTCTCTGCGTCTACAGCCTGGGGAACAGTCTTGGACTGCGCTATACGAACCCCCCTGGGCGATAAAGGTTTCATCGGCCTCGTCGCAGCTGGTGCGCGTGCCCGGATTCGATTGTCGAGGATTTCGCCGGAATCAAGTGTTGAAGAAGTGCTGAGTGCCCGTCAACTTCAAGCTACCAAGATTCCTGGAGGACGAGGGGCGAAGAAGAGTGGACGCGGTGACGGAGGACGCGGTGAGGTGTCACGTCAGTCGCATCGTGTTCAAGGTATGGGGCCTGAGGAGCACAAGGACCTGGAAAAGTCGTCCGCGACGCTCGGAAGGCGAAGAAGGCTGCTCGCGAGAGCGAGGCAGTGCAAGGTGGGGACGTCAAGGCGTCTGCAGTTCAAGATCAGCCTGCTGCTGGATCGCAAACTGAGGAGGAAGAGGTTTCCCCTGAGTTCCAAGGCTCGACGGAGGGGAACTCTGGGTCGCGGATTCCTGAAGTCCCAGAGGAGCACACCCGCGAGGGTGGTGCTCAGGCGTCTGAGGGAGGCGCCAATGCGGTTGAGCCTCCGGAGGTGATTGACTTGGTCTTATCTTCGGACGAGTCTGTTGTGGAAGTGAAGCCGGAACCCGTGCGAGCGAAGGAGGAGGCGAAGACTCAGAGCTCCAAGGTGAATTCTGGGTTCGCACCACCTGAACCCAGAGTTTCAGCACCAAGCTCGCAAGCGGCACCCAGGATGACGCCTGAAAGCGACATCCAGGAGGCTGCTGCGCCTGCTCAGGAACCAAGAGCAGCGGCGTTGGACGCTGAGAGCATGGTGCTGTACGTCCGACGTGAAGTTCGACGCTGGGAAGAGGTGAATCCTGGGAAGGTGACGCCGCCAAGTGTTGTTTATGAGTGGCCGACTCCGAAACCGGACGCCAACTCGTACTTCGCGGCCGCGTACGCAACGGGAGACTACTTCAAGTGGCGTTTGTCTCTGGAGAATCAAGATGAAGCCTGGATCTCTGAGTTTCACCTCGCCCGGTGGGGCGTCGGAACTGCCCAAGATCTCATGGCGACTACGATCCCCCAGAATATCATGACCGCACGCGAGTGCGTCGCCAATCTGCAGACTCTGTTCTTCGAAGCCGGGTTTGAGTTTGTCAACTTGATCCTTGGTTGGTCTTCGACGCGTGCTCCAGGATTCCAGAAAGTCGGGTGCGCTCTGTCATGTAGGAAACCCAGAATTTCATCGCCATGGAACTGGTCGAGTGGAGATTGGTGATAGCTGGTGTGCCTTTCAAGGTAAACTCTGAAGATCACGCCGCACCAAGCGCCCAGGAGCAAGCACCAAGACTGGACTACCACAAGGAAGACGGAGACGGTGATCTATTGATGACGGACTACGATGCGGATCTACTGGGCCGACAGTTTGTCCTGAGATTCTGAGATTCAGAGTCACTGGACTCATGATTTCACAGAGCCCACGAGGGTCGAGTGATGGTGAGCCGCGATCCAAGCACACTCAGCATGGACCGCCTCGCCCGCAAGTCCCGTCAACGCCATCCGCGCTGTCTACACCGTCGCTGTCCTCTCTTCCAGCGTACAAGTCTTCGACTGGTGCCTCGCTTCAGAATTCCACTCCCCTGAATTCCATGTCCAATGGACGCGATTCTCTGGGGGCGGAAGCCAAGGACGCTACCCCAGGCGCGGTGCCAAGTGTCATCGGTACCTCGCGCGCTTCGGATGAGAGTACTGCCTCGGGCGTTCAAACGTCTTATGGTAGCTCTTCATCTTCGTCGATGATGTCGCTTGGACAACGAGTTGGAGCTCTAGCGCTTGTGGCCCAGAGTGCCGGTGGCTTCGCAGCTACCGGCGAGCTTGGGTTTCAGGTCACCATACAGTCATCCCGTCGCGTCTTGTGTCAGTCGACCAAGATGACGTGGAGATGACATCGTCGGTGCACTCTGACCCAGAGATCGCACCCAGGAAGGCCGGTCTCCCCAGTGTTTCAGCCACGACTTCCGAACTGGAACTCAGGGTTTCTGCCCCGATTTCTGGATTTGGTGGTCCAAGGGATGTCAGTGCCGATGAGCCGAGTCAACACCAGAGCCCTAAGAGCGAGGTGCGCTCTCGACGCTCGACGAAATCCAGAAAATCACCTGCGTCGAGTCGTTCGAATGGATCCAGGAATCTTGGGTCAGCTTCGTCCGTATCCGCGAGGTCTGGGCCCGCCCAAATCGAGCTGAATGTCTTGCGACAACAGCAGGAGTGGCAGGCCCGCATGGAACAGGAGCAACGCGAGTTTCTCGCGAGAGAACGCCTGGGTGCCTTGGAGCGCGAGCGCCTCAGGGAATAACGTGACCTGGACGCGCGTCGCCAAATCCAGGAACTCACGGATCGCTTGGTCCACGCTGAGATCGCCCGAGGAGAAGCGGAACGGCGTGCGCAGGACGTGTAGGCTCGCCAGACCCAGAGTTCCACTGAAACTCAGGGGATGACCCAGAGTATCACGGAAGCTGTACGACTTAAGCGTGAGCGCCTGGATGCCGCCTACGCCGAGCGCTGGCAACAGCGCGAAGCCGAAGCCGACTCGGAGCGCACGCGCTGGGTTTCCGAGACCTAACAAATGTCAACTATGGAGCAGAAGGTCCAAGAACTTGAGGCGGAGAAAGAGCGAGAGCGGGAGTCTTCCGAGAATATCCAGCGCTTCCACGCCGGCCAAGTGCGCGACCTTCGTGCAACATTGGCCCAAGTTCAAGCGCGTCGCGCAACCGTCGCCCCTGATATGGCAACAAATGTGAGGTCGTCAGTGGCTCAGAACCCTGAAGTTGCAACCCGACCCCAAGAATCCAGTGGCGTAATCAACGGAAACGCAAGTGTCACAGGCCAGAGACGGGAGACAGCTGATCCGAAGAACACTTCCGAAGTCGCCGTCTCCCAGCTAAGAGCGACCCTCGCGCAGACTTCCGCCGACACTTCCGGCAGAATCGCGCGCGTCAAGCGGGGACATGGCGCTACGGAGACCAAGGTGACGCAGGATGTCAAGCTCGAGCCTGTGTCTCTAGGGAAGACGTCGGATCCCAGGAGAACAGCGACCTCTAAGGCCTCGCAGGACTCTAAAACAGACTCCAAGCGCTCTGCACCCAAGAAACACCAGCAGAAGAAGAAGAAGCGTCGGGATGTCAATCCACCCTCGGACTCAGACCCAAGCTCCGATTCCAGCGATGATGACTCGTCGTCTGAGAGTTCGGATGACAGTTCGGACGGGATCCCTGTGGTAAACCTGACGACGGCCTCTACGGCTCAAGCTGGCACTACGCTCCTGACGTTCAGACCGTACATCAACTCGAATACTCTCGGTGACTTCGATACTAAGGCGTCATTCAGGGAACGCGTGCATTGGTGGGAGCGTTTTGCGAACATGGCGGCTCAGGGAGGTTGGTCTACGAAGATGCAAATTCAGGAACTCAAGTTGAAACTCTCGGGAGCTGCGCGTGACTGGTTCAACCAGTTGCCCAAACACACTCAGCGAGACTGGAAGGAGTTGGCGTCTGCATTCAGGAAGAAGTACTACAAAGCGCGCTCGTCATACTCTGAACGCTACTTCACGATGGAGATGAAGAACTCAGAGAGCGCCCTGGATTTCTTCTATCGTCTGAATTCCGCCGCTGGGAAGGCTGGCATTGACTTTCATAAGACTTCGAAGCGTCTGGGGAAGCATATCCGGAGGTTCATCACGAAACTCAGGGACACGCGCCTCAAGACGTCGCTGCAAGGTCAGAGATTCGGAAGTATCGCTGATCTGGATTATGCTTTGGAGCAGGACGAAGATGTCTGGAGTCGCAGTGACCAGGATGCTCCGCCACCCAGAGTTCGTGACTTTCGTGCCGACAACATTCCTCAGGGACGTTTCAAGCCGAAGCGACAAGGACGTGCGTACGTGACTAGGGGCGATGTCTCTGACTCTGAGTCGGACGAAGACCCTGAAATTCACGCGCGTTTCCAGGAAATCACGGACGAACCCAGAGTTTCACCCCGAAGTGCGAGCGCGAATTCAGGGTCAACTCGTGAGATCTCTGGAGAAGAAACTTCTACGTCTAGCGCTGGGAGCCTGGCGAGTATGAAGGGTGCCGAGTGGACTCAGACGCTGACGAACGAGGTCTATCGCGTGATGGATAACATGGGATGGCGTCTACCGAACGCCCAACCAGGACCGAACGCGAACTCTGGATTCCGTTCCCCTCGCCGCGAAAACCCGAAATAGGTCAAGTTCTGCGAGAAGTGCGGCAAGTGGGGGCACCCAGAGGAAAACTGCTGGAAAGACGTGAAGTGTGATCGCTTCCTGGAAGTGGGTACTTGTGTCGCGCGCAACAGTGCGAGAACTGTGGCAAACTGCATCTCGGGAAACCGTGTGAAGACTGGAAGACACTGGAAGCTGTGAAGAAACTCGCCCGCCAAGGTGCACTGAAGGACATGCCGAGCCAAATCCTGGATGAACTCCTGGATGGCGAAGCAAACTCTGGGAGGCCGTCAAACCAATAAGCCCGCTGGGTGGGGACCCAGTACGCGCCGGGCTGAAGAAAGCCCCAGAGTTATATGTTCTAGTGTATGTAGGCCCGGAGCTGAGAACAAGAACCCAAGATAACCAACAATGCATGACTACTTTGACTCAGGATTTCATGACTTCCCCTGATAATCAGCATCCTGAACAGGCGAACTCTGGGTCGGTGAACTCTGAAGAAATTGTGGAGTACAAGCTGAACCCTGGAGAGCGCTACGGATGGTGGGAAAACAATGATCCTGACCCAAAGAAACGTGATGTGGCGATGGTGCATGGTGCTGTAAACGACTGTTGGACGAGAGTTCTCCTGGATACAGGTGCGACTGTGAATATTGTGAGCTTCAACTTAACGCGTAAGCTCGGACTCACACTCAAGTCGCACAAGCAAATCAAGGTGTCTTGCATGGGAGGCGTTCCGACGTACATCGGTGCCAGTGCTCAGGTGAAGATTACTCTCGGTTCGAGGGTGATATATCTCCTGGATGTCTGGATTGCTAACATCGGCGAAGGGATCGAAGTACTTCTGGGTATGAGTTTCATGTTTGCAGCTGGAGTGAGGATCAGTGTTCGCGAAGGTCTCGTGACACTTCCGGATGAAGAGGCGATCATGATGTTTGGGTGGACTCCAGAGGATCGCCTGGGTGTCGACATGCCTGTGGAAACCACAGGTAGTTGGTACCTGGCCCCAGGGGAATCCAAGGTGGTGAAGATTTCGTATGGACCGACGAACCCACAGCGTGAAGTTGTGTGGGCAGGACGAGGTGACCGCTGGGTAACGCACCTGATTTACGCTGCGAGATCCTGGCCGGTCGCTGTGAAGGTGGTCAACATTTCGGACAAGGACGTCTGGATTCACAACAGAACGCCAGTCGCCCGAATCGTGGAGTATGGCTTCTTCCCACGTGCCGGACGCTTTGTGCGCCTGGTTCTTTTGCGTATCGGGAGTGGCAGACTCTTATTCTGGAGAGTGTTCAGTCGCGTGAGGGTAGACTTCGCGCGGAACGCCTGGTGGCGCTGGAGCCATCCTGTGTCGAGACCCCAGAGTATCAGTGGCCTACGAAGATTCTGCCGCGACCTGCAAAAGGTCCCGACATGGCACTGCTTGCCTCGATTCTTAGGAAACCGAAGACTCGTCGCGTGCGCTTCGCCGAAGACGCTGCAACTCAGACTGAAGAGGTGCCCCCTGAAGACCCTCCTGAATTCCGAGGCGTTGCTGTTGAGACGAGTGACTTAGGTGACGTTCTGAAGGATGTGGTGACCGATGTTGCCTCATAGACTGTTGGAACCCCAGAGTACATGAGTCCTGAAGATGAAACGGCCGCTAAAACCCAGAGTTTACAGGTTGAAGTTGGCAGTGATTCTCAGGGTCAGCGGGGCGACGAAGGTGGGTGCGAGGGCCAAGGTAGAGGTTAAACACATCTATAGCCCTGATTCTCTGGGATTCGATGTGGATGACGACGATTCTCAGGGTGCTGTTGAAGATTACTGGGATATCCCGATCTCAGGGATGCCGGGAACTCGGTTGAAGAAGCTGAAGCAGGAATATGAGCGCTGCATGCGGCTCTCGACAGAGGACCTCGACTACGAGCCCGCGGTCTACATACGCGAAGGAAGTGAGTTACTCTCTCAGTTGCGCGACCAGTTGGTTATGCTTCCTGAGATGCGTGACTTGACTCCTGAGTGCAAGATCGAGGAGGCAGATGTTGGAGTCGCTGGGAAAACGACGCCCGAGATGGAAGACCAAGTGAGGCGAATTCTGAAATACCATCGGAAGATCATCTTGGGAGACGGCAATGCAGCTCCCCCACCTGCCCGTGGAGCGGTTTGTGACCTGGATGTAGGCGACGCTAAACCTGTTGCTCAGCGTCCAAGGTCCATTGACCCACACCTGTGGACCAAGGTGTATGAACTTCTGAAGAAGCTTCTGGAGAACGGGCTGATCGAGACTTCTACGTCCCCCTGGGCATCTCCAATCGTGATCGTCCTCAAGAAGAATGGCGTCGACATCCAGATGTGCATCGACTATCGCGTGGTGAATGGCTTCATCAAGCTCTCACACTATCCGCTGCCGCTTATTGATGATCTTTTGATTGGCTTTGAGTCGGCGATGTGGTTTATGGGCTTGGACATGGCGAGTGGTTTCTGGGCTATCAAGATGACCGAGAGAGCCAAGTTGATATCTGCGTTCGTCTGTCCCTATGGGCACTACCAGTGGGTCAGGATGCCGTTTGGCCTCAAGAACGCGCCGCTGATCTACCAGGCAGTTCTCAATAACTGTCTGTGGGGATTTCTGCGGCTTTCCCCTGAGGAAGAAGCTGAGGTCGACCAAGATGTCTTGGACTTTTTGGGGTTGAACGCTGGGGAACCCAGAGTTTCAGGTGAAAATGCACCGCGACTTTCAGTGTTGACGGATGAGATGACTGTTTTTCAGCGTAACATCCCGGCTCCCTATCAGATGGGCCCTGTCCTGGGTCGAAGCTCGTATATCGACGACATCGCCCACGGTGCGCCTACTTGGGAGCAGCTGTGCCAGGATCTGAACGCGCTGCTCTTCCGACTACGTTACTGGAATATCTCTGTGAGACTTCCCAAGAGCGAATTCGGGAAGTTGTCCATTCCGTACCTCTCTTACGAGATTAGTGCTGAGGGCATCCGAGCGACCCCTAAAATCGCGAAGGGGGTCCAAGACTTGCCGTTCCCGACAACACTGAAAGGTGTCCAGAGTTTCATGGGGAGTCTGAATTACTACAACAAGTTCATTGAAGATCTACCCGTGATCGCGGCCGTCCTGTACGAGCTGACTGAGGAACAAGTGAAATTCAGGAGAGACCTGTCGAGAGCCCAGGAAGCCTTTGAAATCCTGAAGCACAAGATTGTTTCGACTCCGTTACTCAGACATCCTGATCGTTCAAGGCCCTTCGTGATTATTCCCCACGCGAACCCGTGGGCACCATCCGCTGTGTTGGGCCAGGAGTACGACGGGATTGTGCACCCGGTTCGATTCACAGATCACTTCCTGAATGACACTGAGCTGCGGTATCACATTGCGGAATAGGAGGTGATTGCTATCCTGAGAGTCCTAGAGGTGTTTCGCACTTTGGTTGAAGGCAGACCTAAGATCGTCGTCTACACGCGATATTCTGTGTTGAAGTGGTTACTGACCTCGTAGTCGGCAGACGGTCGAACGGTGAAGTGGGGTCTGATATTGTCCCACTAGAACCTGGAGATACGCAGAGTTCAACGGGATGAAGACGGCTTGGCTGCAATTCTAGGTGCGGGTATTACCCCCAGAGAACAGTTGGATGAGATCGCTGAAAACCTGATCCCTGCCAAGGGGCGCGTTAAACCTCCAGTGCCTATCAGTATGGAAATGCTGGAAGCGGACTATGAGGGGTGTATTCTGAGTTTCGATGGCGCCGCTAAGACTTCCACGCGACAAGGGAGCTGCGGCTGCATTCTATGGCATGTCCTCGGGTGGGAAATCCTGGATGCCCAGGGATTCATCCTGGAGGACGTGACTGTGAACGACGCTGAGTATCATGGACTTCTGAAGGGCCTCATTCTGGCGATTGAGCGTGGAATTCAGGATATCGTTGTGGTTGGGGACTCCTGGATTGCCATCCAGCAAGCCCAGGGACTCTTCAACTGCAATCAGCCAAATCTCCAGAGGAAGCTAGCCGAGTATGAAGTACTGAAGACGAAGTTCAAGTCTGTGCGGCTGGTGCATGTCAAGCGAGAGTTTAACCAGGCCGCAGACTACCTGACGTCTAAGACCCTCGCGCTTGGTGAATCCTGGAAGGTGGAGGATGCTGACGAACGAACACATCTGCAGTTGGTGTCCAAGATTCACGAGAAGTTGGTAAAACCGAAGGTGTTATTGAACGCTGGAATCCGGGGGAGTAATTCTCAGGGTGTCGAAACTCTGGGTATCCCTGGACCTGAGTGCGCTCCGTTGCCTGTGGCGGGCAAAGTGTTTGCAGTAATGACTCGGGCGCGAACTCAGGAGATCGAAGCCCAAAGCGAACCCATGGGACCTCTGGAGTACCAGGCAGAACGCTGGCGACGCATCAAAGTGCACCAGGACAAAGATGATCACCTGCTGCAACTCAAGGATTTCCTGAAGGGCGACACGACGAAGCTGTCGCACGCTCAAGCCAGGAAACTCGCGAAGGTCGCTGACGATTTCGCGTTGGATTCCAGAGAAGTCCTGTACCGCTTGAGTCGGTCTACCAGAGATCGACCCCGAGACATGGTTGACGAACTAAGACTCGTGGTGCCGAAAGCTCTGCGACCGGATATCCTGCATTACGCTCACGAAGATTTTCAGGGTGGGCACCAGGGGATCACGAGGACGTACGAGAAACTGCGCTCTGAGTTCTACTGGCATGGGATGTACGCTGACGTGGAAGTTTTCGTCAAAGAGTGTGTGGATTGCGGGGCACCCTCAGAATCCAGGGCCCTCCCCTGGGAACATCGAACCGAGGCGCCCTTTTGAAGTTGTGTCCATGGATTTCGTGACGCATTTGCCTAAGTCGGATCGTGGGAACACGTTCCTGTTGCTTTTTCAGGATGCGTTCTCAGGATTCGTCATGTGTAAACCCATGAGTTCCACCACAGCTCAAGATGTCGCCGAAGTGTACGAAGAGCAAGTCTTCAGGAGATTCGGCACGAGCTCGATGCTGAGGCACGACCAAGACCCAAGGTTCATAAGCGAGGTGTTCACGCGCTTCCGTGAACTTTTGGGTAGCAAGCAGCGGGCCACTCTGGCGTATCGCCCCCAGGCGAACGGACAACAGGAGCGGTCGGTGCAGACTGTCGTGCGCAGCATTCGAGCGTACATTGCTGAGGCGGACCAGAGCGACTGGGACGACCATGCTGAGCGCTTGATGTTTGCCCTGAATACATTGTTCGATGCCACTCGCCTGGACACTCCGTTTTTTCTGGTGCACGGCTGGGACGCACACGGAACTATGTCTGGTCTGCAATGTTGGGAGCCAGGCCCTCGAGTATCCAGGAGCGCACGAGTGGCACAGGAAGCTGCAGCGTGACTACAGTTATGCACAAGCTTGCGCTGAGGATCTTCAGAAGAAGGCCAAGCGGGCGCGCTCTGCCGAACAAACCAGGAAGTGGAGAGAGCTGTCCGAACGACTGAAGGCAGGATTCCCAGCCGGGGATGCTGTGTGGCTGTATATACCCAAAGTGCGGCCCGGGCTGAGCCGCAAACTGGCTCACATGTGGCACGGTCCCTTCAGAATTCAGGAAATCCATGACAACTTCCGCGTGAAACTCAGGGTTGAGAACACAGGGTATCGCGTGAGCCGCTGGGTACACGTGAGCCGTTTGAAACCCAGAGCACTATCCCCGAAGCGGCCCACTGTGGAGATCGACGTGGACGAGGATGATGACTTTGATGTGGCGCTGTTGCCTGAAGCCAGCTGGGAGCCCGACGCTGCGAACGATGAATACGAAGTCGAGAGAATCCTGGATTTGCGATGGACTAAACGGACTCGGACAGCGAGACGGATTTGCGAGTACCTTGTGAAGTGGAAGGGGTACGATGAGGCAGAGTGGCTGCCTGTGTCGAAGCTCAACTGTGGTACCCTGCTCTACGATTTCAACCAAGGCGCAAGAGCGCGAGCCCGTTTCCAGGCCATGCAGGCTGGAGATGATCACCCAGGAGTCTAGCACGCTGGGGTGACAATGACCCAGAGTTACATGTGATATTCAGGGGGAACCCTGGGTGACTCTGTGAAACTCTGGGGAAATCGACGGAATGTGTGATTATTGGAGACGGAGAACGTGAATGTGATTTGATTTGATTTGATTATGGAGGAGATGGCACCGCTGAGATTTCGGCGCTACTAAACGATGATGAGGATGGTGAAGACAAAAAGGCTGCCCGAGGAGTTAGAGGCGAGGTACTGAGCACTGGTGTCACTGCCGGCGTTGCTTTGCTAAGCCGATGACACCTCGCGTTTGGTGTTTGACCTTGTGTCCTAAGGAGAAAGCACCTTGAAGATAAGTCGCGACCTATGTTTGAAGAAGCCTGCGGGAAGAAGTGAGCGAAACCCTGGTAGTCAACGGCATCTACGTCCAGCTCAACAATAATTTACGCCGTATGCTTGTGTAGCCTGGCCATGGTTCACCATTTCGGAGCATTGCCCTCTTTGATGGACCTGGACCAGGAGGGGCGGTTGACACGAGGCGGTTCTCAGTTTTTCGGCGACGACATGCCATTCTAGAAATGACTTGGAGTTTGTATCGGATGCTGATTGGTGGATGACTTGGATACGGTGCGGCTGTACCCGTGTGACATGGATGGTGACTGTGGGAGAGAAGTGATTTCTCGGGATGAATCAAACGCCTGACCGCAGATGGGCCCAACTGGCTGGAAGTGTGAATCCTGGGAGTGCACGACCAGGATTTCAGAGAACACTCAGTCCAGCCGCGGACTTTCCCTTACGATGAGTGCCTAAAGTCTGGCGGAAAGTGTCTCTGGAGAATGTATCCCAGAGTACACCTCATCTTGCTTTGGCTCAGAGCGCCCCAGAGGATCAAATTACCCTGAGAATCAACCCACTACCACCATGATCATGCGCAGGAGGCCGCTAAACCCGCTAAAAGTGTGGCTTTGTGGAGATACATGCGAGCCTGCAATGCAGCAGCCTTGTTACCCAGAGTGCCGCACGGAAAACCTAGAGTGCCGCACGATGACCCAGAGTTCACATCCCTGAGTGCAGGTGACCCAGAGTTCCAAAGATGATTCCCTGGGTTTGGACCATAAATCCAGACTCTCTATACTGAACTTAAGTGTTTCCCGAGCCAACACCCAAGAATCCCTACGGTTCCCCAAGATTCCTCAGAATTCCCAGGATTTCAGAAGATGACCCTGAGTGTCACCTGATTCTCAGGGATTCGAGTCAGTTCGAAGTCAGTCTGCAATCAAAGTGATGCGTGACCTTGAAGAACCGTTGTGGATGCGCAGACTGGATACTTTCGAGGAGTCGAGAGGGAGTCCTGCACCATACTAAACCAAGTCTAAGGACCCACAATTGGCACTTTCGACGCCGTGCGACAATGGATTCGCAAGCCGATCGCAAGTTTGGACCCAAGGTATACTCAAGACAAGACATTTGACCCCAAGCATAGTGAACAGAAGATATTTGCCCGAAGAAGTATGAGAGAGAGAGAGAGAGAGAGAGAAGTCGCTGGTAGAAGACAAACAGAGTTCAATTTTCCCTGTACTGTGCAAGTGACTTCGGCCGAGCCTGCCGACGGAAATCCGGAGGACCCACCACCACCTTACCAGATTCATCGATCCCGGTGACCTACAAGATGGCGAGGTCTCTGAAGACCGTACATCAAGTCTGGCAAGAATGGTCTGCCGGAATTCATGGTGGTCCCGCTGTGTGTAACCTCGAAGAAAGCCATGGCTCGACCTGGCGCAGCACACCAGCAGACAAACGGTTTTTTTCTTTCGGAGAAAGAGAATCATCGATCATATCATAACAACAGCTCAAGCGCAATGTATTACTCACGAGCAAGCGGTGTGTGCGCTCGAGGCACACCGAACACAGCACAAGCTTACACTTAATGCACTTAGCGACAGTCTAAAAGGAAAACTATAGATCACATATTGAAGTGCACAATCGGTAATACATCGTTGTATATCATCGCCACAAAAATTTCGGACGTACACTTGCACCCCACCTTGCGTGCCCCTTACTCACCTCAGATCTGCCTTGAGATGGGCAGTCAACTCCTCTTCCAAGGCTACGCTGTCCTCCAGACCATCACCCTCTTCAGCTCTGGCACGGCCGCCGTCATCCTGTTGCTCGTTGCCGCCGCGCAGCCCTCCAGGCCATCACCCCCTTCCGCACTGGCGCGGCCGTCGTCGTTCTGCTGCTTCTGGCGTCTTGCAGGCTGCTGGCGTTCTGTCAAATGGGGTTTGTGGGAATATGTGTTAGCAAAATGTGAATTTGTGTTTTTGTGTATGACGATATGTGACTTTATTTGAAAGCAGTCACTTCAGATAGTTCACTTATCAGACTGACAGGCGAGTGGGGACGAGGTTGGGACGGCGTCTCTCTGAAACTTTCGATAATGAACACCGTCGACCTCTCAATTAGATAGAGTGCCATCAAGTGCCATCAATTATTAGATATTGTGGGTTCTACTCATAATTTCCTCCGGCGGTTTCGCCGGCCAATCGACCGACCCTGATACAGCATATACTATATATGAGGATTTCCGATATTCTGCCGCTAAGTGCGAATCCCGCTAGTCACTTCCTTCCTTCCTTCCTTCCTTCTTCACGATGGCAGGTCAAGCTGCGAGCACCTCCGAAGGTGTTAGTCCTACATCCACGACGGCAACTGCGCGGACGCCACCGGAACGCGTACGGGTGTCGCCATATCCAGAGCGCGTTCGTACACCAGTGCGAAACACTGTGTACGAGCCTACCTCTATCGTCTGGAAGTGAACCTATCGTGAAAACGACCATCACGCAACGGGACTCTTCTGGGGACACGCGTGACAACTTTGTGGCTAGTGGTTCTTCTTTTCAGGCTGTATTGAAGGAACTATGGGATCCAATTCAGCCCTCGCATGAAAGGAAGAGCTGTCAAGACGGACGGCGTTTGGTCAACCCAGCCCCCTTCCGTGGACCACTGGGCTAAAATGATGCAGTCCAAGGTGAAGCGTCACGTTGTCGACACGGCAAGGTCAGAGCAATCCTGGAATACATGGCGTCATTGTTTACAGGGCGAGCTCATCAAGCTGTTCGTCTACAAGTATGGTACTGCGATAGCCAAGGCCGAAGATCGCGAGAACTTCATGAATGCCTGCATTCGGCCACTCAGCACCGATCGAGCAGGTGCAGTAGCTGAGGCGTCTCTGCGCGAGGTTGTAGAACGGCTAGATGATCGATGGGACGACAGCTTCGATGGCGAAGCTGTAATTTGGCGCATGTGGGCTAACGAAGTCACACGCAACCTCGACCGCTCTACCTGGGATGCTGCCATTGCCTCACCACCTCCACAACGCATTTTGAACCTCCTGAGAGCAAGCAACACGCGCATGGAGGAACATCTCGCTGGAATGCGACGATCAGCCCACACGGCGCTCGACTGTGTGAATTCAGCTTTGGCCAACTACGCAGTGCTTCGGCAGGACCTAAGGGCGTTCAGCCTTCGCTTGGACAGTCATGAAGCGGGGCTTGCAGCACGAAAAGCTGCAATTGAAGCGTCAATACGTGACATGGAGCTGCCTGATCAAAACGACATCGCCAACCCAACGGAGCACATGGAGAACCTTCGCGACTTCGAGCACGAGTAAGGGAGGTCGCGTGCAATGACGCAACAACGCATTGATGTATATTAATTAGGTAAACGATCAAGCACGAGTAATATACTTTTTTCTGCTTTCTAGTCTCGCGTCTGGTAGTCCAACATGTCAAACTGTCTTCGAGTGCGTGTACATCGTAGTGCATCTCAGGAGGAGGGCGTCGCCCGGATGATAGCGGTCCAACAGGGTTAAAGACACCCTGCTTTAACCAGCCACAGTGCTCGAACACCCTTGTCATGTCAAAGTTCTCAAAGTGGCGAAATGTTTCGACAATGAACGGCATTAAATCCCGGTTGCTTGACTCAACATAATACCGCTGAAGCGCTTTCTTCGCGTACCCAAAGAGAAACTCAATGGGATTGACGAAGGGGCAGTAGGCAGGAAGGAATATTGGCACGATCCCGATGCTTCTGAGGTAGTGCACGATCTCGGGGTGCCTGTGAATACTAGCCCCATCTAAAAGCCACACTGAATTTGACGCCGGATACGGGCGAACTCGTGCTCTTTTCGAATAAGCGAAATCTTGACAGCACCGCACAAACTGCAACCTGTCAAAGGTCCCTACTGTATCGTAGTAGTCAAGGATACCGTCCACGCCGATAAAAGCCAGCAACGAAACTCTTGGCTTTCTCTGGAACTCACCACGGACCACCACTTTTTGTCCTCGAACGGCATATCCTCGCTTGCGCAGCATTCCCCTGTTGTCGAAGGACACTTCGTCCAAGAACACGACGTTTCGATGGCTCCAGTCAATGTGACTGAGCTCCTCAACGAAACGAAATATATCCTGCTCTTTGATCTGAACTGCACGGCGCTCTATGACTTTCCACGTCAATCCGAACTCGTGGATGATCCTCCATACCGATGACTTAGAAATATTGAGTCGGTAGACTCTCTTGAATTCATCTTGGGCCTCGTCAAGATACGCTAGGGGTCTCGACTCATAAAAATCACGCAGCCATTGCCGCTGCTCTGCAGTAAACTTCCTGTCCGATTTTTTCGAAGCTCGCTCGTAAGTCCCCGTCTCCTCATAGCGATGGATCCAATTGCCAATTGTCTTGGGTGTCTTGTTGTAGAAGCGAGCCAGGTCCTGCTTCGAGTGACCTAGATGATAGTAGCCGTACAGACAATGGAAAACAGTGTTTGGATGCGCATGCTGTCTGGTTGCAGCTTCTTCCATGTTGAACCTTTCCCAAACTCAACTCACTCTTCCAGTTCTATGATCTTCACCAGCGCCAACACGAGTGTCACCGTAACACCAAGTTCACGGACTCGAACTAACTCCGCTCCACAGCACCCGAGGTTTGGCAACTCCAAGCACTCCAGCACTAACGAGAGTCTCGCCGACGCCAAGTGCTCAAGTACGAACGAGAGTATCACCAGCAGCACCACGTACCACTGGTCCTTCAACAATCCGAGCTGCACTGATACGTCCAGCTGCAACAAGACACGCCAACTCCACCGGCAACACCAGCAGCACTGACGCGAGCTCACCACCAGCAACACGGCACCACTAGCTGTTAGACCTCACTGACGTCACTAGCCTCGTCAACCGCTAGTGCTTCACCAACGACAAGAGACCTGTCGACCCCAGGAGCAGCAAGGACCCCACTAGCCCCGCCAGTTCCAAAAGCAACGAGAGTCACACGAGCGGCACCAGCTCCAACAGCAGCGAGAGTCACACGAGCCACCAGCAGCGAGTATCGAGCTGGCTCCAGGTAATCCACCGGCAGCGAGAACTTCAGCGTCCCCAAGCACACAGACAATAACGAGAGCTCAGCGCGGTCTACAACACAAAAATACCGTATTAAAACTTAACGCTTAACTGCACAACGACGATGGGGCCGCGTACGGAACCTGCTCGCGTGCGTATACAGCGAAGAAGCTACGCGAGTGCAAGTTGCCTTTGCTCTGCTCGCCAACGATAGGTCACAAATTGAGTCAATATAAGCCAATAAGATGTGTCTGGCGATTCCTTGCCGATTCGACGAATCGCCCTCGTCTGGTAATTTTAGCCGGAATTCACAATAGTGCCACCATTTGGCAAATGTCAACATCATTTGTCTAGACTTATCAAATAGTGTCATCATCTGGCAAAAACCCTCCACTCGGCGTCGCAGAGATTCACGGTCGTGGGCCGCAACTTGCTCAGCAGTGCAGACGCCGAGGCGCTCGGCGAGGGCGCGGAGCTCCGGTTCGGCTACTGTTGAAATGAACAGTTTACACAGAGTAGGTAGCTCACTACAATGTATTACTCTTTTGGTTATCCTCTATTCCTATGCCTACTACTCTAGATCCGTGCTCGGTACCTGGAGGCAAAAGAGGAAGTGAGCTCGTCTTCGGACTGCGTCCTCGACTCCTTACTCCTCGGCCTCGTGTCGTCATCGCACTATGTATGGTTGGCAGGCAGCTCTCTGCCTGCACTATCCAGACCACAGCTGGCGATCTGAACTTCTCTCGTACTTGCTAAAACAATAATAATATGTTTGAGAGGGTTTGCTTTCAGTTGCAAAATAACTCGACTGGCAGAAGGGCGAGCGGGGCGCGCTCGGCGCGCCTCTTCATTCAACAGATACCATCAGAGCCTGCGCCCCACGCAGAACCGCCTCGTGGTCAACTTGGACCTGGCGGCCACCGCCTTCGTGAAGGACATGAGTGTCATGGACTACCTGGGCGAGACGCTGTGACTGCGCGATACACCCGCGACCCTGAACCAGCGTCAACGCTCGGACTTCAGCAAGGCGATCAGAGGCGTGAAGGTCAATGTCCCACACCGCCCCGGGGTGAAACGCAGCTACCGCGTCAACGGTTTGTCGAAGGACAGTGCGGAGAACACCTTCTTCGAGGACGACGAGGGTCAGCGCATGCCCATTGTGCAGTATTTCCAGAGGGCGTACAACATCCATCTGAGCTACCCGGAGCTGCCGTGTCTGCATGTGGGTGCCCCGCAGAAGAACTATCTGCCTCTGGAGGTCTGCCACATTCAGGCTGGACAGAAGTCACCGACAGGCAGGTGGCTAAAATGAGCGCAAGCGGCCGGAAGAGCGCAAGCACGCGGTCGAGCAGAAGCTCTACGAAGCTGGATTCGACACTGACCCGACCTTGCGAGCGTTTGGGCTGGAGGTGGACCCTAACATGGTCGAGACCACGGCACGCCAGTTGCCGCCGCCTACGATCGAGTACGGCGCCGGCGCGCGCGCATGACTCCGGCTGATGGCGTGTGGAACATGCGCTACAAGAAGTTCAACGCGCCGACGCAGCTCCAGTCGTGGGCGATCTTCAGTATGTGCCAGCCGAACCGCTGCGCTCTGGCCAACATCCAGAGTTTCTTCGGCGTTGTTATGGATCAGATGAACAAGCTTGGCATGAGCTGTCCGAGGACGCCGCCCCCGGTTCTGTTGAAGCGGAGCCGACGGGACGCAGCATGTTCCAAGAGGCCGTGACAGCGGCAATGGAGACGTTCAATTCGAAACCAGAGATCGTGTGGATGATTAACCCCACGTCTGATACCCGTGCGTACAAGGAGCTCAAGCTCATGTCGGACACGGAGGCGGGGCTGGGCATTGTCTCGCAGTGCATGCTGGCCAAGCACATCCTGTCGAAGCCCAATGCCAAGTGCAACCTGCAGTATATCGCCAACATGCTCATGAAGGTCAACACGAAGCTGGGAGGCAAGAACGGGGTCATCCGCGATCCACCGCCGCAGGTATCTCCACCTTCGCACACTATCATCTTTGGGGCGGACGTCACGCACCCCAGTCCGATGGACAAGACTCGGCCGTCTATTGCTGCGGTCACAGCCTCCATGGACAACAACTTCATCCACCACGCGTCTGCGATTCGTGCGCAAGGCCACCGCGTCGAACAGATTATGAACCTCAAGGAGATGACGATGGAGCTGATGAAGCGGTTCTACCGGTCGACGGGCGGTAAGCCCGACCGCATTGTGTTCTACCGCGACGGGGTGAGCGAAGGCCAGTTCCTCATGGTGCTGAATCACGAAGTGACGGGCATTCGTGAGGCCTGTCGAGCGTTGGAGAAGGACTACACGCCATCAATCACGTTCATCGTCGTCCAGAAGCGCCACAGCACGCGCCTGTTTCCTAGCGACAGCAACGAAGCGGATCGCAGCGGTAACGTCAAGGTGGGAACCCATTGAGAACGAATTCTATCTGGTGAGCCACGCCGGACTGCAGGGCACCAGTCGCCCGACGCACTAACACGTGCTGCTGGATGAGATTGGCTTCTCGGCGGACGACCTGCAGAGGCTCACCTACCAGCTGTGCTACACGTTCGCCCGGTGCACGCGCTCGGTGTCGATGGTGCCGTCCGCGTACTACTCGCATTTGGTGGCCTTCCGCGCTCGCTTGTTCCTGGTCGACGGAAGCGACACTGCTTCGATTGCCTCCGGTTTCAGTGACACTACCCCGGAGACGGATACGCGCATGTATGATGTGCACCAGGCCATGAAGGGCGTGATGTACTTCGTGTAAGGCGCTATTATATCGGGATCCTGACGCCAAGTGTGAGATGGTGCAAGTGTGCAAGTGAATCGCTATTTATTAGCTGCTACCAGTGGTGAAGTGTGGTGGCAGTCGAGTGCATGGCATCAAGGAAAAGAAGTCGGCGAAGTATTGGAAGTGCTTGAGGTAGCCATCCATATGAAAAATAGTTGCATTTATCTCCAGAGTGGCCGTCATTGAAGTTGAATGAACGATGATCAATGTCATGACTTTTGTTCTCATCCAGCTACACGCTACGGCGCTCCCACTGATCCGGTAAGGCTCCATCTCCGAGCTGTCCAATTGCGCGTAGCTTGACGAACCCCGCGAACATTTGCCGAAACACCTTCCGCGTCTCGTTGACCATCGTCTCCTGCGACCTCACCTCGTCCACCAAGTGCAGAGATCCGTCGCGATGGATGCTGATGCTAGCACGTCTTCGCCCACCGTTCGGCACCGCAGTAGGTGCCACGTTTTGTTCCTGTAGTTTTGTATCAAAAATCTGCGTGAGTTTCTGAAGCCTTTCGAGGAACAGCGCGTGGACGGCTTCAAGCTGCGCCACATCCTGACTCGATACGACGTTCGACGACGAGGACGAGCTCAAATACAGCACGGTACTGCCTCCCTCAGCCTCGCTATTCGCAGGCCAACGTGACAGCGCCTTAGCCTGGATATCATTGTTCTTGCCAACCTGACGCAGATCATTCAGAAGCCGCTGACAAGGCTCCTCGTAGTCGTTCCACGTACTAACCAGGAACTCGTAGCTCAGCAGCGGACTGGCTTTGACTTCAAAGGGGGTTGGCGCCGCATGTTCCAGAATTTGAAGCTCGCTCAAAGTCTCCTTCGTGACGAGGGGGAAACAGGCAGCGGCGATGCGGTCGCTCATGGGGTCAGGCTTGGACGCTGGGGTATCGTTTTCATGGCTTGGGGTCTTCTCGGTGATGTATAACCGCCGCAGAATGACGCACAGGTCCTCCGACGTGAAGGTGATGTTCACCTTCTGCAAGATACTCGACAGCATCTCCAGCTGCAAGAGCTTTTCGAAGTGAAGTAGGTCGTTCTCAGCTTCACAACAAGCCACACGAATCTCGTTCAGACGGTGAAGGACGTAGCGCCTCCACTCCTGAAGAATGAACACCAGGAACGAATTAGCCTCCATTCCTGACGGAGGCTCGGAATTGTTAGTACTTGCAGCCGCAAGCAAGCGGATTCTCAGTCGCATTTTCTGGTCCGAGCTCAGCTTCGCGAACGCCGTCTGTAGAATGGTCTCCACCACGACGATAGGCACGAAGTCGACTCCACTAACCACTGATGAAGCAACGGGAGCTGGATCATTGGACGTATTATCACTTGATACCGTCTTTCGTGCTGGATTGATGAGGCGGAAGTCGTGCAGTCCGGAGCGGAAAATGGCGTGGAGGAAGGCCAACGCCTCATTTTGCCCCAGCAGTCGGTCTTCAGGGCACGAGTTGCTCATGCAGCAGAGGTAACTGAAGAGCGACGCTAGCGGATCTGACCGCACGAACGACCGGCAATTGTAAAATACGTCGTGGATCATGCGCTCCGACTCGCAGCGCGAACCGAAATTCTCCAGGAAAAAGTCGTAGATGAACTCTACGAAAAGGGGCTTTGGTGTGGGGCCGACCCCGCCATTGAGCGCGCTTGAGACAGTCAATTGGAGTAGTGACGATCGCCCCGCGTGGAAAGCGTCACTGATACTGCTCAGCTCGCCCAATACCGCGATCATGCGCGGGGACTGCATCGACAAGCGCAATATCATGGAGATCAGCAGGCGCAACCAGATCAAAGGTCGCTCAGCCCTCTGATGTCTGTAGTTGAGGACGCCACTGCCATAGCGTCGGTGCATCAGCGACCGCATCACTAACGGAGCTCCATGATCTTGTAGCAAACGCTTGCGGAACTTCATTTGTACCCGCTTAACACTGAGCTTCTGTCGTACTGCATCGATCGGCAGCTCCGCGCTAGAGAAAACCAAGGTAAACGTTAGTACTTCATCAATGGAGCAATACAAACTCTAGAGTTGCGTACGATAATTTTTCACGATGGCGAGCGAAGTCGAGTAGTCCATGCAGAGCCTTCTCGATACAGAATAAGTCGTTGGAGCTGAATAGAGAGCCCGTAGTTTCGCGTCGTATTAACTTCGCCGCGCCGAGATTATCGATGAGTCGTTGGAACAGCGTTAGCAGTCGAACTCCATCGCTGAATCCTCCTTCCACCAAGGACGACGAGATCTCATACGCTAGCGAATCCGTCATCCTGCGGGTCCACAGTGGCAATTCCTCGATCGTGGAGTCGATTTCGTTCCCTAAAATTGTGAAGAATTTGTGAACGATCGATGCAGCTCTGGAGCTTGGGTTCATGATCGCGGGCGATCTGGAGAATGGGTGACCAAATAGTCGGGACACGACGGAGCTGGGAGGTTCGAGCCTCATACAAGTCGAGAAGAACTGCCACGTCTCGGCGGCGTCCATGAAGGAATCGAAGTTGACCGTGCCGTTCCCCCGTGTGTAGGCATTTCGGAAGAGCGTGGCGACCATGAACGATGGGATCTCGTCGTTCAAAGTGTGCACCATCACTCGGAACTGCTCCATGTCCATGGAGGCGTAGTTGATCCCCAGCATCGCTGACAGCGACATCTCCGCCGCAGACTCAGAAGCCGACGCTGCCGCTGACGTCGTCGCCGTTTGAAACATCAGGCGGATGGCTGCACGTCGGTGCGCCTGCTCTTCCTTGTACTCGTGCATCATGAGCTCGACCCAGAGATTCGCGTCCACAAACTGCGACGGTAGTTCTTCCTCTGGCTCATCGTTGAGTTTGCCGCGTCGGTTTAGTGCGGGCCGCTTCTTGGAGTGTGGCACATCCGGCTCAACGTCCCAGCTCTTCGTCTTGGGCTCGAGGTAAACCTCCGGTCGTTCATCTTCAGGAACGTTAGAGACCACGTACTCTAAAATCTTCTTGTCGAGCGCTTCCCGCTCTGTCTCGGTTGCTTTGGAGAGGATCACACTCGTAGCGAGTGAGGCGTGATACGGCGATATCCAGATAGTTTTAGGAACTCGACGCGTAGCAGATAACCCCCCGGTTTTTGTAGATTTTTCAGGGAAGAGAAGAGCGTACTCCTGAGCGAATATTTCGTACGACACCTTGTCGCGTAGTGGGCCCCAGTTCAAGCGCCCACCGAGTAAAACGTCGAGCACCCGGTAGCAATGAAGCATGAAGACCTGTTCATCTTCACCGAATTTCTCGTCCAGAAGCGATAAAAACAGTTTTGCCTCCCCTGTTGAACCAGCGATCTCACTCCATAGTACAGACACCAACGGTCCTCATCGGCCTGCATTAGTCGTTGCTCCGCTGCGTTTGGATCGCTCATATCGTCCATGACTGCACTTTCGTCAAGCGAATCAACTTCTGCGACTTTTTTCTCGTCTTTCAAGGGCTTCCAGGGTGAAAACCACGCGTTTACAAACTCCGGCATGCGAATTCGGAGCGGGAATAACCCAGCGGTGCGCTTACATATGGAGTCATCGATCTGCTTGGCGAACATAATTGATCTCATGCAGCTGAAGGTCCACGAGATGTCGCGCTGAGGTCGTCGACCGCCTAGATTCGGCAGCATAATTCTGAAGTACAGGCACTGGATGCGTCTCTTCTTGGTGGGGAGCTTGAATCCATCCGCCTCGTTGGATTTACCCTGTCCAACGCCTTGTCTCCTTTTGCCAGCCCTCCATTCGCAGACATCGTACGCAGCTCTTCCTTACAGCGAACACAGACTGCAGTGGAGGAGATAGATCCCCGTCTTCTGTCGTTACTTGGGCCATTTGCCTCTCGGGGCTCGTCCTCCTCCTCGTTCTCTTCTTCTTCCTGTCTGCGCAGTTCCTCCTCTCGAGTTTCTTTCAGTTCTTGGGCTGCAATGAGGTTGCTCTGCTCCTCCATAAGCGACGCGATGATACTGTCCTTGGTCTTCAGCAGCTCGTTCAACCCCGCAATTTCGTCTTTGAGCGCGTTCTGGTCTTGAATCAGCTCGTCGATTCGGCCTAAAAGCTGCTGCTTCTCCTGAACCAGCGGACGCAGTTGCTCCATTTCCTCGCGGCACTGCTCGTGCTTGTGTTCGAGCCTCATGTAGTTCTCACGAAGCTCAACGGCCTTGACTTTCTCCGTGTCATCACGCATTTGTCGGAAAATCGCGTTCAGCGCCCTCATCGTGTCGCCCATCTTCGCCAATTGCTCCTTCGAGTCGGTCACTCGCTGCTCCATCTCACTCTTTTCAGCTTCAAAGCGAGTATTCAGCTTATCAATCTCCTCTTCGTACTGCTCCTTCATACTTTGTGCGTCTTCCTTGTGTAGCTGATGAGTACGCTGCATTTCTTCCGTTAGTAGCTCCAACTCGTCCTTCTCCTCCTTGAGCTCCTGCCACTGCTACTTGAAAAGATTCTCCAACCGAAAGAAAGCCTTGGCGTACAGGATTCGAGCCTTACGGAGGACCAACCCCTGCTCGACAAACGACACCGTGAGCATGGATTCGAGCTCGCCCATGACCACGTCCGACCACTTCTGGTCGAACAGCAACCTCGTCAGTAATTTATGATCATCTGAACTATTTTCCCTCGCTGCAGCTGATCCGTATTGCTGCACGATTCGAGCGTGGATGGCCATGAAATCCTGGTCGAGCATCGAGAGCTTCTCTTCGCAGACGATCTCCCAGTGCTTCTTCCTGCTCGCGAAGTGAATGGCCGTGTCGAAGCAGCGATCCAAGTCGAGCACATCCACTCGACGCGACGGCCGCTCGACCCCGTGATGCTGCTCTGGTTGGTGGAGCTCGCCCCCTTGCTCCTCTTGGACCTCTCCTCGGAGCCAGGGAGGAACAGCCACGTCTTGTTCTTGTTCTACGTGGCGTGGAAGCAACTCGCAGCCATCTTCTCGATCGAGTAAAAGTGCGACGACCCGTTCTCTTCGTCCTCCGACTGCTGGTTCCTGGACGTCCGATGGAACTTGCCTGTTCCAGGGGGTAGAACTCCAGTGGATTTGGATGCACCTAACTCCATCCGAGGCAATAACCGCTGTTTGGGCTTTGTTTGGTTTCGAGATAACTCCATAGTTGACACTTGGTTAGCGAAACTTGACGCGTGGAAGAGTGAACTTTTGTGAAAAGGCTGAGGTTTTCTGGTCCAGGAGGAACTTCCGCACGTCGAATTCGCTCTCGGGCGCAGGCTCAAGTCGCCGATCTGACAGCGTTCTCGGTGCCTCTGGGACTGTCGCGTCCAGATTAAGGGTCGTGCCTCCCAAAGTGGTAAATGGCGACGCCAATTGCGACCTGTTTGGCTTGCGAGCGCTGCGAGGGTCTTGCATCTCGTCTAAAGTACTCACTCACTCACTCGTGCCAGCGGAGGTGAAGTGGTTTAACCGAGTGACAAAGAGGCGCTGTGCTCGAAACAACAATGCAAAACCGCTGAGCAAAGGTAAAACACTGGTGAAACAACTTTGAGCCAAAGTGCCGATTTAGCGCCGTTGGAACAGGAATGCCGCCGTCCCTAACAGGCTGTCTGTTGGCACTAGCTACGTGGCTATTATAGCTAGCAGGCGATGAGAGTATACGGGTTTTGCGGACTGGCCTGTCAAGCAGGTAAGTAGGAAGTTTGCGTGGCTCGACATCACTGAAAGCCTCGCGGTTCATGCGTAGAATCTCTTCGCACACGCTGCCCTTGCAAGCGGCGCTGTCGACATCAAGGGATATACATTTGAGTGCCACACACCAATATCGCGTGGTCCACTCCATATTCATGTTTCCTTGCCTCAACACTACTGTATTGAGCCAATAGACGATCCAGCACCTTCTCGGACGAAGATGGTCGCGAACGCGGCGCAGCAGGGTGACGACGTGCGTGTAGCGGAGGACACGGAGCCCACGAGCAAGTACAGTACTTCACCGCGCGCAGGCGGGCGCTGCTGCGTGCGCTACGGCCGCACGCGCGTGCTGTGCTCGCTGTCCAAAGACTACGGCTACTTCCCGAGCACGTGCCACGTCGGGCCGCACTGGGCCTGCATGCTGGTCACGTACTGCCTGGCGATTGGGCCCGCCTTCTTCTTCTTCGCACACGACATGCTGGCGGGGCTGAAGGTGGCGCTGCTCGTGTCCATCTGCCTCACCACCGTCTCCTTCACGATGGTGGCGTGCAGCGACCCGGGCGTTGTCTTCCAGGACCTGGAGGTGTCGACACAGCTGCAGGGAGACATCGAGAGAGGCATCGTCTGCGGTAAGAAACAGCGCGTTGATTAGTGGCGGTGGGGGCTGCAGTGGTCTAACGGTGTGTCGGACTGTGTGCAGCACAATGCGAGCTGCGACGGCCGCAGAACGCGTCCCATTGCTCTGACTGCGGCGTCTGCGTGAGGGGGGTATGTGCTTGGCGGCCTGGTTACCGAATGTTATTGAGGTGTGATGTACTGACGCGACTGTTGTGTCTGCTGGGGGGGGGGGGTCTGTGCTTGGTGCTCTAGCTGGATCACCATTGTCCGTGGACGGGCAAGTGCGTGGGCAAGCGCACGATCAAGTGGTTCTACGTGTTCCTCACCTTCATCTCGCTGCACTGCATGCTCATTGGCGCGGTCTGCCTCGTCACGTTCGTGGCTCGATAAATTCAAGTTATGCCTGTCGTCCCCGGATGGGCGGAAAGTGGTGAGCTGTACTCATGAGAGCATACATAACCAGGTTGCAACATTATCAGGTGTGGAGCCCTACCTGTAGTTGCTGAACACGATGCCCGACGCGGAATACAATGCTGTACATGTACAATGATTTCACTGTTGTCCAACTCTACGTGTATTTGTTGCTCGCGCTAGCGAAACAAAATGTTAAAAAAGTAAGGAGGGTGACTACTTGAGACGGACTGCTCTACAGCTCGTCCTTCTCGGCCTTGTCCTCCTTGGCCTCCTCCTTGGTCTCCTCCGCCTCTTCGGCGGCCTCCTCCTCCTTGGACTCCTCCTTCTCCTCGGCGTCCTCATCCTCGTCGGCGTCCTCCTTCTCCTCGGCCTCCTTGGCCTTGGCCTCGGCCTCCTTCTTGGCCTTCTCCTCGTCCTGGATCTGCTTCTTCTTGGCGGCCATGGCCTCCGTCTTGGCGAGCACGGCCTCCTCGTGGGCCTTGAACTCGTCCTCGCTGTCCGTGACCAGGATGTCGTCGAACAGAGTGCCGCTCTTGACCTGCCAAAGCTCGAAGCCGATGGCGCCCACGTTCTTGGCGACGTTGTACATGGCGTCGTCCTCGAAGTAGTCCGGGTTGTCGATGAGCGGGTGCTCCCACTCGCCCTTGTAGTCCGGGTTGTCGATCATCTTGGGCTTCCACTCGCCCTTGTACTCGGGGTTCTCGATCATGGCGGGCTCCCACTCGCCGTCGTCCTCGTCGTCCCAGTCCTCGGGCTTCTCCGCCTCCGGGTCGGGGATGGTCTTGGGGATGTCGTCGTAGCCCTCGGGTTTCTTGTCCTCCGGGTCCGGGATCTGCTTGGCGTCCACCCAGTCCTTGGGCTTGGACTGGTTGGGGTCCTTGATCTGCTTCTCGGGCTGGAAGGGCCAGTTCTTGGCGAGCTCGCCCTCCTTGATGCTCTTGCCGTCGATCTTGACCTCGTACGTGTTGTCCTGCTTGAGCACGAACGAGTACAGGTGCGCGTCCATGTCCGACTCGGCGCGGATCGTGTCCTTGTGGTCCATGTTGACGGCGTCCTCGCCGGGGCGCGCGTAGTTGAGGATGGCGTGCGTCTTCTTGTTGCTGCCGCAGATGTCGGGGCCGAACATGACGGCGTAGGGCGACTCGCCGCCGAAGTTGGCCTGGTCCACGTCCGCGGGCAGCAGCTTGATGTACGCGCCGCCGCAGTCCAGCTTCTGCTCGTGCTGCACCAGATACGACAGGTACAGGTCCTTGCCCTTGTTGTTCAGCGGCTTGTCAAACTTGGCCGACAGCGCGTAGAAGCGCGCGTCCTCGCTCGTCTTGATGGCCTTGTCGCCCTCCTCCGTGAAGTGCTGGCCCGAGACCTGCTCGAACTTGCCCACCTCAGCGGCGGGCTTCCAGGTGGAGGCCACCCAGCGGCCCTCCCAGTTGGCGTCGTCGAACGTCTCGCGGAAGATCGTCTCGGCCTGGGCCACAGTCGCGGCCACAGCGGCCAGCGCCACCACCAGCTTGGTCAGCATCTTGAGGGTAGAATGTGGAAGGGGGAGTGTTGGTCGGGAGGAGAGGCTCTTGCTTGAAGCAGCGCAAATTTTCGAATGACCGCCAGGATTGCCTTCAACCGGGGTCGGATCGCCACGTGGAGGTCGGCGCTCCTTAAGTACTCCTTAAGTACGTATCTGACGTACGAGCCACGTGGACGTCGGACAGTGGGGTCTGGGAATAACGTCTGTTCGTGTAATGTGCATTGCGACAGGTGGCAGAGGCAGTGACTGAGGTTCGGTATGTGGCACGATTGCAAAATTATAGCGTTTAGAAGGTTTTACGCTGCATATCTTAACCGACACTGTACTAGGTGTGCCACACAGCGTTTACACAAAGGCAACTTGCACACGTCGGGCAGAACGGAAGCTGCGCCACCGCAATGCCCGCACCCCACTGAAATGACAGTGCAGTTGATATGTGGAGTCGTTGGTCCACCCTGGGGCTCCAAGGTGGGGGTGCTGGAGGTGTGTGCATATATAATATCTACAAGTGGATTCGACAGTCGCTGCGACGCGGTACTGTAATGCGGCCGGCACTCCATCCTTGAACCAAGGTGACACGGATTCTCCAAGTCGCACGTGTCCGAGCGAGCCCGAAGCCCTTGGGTGGCGTAGCTGGGAAAAGTCGAGAGGCCGTGTATTGATTGGGCCGCAAGTGCTGGTGCGTCGTGGCTCCATAACTCCGCCCAGCCATAGCTTTCGTCTGCTGCTCGCGGCCGACCTCCGGAACTATCCGTTTGTCGGACTTCTTCGTCGAGGTGTACGGAAGACCTTCTGGCTAACGCTCCGCTGGGCTCACCGCATGGTCGTAAGACGACGTAAGCGCAACATCGCGATGCCACGGAGATTGGCAAAGAACGAATTCCGGCGCGGATTCTAGAATTCTGAAGCAGCAGGAACTGGCCGCCGTCCGACCCCAGCGCAGATCCGTGCTTGTTCGCTTTGATAACCGCTTCGAGCTAGGGCTTACTGTAGCTGGAGCTACTACTGTAGCCGCCATGTAGTGGTGCGTGTATTCTACCATACCATGACGGTGCCGACAGCGGCCTACACCTGCCGACACAATCTATCATTGGTTAAAAGCCTGAATTTGTTTGATTGACCCTCCTGCCGACGTATAATGTTGGCAGGGCTGTCGAGATATGTTATCCACCTATAGTGAAGTTAAGTAATTAGGTGATTATACACATATTTTGCACGGTGCCGACACTTTACTTAAAGTTTGTATAGCATGAATTTGACTGCTTTACGCGTTTTGTAGTGGCGCTTCCGCTAGCTTCTCAAACTCAACCGAGTTTCCGTTGCGATGCCCTTTCATGAACTTACCACAACAGAATTCTGCCCGAATAAGGAACGGGTGTACAACTAATAGCCTCACATATTTAATATTATTTTCCAGTCGATGTGGCGATAGGGGGATGTGCAAGGTACTGCAAGGTACTGAGGTACTAAGGTGAAAAATCTAGTGCCAATCATCAGCTCTCCACCCTCGTTTGAAAAATGGCGCGCATTGAGCGATCTTACTAGACTTCAAACTACATGAACCGTAGTGGTAGACTCGCACTTTTGCTTTTGCACCTCGCCCCACAAGCCCCACTCCACCCAAGAAGTCCACACCGTTCAAGCGTCTCCGCCTCACTTAAAATGATGCAGGCTCTAGACCGGCTTGGTGAAGGGCTCGATAATCCCTACGAGGTCGACCAGTTGACAGCGCTGTTGTGGTGCGAGGATGTCTGGTCAAAGGTTAGTGCTTCGACCATACGCCACTGTTGGAATCATTCCGGACTCGTAGGTAAAGGTGCTCTTCAGTTCATTTTGAAATAACTAAATCAGTACATTGGAAAAGTATACTCAACTTAACATCAATTTATATATTCTGCGTCTTTATATATATCAGGCGTTCCTTACTCGGGCAGATTACTGTGCTAAGTACTAGTACTACATGTTAGCAGAACGGCAAGGCATGCGATAAGTAGTATTTGCTAGTTTCTTATCGTGGAGATGTACATGTAGGAGGAGGTGACGCAATGGAACACTTGGATAAATTGATACTTAATTAGTATTAACGGTTTAACTCCAGCTAGGAGGACATCGGGGCAGGTCCCAGCAACATGCCACCCAGCCAACCGTACACAACGCACCCACACGCAGTGGCAGCTCTGCATGACCAGCTGCGCCGCCACGAGACGCACCAGCTCCTCGCACGCTTCCTTGTGTCCTCGCTGCAGGCCACCCGCTCTTCAACCCGCAAACCGCGCCTTCGTCCCCGCCGCACTCACCCTCTACCGCACTCACCCTCTACCGCACTCACCCTTGTCCACGGACGCCAGCAGGCTCGACGACTCGAGTACGCCAAGCGCTCGTGCCCTCTCGTTCCTTCAGCTCCGCCGCACCCTCCTTCTCCTTACCATACGCGGCAGCCGCTCCGTCGTGCCCCCTCTCCTCCACGGCTGCCTCAGCGGTGACCGCCACGCTCCTTGACGCATTGCACGACCTCCTCCTCCACTGCCGCTCGCTCTGCCTCCCCTCTTCGACTCCTGCTCGACCTCCCTCCTTTCTGCAGCGTCATCGCGGCCTGCCTCACTCTCTCCACCACCTCCTACTCCTCCCCCTCCTCGGCCACCACCACCACCACTGCCGCCGCCAACGACGACGCCCGTCCGTCCGTCGTGCCCTTGGAGTCTCTACTGTCCTTCGTACTCTTGAGCTCCTCGCCTTCCCCCGCGCTCTTGGTGCCCCCCCCCGGTGCCTGCTGCCCCTCGCCCTTGTGTCCTGGGTGCCCTGCCCCTCCTCGCTCTCGACTGGCTCCGAGGGCACAGGCTGAGCACGCCGACGTGCCGGGCTTGCCACGAACCGTCTTGGGGGACCTGCTCACGCCTGTGCACGCCCGCGTGACACGCATGCGAAGCCTGGAGGGGAGGGCATTGCGCTCAGGAGCGCCGCCATTATGACCTCCACCACGAAATGAAAATGAGAGAAGGGTTCAAAATAGCCGTTTTACACTGCCATCGGCCTTTGAGGTGCGTAGTATTCGTACGGAATATCACTGCCGGTTCAGTAGCAGCTCATTCTCAGCCACTGCGGACCCGATATACACCGACTGTACTGACGTGTTGCGCATTGTGCCGTTGTTGTTACTGTTGTTGTTGTGCAGAGCGGTCTGTGCAGTTTTCACCGCCGGCCACGATCAAACTCTATACTAATGCCAGCGAGCTAGCCTTGGTCTACCCAGCGTCAAATGGTGCGTGGCCGTTGCTCCAAGCTCCACGCTGCCCTCATGGCCCTATCACTCTGCGTAGCAGCAGCGTCGCTCGGCGTGTGGCGGTACCAGCTCCGCCTGAAGCACGTAGTCAACCACAGTCACAACCTGCAGCGAGATTTCGCGTGCGCCTCATCAAGCCTACGCTGGCAGCTGACGCGTGCTACGCGGGGCTGTACGTGTGCCAAGAGGTGTCCAACCCGGAGCAGACAAACTTTGGCACATGTACAGGCGGCGTTTTTAAGAGGTCGACCGTGAGGGCGGTCTTTCGTCTCAAAGACGCGGAAGCTGTCGTTCAAGAAGTTAGACCACGTGCACGATCAGAACAAGCAGAACCCGATTCCAATTCTTTCAGTAGCAGTAGTAAGCCTCGGATATGAAGCTAGCAATCATACACCTACCCCTAACGTTGATGATTGGATAAAATACCATCTATCGCCCTTCTCATTCGATAATAATCGGTCATCGCCATTTGATTGGACCATGGCCACCATACAGTGGCTAAGTATAAAATCATATGTGTCGGCACCGTCACGATATCTATCCATAGTTTCCTGTTAGGAAGCGGAAAGATATACACTCGATGCGCCAAGACGCTTGCTGCCATGGCTTCAAACAAACTTTAACCGCTAGGACTGTGAGCTTTGTTTGTACAGAGTGTATGTCGTTGAAGTTGAAAGAGTGACGATGAGGATCGCTATTCACACCGTTAGCTCAGACTTCGTGATGGTTTCCTAACTCCAGAGTGGGTTCGTTACCTGCCTGTGGGAAAGTTGCAGTTTTCAATTATCGCGTGAGAGTACGCATCCGTTTCGAGTTGTACGTGGGTACGGATGGGTGGCGCTCTTAGAAACGCACACAGCGCTAGCCCAACGACCCGGAGGAGTTCACACTGAGGGTATTCTCCAACTTCCTCATTTGTCGATCGACTTCCCATTCGAATCGACTGATGAGACTTGCAGTCGCGGTCCTGGTCGCCATTATCGCGGCGGTGTTCGTATCAGCAGACGTCCCGACTTCCAGACACGAGTCTCCCAACGATTCGGATGACCACGACAAACTCCGCCGCCACCAAACGAACACGCAGCCTTCGGTCGATGACAACTGCTACAATAACGTTGGGCAAATCGTTCCCTTGGTTATCGGAATGCGCTACAGCTCTGGTGCCTACAAGACGTACAGCAGAATCACCAAGGCAGCATGCCGCGAGCTTTGCTTCAACGATATGAGCTGCAATGCTCTTAACTTCCAATCCACAGGCACCAAAACGACTTGCGAGCTCATCGACCAGGTCAATTTTTGGGATACAAGCTCAGACTGGGCAGACAAAGGTTGGGGGTCAATTTGGATTAAAACGGATCAAAAGTAACCCAAGTACACGTACTAGTAACGCTGGAGAACTTCTGCTCCACATAGAAGCATCCAGTGTTTGAATACAGCAGATTCCAATTGATTAAAATTAAGATCATGAACACAGGGGTGATGAAGATGTGATAAGCGCTTTGCCACGCGCATACCTAGCGGTGTCATTTGTTTGATCTGCCGTATTCTGATGCCCACTCCGTACATTTCACTTATTTATTATTTAACAAGATGGAATATCCACCGACCCGGCAGCTTACGCGTCGATCAATCGAAGGCACCCTGGTAGGCCTCCTTGAACGCCGATCACAACTCGGCGAGCATCCAGCCGCCGCCGTTGCTGGTGATAGTGTACACGCCCTGCAGCCTGCCTAACGCCCAATTGACGGGAGATTTCGCCCATTCCCATGTAGTTTTTCGTTGCTGCCCAAGGCCTAGCTGATAATATACACTGTCGGGCGCGGCGACGGCGGAGAAGCGCCCGATTGGTTTGCCATTTCGATTCGTCGACTACAGGCGATCAAAAGTAGATGATAGTGTTAATCGGTACACACTGAGTGAACTCGGAGGTGATGTTCATCACCTCTAACTTCTCAGATAAGTCATTACTGATGATCAGTCCGCGCTGCCGCAAGCTACCGGATCTACTCTTTCGACTCTGTGTTTGCCTTTGCCACAATTCTGGAGGTTGAGCGTGCTGCAGGACAGAGCCAAGAGGTGAGTACCTTTACCAGACCACCATGCGGGTGCTGGTATTGACTACTTCGATGCATTTGGCGCTGAGTTTCTCCTCCGTCAGCGAGCTCCGGAAACGGCGCCGATGATGGACGAGGCATCTGCAAGTTGAAGTTGTACCTCCGAAACCTAATTATCCAGCCTTACAGGCAATGTGGTCCACCTCAACTCAGATCCAGACAAAGCTTGTGTGCGGCACACCACGCATGTGACGCGCGACGACTTCGCCGATAAACACGCGCCGAGGATGGAGCAGCCATCCAAGCAGCGCGGCTTCAACTTCGCCGCCGACACCGCCACCTTCCGCCTGCAATTCTCCCTGCCCATCGTGCAGGAACGCCTACATGCGCAGCCCGCGTATTTATCCTGTGCACGCTCTGGTTGTGTGCTCCACGCCAAGTTCCTGTCTGCATCCTATCAGCGCGTCGACGCACGTCGCGTTTCGTCGCCAAAGCGTTGGTACTTTCACCCACCAAATCCGGAGGTCTTTGATCGCCATCTCCGTCGCTAAGTGTCTAAAAGCACCACCGTCTGTCATTTCCGCGCCCAGCCTTATCCAACAATCCGCATAAGTACGAGGCAAACTGCCGGTAAATCGACGCGCTGCTTGGAGCTCCACACAAAAGGGCATTCCCGCTTCCGCCGGCTCCCCCGCACCCAGCACCACACAGATCCCCTTGACAATGCTGCGCAACCTGGCCTCGATCTCGCGCCGCTCCGTGGCCCTGCGCTCGTCCGCGTCGCCCCTGTCGGCGCGCGCCTTCTCGTCGGCCTCGTCGGACTACGACGTCGTGGTCATTGGCGGCGGCCCGGGCGGCTACGTGGCCGCCATCAAGGCCGCGCAGCTGGGCCTCAAGACGGCCTGCATTGAGTCGCGCGGCAAGCTGGGCGGCACCTGCCTGAACGTGGGCTGCATCCCGTCCAAGGCGCTGCTGCACTCGACGCACCTGCTGCACACGGCGCAGCACGACTTCAAGAGCTACGGCATCGACGCGCCCGAGGTCAAGGCCAACTTCCCGCAGATGATGAAGGCCAAGGAGAAGGCCGTCAAGACGCTGACGGGCGGCATCGAGAGCCTCTTCAAGAAGAACAAGGTGACGTACATCAAGGGCTTCGGCAAGGTCTCGGCCCAGGGCGAGGTCTCGGTCGCGCTCAACGACAACAAGGGCAACGAGACGGTGAAGGCCAAGAACATCATCATCGCCACGGGCTCGGAGGTCACCCCCCTGCCGCCTGTGCCCGTGGACAACGAGGCCGGCAAGATCATTGACTCCACCGGCGCCCTGTCGCTCAAGCGCGTGCCCGAGCACCTCGTGGTCGTCGGCGCCGGCGTCATCGGTCTGGAGCTCGGCTCCGTGTACAAGCGCCTCGGCTCCAAGGTGACGGTCGTCGAGTTCCAGGACGCCGCCTGCCCCGGCATGGACAAGGAGTCCGTCAAGGAGTTCACCAAGCTGCTCAAGAAGCAGGGTCTCGAGTTCCAGTTCGGCACCAAGGTCACGGCCTCGGAGGTCAACGGCGACGTCGTCAAGCTCACCACTGAGCCCTCCAAGGGCGGCGACGCCTCCACCATCGAGTGCGACACCGTGCTGGTCGCCACTGGCCGTCGCGCCTTCACGGCTGGCCTGGGCCTGGAGCAGATGGGCATCCAGACTGACAAGCTCGGCCGCATCGAGGTCGACGACGCCTTCCGCACGCAGGTGCCCGGCATCTTCGCCATCGGTGACGTGATCAAGGGCGCCATGCTGGCCCACAAGGCCGAGGAGGAGGGTGTTGCCTGCGTGGAGAACATCGCCGGCAAGCACGGCCACGTCAACTACGGCGCCATCCCCGGCGTCATCTACACGTTCCCGGAGTTCGCCTCCGTGGGCAAGACCGAGGAGGAGCTCAAGGCCGAGGGCATTGAGTACAACGTGGGCAAGTTCCCCATGATGGCCAACAGCCGCGCCCGCACGGTGGCTGAGTCCGACGGCCTGGTGAAGGTGCTCGCCGACAAGAAGACGGACAAGCTGCTGGGCGTGCACATCATCGCCAGCAACGCCGGCGAGATGATCGCCGAGGGCGTGATCGGCATTGAGTACGGCGCTGCCAGCGAGGACCTGGCGCGCACGTGCCACGCCCACCCGACGCTGAGCGAGGCGTTCAAGGAGGCCTGCTTTGCCGCCTTCGACAAGCCGATCAACTTCTAAGCTGTCGGGTCGGTGGAGACTGCCTTGTAGATCAAGTGAGATGCAGCGGAGCGGGCATTAGGATAGTGCAGACCAAGTAGCACGCGCCCAGTATGCGTGTGGCAGAGTGCTTATCGCGTATTCAATGGTTATATACGTGGCTCTTTACTGCTTCTTCATCACTGTAGCTCCTTGCTGTCTGCTGCATTAGATCACTTTTGGTCAGTTCGCATTGATGTTGTTCTCCAACCTTCGTCTGCCACCCAACCCGAGGTCGTTTCCCAAAAATTGACTTGGTCGACGAGCTCGCAGGTCGTTTTGGTGTCTGTGGATCGGAAGTTGATAGCGTTGCAGTTGCCATCATTGAAACAGAGTTCGCAGCATGCCGGCTGGGTGATACCGTCGTGAATCGAGTATGTAGCGCATTCCGTTTTCCAAAGAGATGACTCGCCCAACGTTATCGTAACAATTGTCGTCGACTGGAGGCTGCGTAGTCACCGGAGGGGGCGTGGTCGAAGAGGGTTTCGTTGTAGCTGCGGGGCACGGAGTTGAAGTTTTCCTTGTATTCGTAGCCGGAGGGCGCACGATCGCCTTCAGTGAAGCTGTCGCCGGGGTTTTACTTGTGCGGCGTAGCGTGCCGTGGGTTCTTTCAGCAGAATGCAGGAGGACGCGAGACTCCGACAGTGGATTGGCAGCGTCACCGTCTCCAGACACGAGTTGCGCTGCAATGAAGACAACGGCCAGAGCAGATTTTATCGGGTTCATCAGTTGATTCGAAGAGAGGGAGCGTCGATGTAGCTGCAAAAGAGCACGTTAGAGAATGAGAGCACGGAGCGGTCTCTAAGTAGCGCTTCATGATGCGTTTCGAATGGCGACAGCAAGCTAGGGCTAACACAATGCTTTAGATTTTCTCGAAACGGGTGTGGGCTTATCTGTACGTATTTTCATTGCAAACATCACATGAGCAAACTTCGACCCACGGAACGCCTGCAAGAGTGCCAACGACATGACCGTTCGAAGTCTCAGTCGATAATTCAAAGAGTTTGGGGCTGTACAGCATCCGAAACGGCACCGCTGTCATGCAGTCGCGATACCCTCCACCCACCGCTCGAACACTGTGCATTGAAATTGCGACGACTGAGCACCAGCGCGCAGAAATACCGGGGGTATGCGGTCTTGCTTGTAAATCCGTTGCTCCGGTGTCAACGCTCTGCGAGCAGCCAGCTACACGTACGAGCTCGTCCGCATAATACGGTGCGATTACGCTCGCAGCGTGCGCTCTGTCCAGCGTCCTGTAATACCGCCATAAGCAGTTCGCCTCGGCGCTGGTAGCAAGCCTCACTCCAACACTTCCGCGCAGCACCACCTCAGGACTTGGCGCTCGCATCAATAAACACACTAAACCCAACACGTACAGCTCACATACGTACGCAGGTCTCCGGAGTGCGATGCCAGCCACGCCGTCTGTTGTTGACTCCTTGCGTCAACTGACCCCTCGACGTAGAAACTGGCCCATTTACCGTCAACACAGCGCCCCGCGCAGCTCCCGGCGTCAACTGATACCACGATGGGCTCCCCGACCGCCTGCGACGAATGCGGCAAGAAGTTCAAGGTGTTCGGCTCCAAGAAGAAGTGCAAGCACTGCATGGACGTGGTGTGCAAGTCCTGCCTTGCCGCGCACCTCGAGCTCAAGCACACGCACCTCAACAACCCCGCGAGGCGTGGCTTGCGTCGTCGCAAGTCGCTGGAGCTGTTCGACGCCGCCGGAAGACACCCGGACGAGCAGGAGGAGCTGCAGTTCCTGTCGCCCATTGGCTCGCCCGACCTGGAGCTCGAGTACGCCGACTCGGGCTCGCCCGACGTGCTGGAGGGTGTGGACGGCGTGGAGAACGTCAGCGACGAGGAAGACGAGGCGGAGTACGACCACGAAGACGACGAGGAGGACGAGGAGCTGCTCATGACGTCGCTTGCCAGGCAGTCCTCCATCGAGGAGGAGGAGATCCAGTACCGGGAGATGCAGAAGATTCAGGGCGCTGTGGCCACCTGGGCGCTCAAGGAGAAGCAGGCCAAGCAGGCGTTGCTGAGGCAGAAGAGGAAGGACAAGCGCTACATGTACTGCTCCATGGGGGCGCCCGTGTTCCCCGAGGTCTGCGAGTACGAGACGTGCAGCGCCTTCGCTGTAAGCTACGCCGTGCTGGCCACGGTCGTCGTCTGGGCGATCTACGGGGCTCTACTCGCGCTCTACCTGCGCGCTCGCGCACTGCCCCTGCTGGGGCTTTAACTTCCGTCCACCATACATATATACATTAACTTCTGTCCAAAAGTGCACAAACTTCCGTCAAAGACGTAATATACTATTCCCCACAAAGTACGAATCTTCTGTTTGACTACCGGGTCACCCACCCCCGACTACCCGGTCACCCTCTTTTCCAGCCAACCAAAAGCTGTGTGCTTCCCCCCTTTCGGGAAGCGCTTTGCCCAGTCATTCTCCCTTTGAATCGCCCGTCGAAGAAGCGCCCGACCCCAAAGGAAAGCATGAGCAAGTTGAACAGCGAGCTGCTGTCGCAGGCCGTGGACGACATCCTGGCCTTCTCGGCCGGCGAGACCGTGACGATCAACGGCACGGAGCTGAAGGGCAAGAAGCGCAACTTCAACGAGACCATCGAGCTGCAGATCGCGCTCAAGAACTACGACCCGCAAAAGGACAAGCGTTTCAGCGGCACGTTCAAGCTGCCCACCGTGCCCCGCCCCAACATGAAGATCTGCGTGCTCGGTAACGCCGTCCACTGCGAGATGGCCGAGAAGGAGGGCTTCGAGTACATGACGGTGGACGACCTCAAGAAGTTCAACAAGAACAAGAAGGTCATCAAGAAGTTCGCCAAGAAGTACGACGCCTTCCTGGCCTCGGACACCCTGATCAAGCAGATCCCGCGTCTGTTAGGTCCGGGCCTCAACAAGGCCGGCAAGTTCCCGACGCTGGTCACGGGCAACGACTCGCTCACGGAGAAGGCCGAGCAGGTGCGCGCCACCATCAAGTTCCAGATGAAGAAGGTCATGTGCCTCAACGTCGCCATTGGCCACGTCGGCCTCGAGAAGAGCCAGATCGTGGTCAACACGCAGCTGGCCGCCAACTTCCTGGCCTCGCTGCTGAAGAAGAACTGGCAGAACATCAAGGTGCTGTACCTCAAGTCCACCATGGGCCCCCCGGTGCAGATCTTCTTCTAAGTTGCTGCTGGATTTGCTGCGAACATTACGCTACTGCTTTGGACGCTTGTGGATCTCTCGTTTTGAGGGAGCTACGAGCTGACAATGACGTCTCACCATTGCGCTGCCGCGTAGGCAGCGCTATGGAAGCTACTTCGACACCTAACTTGGATAACAATTTGAAGGGATTCGTTATCAGGCAAACACTTTATCTTTTGTTATTGTATCTTGTTGTTTGAACCGTTCGTTTAATATGCTCAAAGGACTCGAGCTTCCGACGATCAACTGCCGAAAACCCCAGTGCGCCCCAGGCCAGGTAGATACCTTCGTTGCCTTTCACACTTGGCCCAAACAGCGTTGTGCGGCTCCAATAATGAATGAGGCCAGCTTTGTCGTCCACTCGAGTCGACACTGCGTAGCCAATCTGTCCATGAAGCGTCGGTATCATTCCCTCAAAAATGCGAATTAACACTGTTCACTCAAAGCGGATGAAGATGAGGATTTCGAGGTAAGAAGGTGAGCAAGATAGCTGAGATTCTAGAGGCACTTCGTCCGTTGCTGGCGACTTGGTGTGTGTGGCCTCTGCTTCATAGGTTTGGGCTCGACGAACTGCGTTTCTGGCGCTTTCGACGACAGTCTCGGTCAGAAATTCCTGGCCGAGCGTAGGTACCAAGACTGCTACACTGTAGGATATTTCCTCCATAACGGGTCAGTGCTTGATGCACCAAAGATCGACTGCAGTACGAGCTCTCTATCTATTCATCGCTGTTAGATACGGTCTAGCAGTAAAGCCCCCACCTGTACTTTGGACATACAGAGCGTTCAATATCAGCATCAAGCGGTAGAGTCACCAGCAGTTGAGACTGGTAATCGTGTGCTGGCTAAACAATGTGCAGTCGCGAACACGATCCGAGCCGCGCCGTTATTCGCCTTCTCTCGCACTATCCTGGCCCACTACTTTAGATCTACGTTTCATGCGAACGCTGTCGACGTTTCCCGACGCCCAGAAGCGAAAGCGTCCTTCGCTTCTTTGCTCGTGGATAATGGCGATCGAAAACCTTATTATCCGGGCAAAATTGAGGCGGCCACATGCTGCACTCTATGACCGAGAGTTGATTCTTCATCGTAATCGTAGATAACCGTAAGGCTAGCGGCCGCTTAAACGATGCAGACAGTACACGGCATCTGGCTCAGACTGGCGGTCGCTCGGTCTCCAGCAATCCCAATTCGAGGTCATTCCGAAAAACGCCTCGCCCCGTACAAGACCGAGTATCCAAATGGTGTCTTTGCTGCAGTTCGCTACCTTCGCCGTAGCCTCCACGCTCACCGTTAGCACTACAGATGCAAGGAAGCTCTCGACCGGCGTCTGCTACGCGCCGTGGCACCACTCGACCGTCAACTGGAACGTGCTCGCCGCGGACATGGCCCACATCTCCCAGTACTTCTCCAGTATCCGCACCTTTGAAGCGTTGATGAGCGGCGTCAACGTCGTCGACATGGCAGCAGCCGCTGGACTCCGCGTCGCTGTGGGCGTGCAAATGGGGAACCCGTCGCGGATTGACGCGGAGATTCAGGCGGTTTGTGATGGCTACAAGCGGAACGCATGGGCGGTTGAGGCTGTGTACGTCGGCAACGAGAACCTGCGCAACGGAGGCTTCGGCACATACTCAGCCGAGCAGATCGTTGGATACATCAGACGAGTGAAGCAGTGCGTGGGCAACACGCCGGTTGGCTCCGTGCAGCGCATCAACGAGTGGCTTGGAGCTTCCGGCGCATGGACATTGGCGAACGAATGCAACGTCATCGGAGTCAACATCTACCCGTTCTTCACGCCTGGTTCGCAGTCTTCGTTGAAGAAGTTGGAGGCGCAGTGGGGCCAAATGACGTCCAAGTTCGGATCAAGCAAGCTTCGCCTGACCGAGACGGGGTTCCCGTACGCGGGTGAGAGTTACGCCGGCAACGTCCCGTCGGTCGGCGCAATGACGCAGTTTTTCTACGACTACATGTACGGCTTTGCGAGTGGCAAGGGCCAGTCTTACTGGTTCATGATGTACGACACGACGGTGAGCTACACTGGAGCGGAGTACGAGAAGCACTTCGGGCTCTTCGGCACAGACAAGTCGAAGCGCATTAGCATGCCGTAACTAGCATCGGAAATGATGATGTACCTAGGCCTTAGAATCGCACGTAGAATAGAAACAGCTTCTGCTGTACATAGTTTTCTCACTTGCCTACTTTAAGTATATATTTTTAGCACTCAACTTTAACAAGTATCCTTCATAACTATATGGTAGCATATCGCTGCGATTCTAACCCCTGAAAAATACCTTAAAGTTTGTATGGTGCTTCCGGCTAATAGGAGTGTGCCATCTGCGATTCTTAGCATTTACAACCAATAGACACTACCGTTGCTTAAAATTTCGACCAATTAAATCGAGGGAATGACTGCCAACCGCTGATCTGAACATTCCAACAATATCTGGTTGGAAACGCGATTTGATATCGAGTATGCCATACAAATATCAAGTGAACTACAAATAGAATAAATATTCATAGGTTTCCAACCCCTGCCAGCTCATCTCCGACTCCATTCTGCGTTCCGACGCACACAGGCATGTCGGTGGCATCGCTAGTTCCTGCGAACAGCCAGAGAAGCAGAGCGACGGCTGTGAAGTCTTTCGAAGACTTCCTTGCGAAGAAGGAGCTGACGCTCACAGAAGTGCATGATCGTATTTCTAAGGACAGCACAGGTAAGAGTTTGTTTGTCATTCTGGATAAGTATGGGTGGTTCTTAGTGAAAAAAATAGGAAGGCAAGGAGTAGCTCTGTCCAAGAACACTGTGTTATCTTATTTTGGCAATGCTAAGAACTGGCTGGCGGATCTGTACCCGCAACAGAGCCAATGTGTAGCTAAGAAGCTGCAAAAGATACTATCAACTCTAGATCGGTACTGTGAAAAGAGGCCGGAGCAAGGTGTCACGAAACAAGCGCCACCATGTACTAAGAAAGATATAAAGACTATCATCTCGGCTCTCTACATGGACGCTTCCGCCAACTCCGACTACCTGGATGCGGTGCTAGTGGCGTTGATGTGGTACCTCTACGGTCGTGGTTCTGAGGCTGAGCAATTGGAGAAAGCCCAGCTGTGTGTATTCCCCGGTACGAATCGTGCAGGATTTTGAATTTTTGTATTAATTAACCCCACGAATTATGCTGACCGTTCTGTGCGTATATGCTAGGCGATATGATATTTCTCCGCTTTAAGCGTGTGAAGACTGCTTCGCAACAGGGAATCTCCCTGTTTAAGGATCCTAACGATCCCTTCCCGTGCCCGTTACACGTGCTAGCTGTCGCTCTCGCCCTTCAACCCGCTCCAGGAACTCGCATCTTCCCGCAATTTGCTGACGTACCTGCGCTGTCCGCGTCCGACGACCAAGACGACGATGGCGAGCTGGGGCTGATTGCGCAGCTAGACCGCGAGCTTGCGGAAGCACCTACATGCAAGACTCCACAGCCACGTCGAGCCAACTCGGCCCCTGGTGCCCAAGCTTATATCAATAGACTATTAGTCACGGTTAGTGGACTGCCAGCAGCAAAGGAGAGTGGACTCACGAAGGGACTTACCTCGCACTCCTTCAGAAGAGGTGGGGCCATGCACGCCAACGCCGACAGTCGCATTAGGCCGAACTGGGTTGTTGAACGCGGGGGCTGGAATATGTCGCGCGTGAGCAAGGCGTTTTCCTACATGCTGAACACAACACACGAAGATCAACAAGCTGCGCGCCAATTGAGCGGGTGGAACCCGCAAGCGGGCGCCCGACTTCCAGACCTTACCGCCATGGACGGAGTCGTCCGAGCGCGCGTGGAGAAGCTGCAGGATCTCCTTTTCGCTGCTGTCACTGGTTCCCGACAGTGTCTTGGAACTTGGATCCTCAGGTGCTCGAAGTGTTGATGGCGACCTTGATCCTTCACTTCCCCGAGATGGAACGCCATCGCTTGGATAGCCCGTACGTCCGTCGCATTCATGAAGCCCTTGGTGTCCTCAACATACAGGCCTCCGAGCTGTTGGGATGGTCGATCACCCTCCGAGCTGCATTCAATCCACCTGCAGAAGAGAAACAAGAATCAGCGGGCGAGTCCTCTCAAAACATGATCCGTGTTCTCGAAAAGCTGTCGCAGCAGCTCGACGTGCTATTGCTCCGCTAAACACGCGTAGAGGAAAGGCTGGCTGTTTTGGGGGCGAACGCAGAATCTATTGACAAGAAAACAAACACTACCGAGCAGCAGCACGAAGACGTTGAGCAGTCGCAGCCAAAGCGCGCGCGCAAACGTGCCTCCAAAGCGCTATCGACAGTGTGGTTCGAGTGGTTCACTGCTGTACCACGCATGTACGAATCAACAACAGTTAGCAAAGCCATCCTTCACGAGTCACGACACGCAGTTGCATTCATGATGCTCTGCTTACCTTCTGGGTTCAAGCTGGATCCGGCCTCGCCAGCGTACAAGGCGGAGGTCCACGCTGTTGGAGTCGAAGCCGAGAAGAAGACGCTTGAATACTTGGCTCCACAAGGCTCACAGGCTGTAGCCATTGGCTCGGACGTCAAAGCCATGCGTGCGCTTCACAAAGCAGACCACCTTTCCGTCCTCCTTGACCAGTTTCGCGAGTGCTACTATGAAGGCGAAGTCGTCGACCCGACACCCAATTCTGCCCTTCCGCCATTCCTGCGCTTCACCTAAATGCACACGCAGCACACTAAACAGTCAATAAGATACACAATACGTACAACAGGAGTAGCACGCACTCTCTTAGCCGACCTGTCCAAAAAGAAAGCAAAAACACATAATACTTGATGCCCATGTCGGGGTTTGAACCCGATCCTCCAGGCCCGAAGGCCTGGCGCTCAACCTCACGAGCTCCATGGGCGCGGGTAAGTCGCATCCATCAACAGCACCATACTCGTCCAAACCCTCGGCCACTTGAGTCACACGCCACGAGAGCGCACAGGCGCAACCCAACACACGTCCCAGCAGCGCACATAGCCCAACAGCAAATGGCCGGCGTCAGTAGCACACACGGCCCAGCGGCCAACAGCGCCTGTGTACACGCAGAGACAACAGCATCACAGTCAGCACAGGTAGCACAAGCAGCGTTGCACGACTCGCAGCACTAACCTGGAAGCTTCTGGACTGTTGGCCGAGAATCCAATCGGTATACTGAGCCCATAGAACAGTTCAACGCTGAAGCGATCCTATCACCTTGACGATCCGAATGGCATTGAAGACCTTCTTCATAGTATTCATACGACGGTCCTTATGTTGCAGAGGCAGCCAAGACAAGCGTAGCGCGACCTGAAGATGTGGCTATGTAGTGGTAGTCCCGCGGCACTGGTCTTAATTAGCACAGGCAGGGAAATATTTTTGTGGGTAGTTGGGAAGTATGTCGGTGGCTTAGTTTAGTGATCGAACGCAAACTTCCCCTTTACATTTATTGTGAAAACCGATTAGTTTGTCCTGCTGAATTAGTCGGTTAAACATCACTCATAGCAGATTTGAAGGCCAATAAATCGGGGATGTATCAATTATAATCGGAGTTTAAATCGGTCATCGGTCTCGTAATTATGTGCAGCCTAGCAATTTCGATCAACATGCATTTACCTCGGCCCGAGACTCGCCAAGTGCAGCGGCAACACCGCGCTTAAACGCGTCGCCTGCATATCTCAGCTACATGTATTATAGCGTGCGGCTTTTCCTGCTAGCAAGCAAATCGGCCGGCCCTGGCTTAATCGGTCGATTACCAAATGTAAATCCGACTCATATGCTCTGACTCTGTAAGTCGTCCTAGGTAATAATCTTGAGTATAAATCGAGGTACCCCAGTCTAATTAGGAGGTCGGATTTAACAAATGGGGGGTCGTTGGTCTTATTAAGCCACTAAATCGGCGGATTAACAATCCAATAAGACATTCTAATCGGTTTTCACAATAGATGAAGTTTCTGTTAAGGTCGTGGTAGACGTTGGCACGGTGCCTCGCGCGGGTCCCGCGGTCTGACGGGTATCGAATAGCACCGCGGAGGACGTATAGAGAGTGGAAGTGCGCGAGCATGCACTGAAATAGCGCCTGCGTGGGTTCGGAGGGGCTTCTGGAAGTATAACCGTAAAATATTACTGGTATTACCAATTCCGAGGAGTAGTATTACTTCAATTATCCTTATACATTCGCCCAAAAAACGAGTATAAGTATTAATACAATCTGTATTAATACCGAAATTGTATTACTGAGTAATACAATACTTTGAGCTCTGTTGGTGGCTCGAGTTGAAAACGTCGGGGTCACACTTGTTGTAGGAGAAGGGCCACATGCGGTTGGTGGACGCAGAGAAGCTGGCCCTTGCGAGGTTCCCCAATAGCCAGATCCCCGGCCAAGCCGGGTAGTAGTCGGCAGTAGCAACCTTGCCTGACTTGCCAAGGGCGGAGATCCGGGTTGGCAGAAGCTTTTGACACGGCCCCGGGCAGCTGAGCGCGCACCTCGAGCATGCCTCCTTGGTAGCAAAACTTGTTTCACGACTGGACCATTGCCGAGCGATAGAAGAAGCTGGCGTCCGTGTAGCTGGGAGGGTGCGTGTACATGTTGTAGACGTGGATCACGTTGACTTCGTCCACGGCCTTGATGAAGAAGTAGCGCGTGCCGTCGTCGTCGCACTTGGCGGAGGTCATATTGTGCGAATAGAGCTCCAAAGCTCCGTTGACACCGTCGGGCTTCTCCAGTGACGTCCACATGTGGTCGTTGCCCGGCCGGAAGCTGCGATTCGCCACGTTAAACTCGTCGCTCATAACGAGATCCCATCGTCGGCCACGCGAGCTAATACACACCTGGCGGTCTTTGGGCGTATCCGGGTCGACCCACGGCTTGATACCCGACCTGGTTGGGAACGTCGACCCCGTCAAGGTGCCGTTCTTACCCGAAGCGAGCGTCACAGTGGTGGCGATGAACACCCCAAGCAGCGCCTGCAACATTTCGAGCTGGTGGGATTGCTAGCCGAAGACGGCGAGTTTTGAAGTGGCCGCGTCGAGTTGAGCAGTTGGGCTGGAGTGCGCGAACCCCGTGAGAACAGGACCATATTTCTCTACATGTAGCTGTTTGGAGATTACTGGATGCGCTGGAAATTCTCTGCACTCGCTCCGCGTCATAGTAATCCCGTCGGAAACACGAGCAAGTTACTGTATCCGTCGACCCAAGCCGCTGCCACTTGCTATTTCGTAGTCGACAGCAACACCCGTCCCGCAATCTCCATGGCCACTGCAACGCGACGCCACGCACGTGGAGGCCGCCGATCCTGCCCTTGATCCTTCAGCAGACAGTTGTCCGCCGCCCCTCTCGTTGACTCAACGACGTTGAGTGCCGTCGCGTGGCGCGACGCACGCGATGGAGCGAAGACTAGGACGTAGGTGCAGATTGCCTTCCGCCCTCATTGAGTCGTTCTCCGCTCAGCCGCGTCGCGGAAACATGACCTCGACCAGCTTGTCCTCCTGGAGCTGGTGCGTCTAACAATCCGTGGCGCGTAGTCGAGTTCAGTTGATCACGCGCCCACGACGCCCGCCTCTGATTGGCTCGTCCTCGTTCCCACCAAAACTCCGTCTTAATTACGAAAAATGGGATACCTGTCATCACGTATTAGATGACATTTTATTGCTTCTCACCGTTATTGAGCTTACCCAGACGCATCAAACCGCAACTGTATCCAGACATTCTACCACGAGTAACGCCGCTCCATCCCTTTATCCAAACTAGACCTTCCCGCTGTCGCAGGTTCAACCGCGACATAGAGCGCATCCCGCAATACAATTGCCAAGTCACTTGTCAATCCGCGCTGGCCTGCCCCAGCACAAGCCCCAGTATGGAGAGCCTGTTCGCGCTGCCCGAGGCGTCCGCGGGCGCCGCGGCGTCGCCCCCGCGCATGTTCCACGCGACCGCCTACTCGTACGCGTCGCCGCCGCCTCCCTCCGCGCAGTCGTGGAGCTCCCCGTCCGCCTGCAGCGGCAGCGAGGGCGCGGCGTCGCCCGCGTCCGACGACGTGTCGGCGGAGCTGCCGGCGCCCAACCTGGACCGCGACTGGGAGATCCTAAGCGACCTGCTGATCGACGACGCGCTGAGCGCGCTTCCGCCGCCGCAGAGCGTCAATTTCGTGCCCAATTCGCAGTATTTGGCCCAGAATTCGGGGCAGCACGCCCAATTGAGACAGAGTGAGGCCACGCCGGCGTCCCCGTTCACAGGCGCCATGCCGGCAGGTTACAGCAGCTCCAGCAGCGTCAGCAGCGCTCCCGAGGCGGCGCCCGTGGCCCCGCGACCAGCTGCGAGCGCTGCGAAGGGACCCAACAAGGCGCCGAGAGGACGCGGCAGGGGACGGAAAGTGGCCGACGCCGGCGTCAAGAAGGAACCGCTGACGCTGGAGGAGCAGAAGAAGCAGCGCCGCAGGTCCCAGATCGCCTCGAGCGTGCAGAGGCACCGGGAGAAGAAGAAGTGCCTCGTGGAGTCGCTGCAGACCGACATGGTGCGCTTGACGGCGCAGCTGGCGGAGCTGCGCGCGCAGCGGAGAGCGCAGTTGGCAGACAACGACCAGCTAGTGGCCTACGAGGAGGAGGCCATGACCCAGCGACGCAAGAGGAAGCTAGCCGAGCAGAACAACCAGGTGCTCAAGCAGGCGCTGTTCCAGCAGACGGCCTTCCTGGGCGGCATGCGCGCCCTGATGGGCGGGAGCGGCATGCCCAGCTCCAGGACCATGGAGTTCCACGACTGGGTGCACTCGTACACGGCGCTGGCGTCCAGAGACGCGATGGCCCGGAGGAAGGAGTACGTGGCCCACTTCCCGCAGAGCAAGATGGAGCTGGCCAACAAGCTGGTGCTCAAGGACACGGAGGAGGAGACCCAGAGGCTACTGGCCACGGGTCATGTGTACTCGGGCAAGGTCAAGCTGCTGCACGACGGCACGCGCGACGCCCTGGAGCTGGACTGCGGATACACGGACGTCATGATGCGCGAGCTGTTCGGCCAGCCGAACAGTGCCCCCAATACGGACGACGCTGGTGACGGCCGCGTGATCAAGGAGTTTTCGTCCGTGTTCCTGTTCCGTGAGACGCCTCAGTGCACGCTGGATACTCTGATGGACCTGGTGTTCACGAGCATGAGGTCCATCGGCGTGTATTACCCAGGATCCGTGTACCAGTCTCGCTCTGTGGATGAAGTGTACCAAGACGAAGACGATGGAGTGACCAAGTCGCGCGTGTTCTACGCGGACTTGGCGGCGTCGATGGAGCCGATCTTGGAGATCGTAGACGAAACGCGCGAGGCTGACGAGATCAAGGTGGAGGCTCGTGTGATAACCCGAGAGTCGCGCAACAAGGACGAGGGCATGATCCTGTGGGACTACGTGGACGACGACTCGCTGCACCCGATGCCAGTGGACGCCCCCGGTAACAGGACGATCCGACGCAATGTGTGCGGTGGCATGGTGATCCGACGTGAGCCTGGCACTGGCATGTTGTCTGTAAGACACGTGTCCGTCAAGGGCTACTGCCCCCTGGACAAGGCGAAGAACTTGCCGATGTCACCGAGCTCCCCAGACGCAGAGGAGGCACAACGCGCCGTGTCGCGACGCATCGGCCTGCAGGCGACGGAGTATGAGCGCATTAAGGACCGGTGCACCCGCTTCGTCTTCAACGACATCACGCGCCGACTAGGCGAGCTCCACGTGTCGTGATCGTTCGCCTCAGTCGGCGATGAGTTTATCTACCCTTACTACGTGTTGCTATGCGTATCAAATGCCCTAGCGCAGCTAGCTTTCCTCCTCCCATTAATTTTGAAAATGTATCAACTCGAAGCGAGAGCGATTGATTCATCCACCCAAAGCCTTATCCGGGAAGACTTCCACTGGAAGGGACAACTCGAGGGGAGGCGCAGGGTAACGAAAGCTTAGCTCTTTGATAACATAATACCGGTCGCTGCTTAGCCGGTAACTTTTCTCTCTCTCTCTCTTACTCTCTCTTCATCCTCTAGGCTTAGTTCATGGCGCCGACGAGAGCCACGGCGATGATGGCCGACACAATGGCGGCGAGGTTGGCCTGGGGCACGGCCGAGGCGGCGCTGGAGCCCGCGGCGCTGCTGCTGCTGCTGCCGCTGGTCGATGACGTCGAGGTCGAGTTGGAGTCGTCCGAGCCGGCGGACGAGGCCGTGAGCGAGTACGAGTCGGCGATGCCCACGCCCGCGGCGTTGCGCTCGGCCACCGTGTCGAGGATCTCCTGGGGGCAGATGGCCGAGCAGTTGAAGCGCTTGACGCCCGCGAGCTGCTTGTCGGCCGCGTCGTTCTGGGCGATGCACGACATGCACGTGTGGCAGATGGAGGCGGGCTCCGTGGCCGTCGTGTTGATCTCCTGCACGCAGTGGAGCTTCTCGGCGCAGATGGGGCCCTCCTCCGTGGACGTGGCGATGTAGCCGTACGAGTCGACGCACTGCAGCTGGTCGCTGCACTCGCCGAACTGCGGCACGGAGCCCGACGTGGCGTTCGGGTTGGCCGAGTTCTGGCAGCTCTCGACGTCGTTGGCCTTGCACTCGCACATCTTCTTCTCCTTGCCGTTCTGCTTGCCCTTGGACACGCACTCGAGCTCGTAGCCGTTGAGCTCGGCGCAGTTGTCGTCGCACTCGAGGCTCAGGAACTGCAGCACGCACTTGGCCGGGTTGTACTCCGTGCCCTCGAACTCGGTCGTGCCGCTCTCGGCTTGCACCGTCGTGCCGTTCGTGCCCACGGCCATCGTGAGGCTGCCGCTGTCGTCGGCGGCCATGGCGCTAGAGGAGGCGCTGAGGGCCAGCACGGCCGCGACCTGGAGCACCGACGAGAAGGCCATTGGATCGATCGGATACTGTACTCTCGGGGGAAAGTTAGTGGAGACTTGCGGACGGCTGGCGTCGAATCGGGAAATGAGCTGCTGAGCTTGGAGGAGGCTTTTTGGTGGAGGGCTGTGACTGCTTGCACTTTGCCCGCAGCTGGGTGCTGTTCAGATGCGGCCCTTGCACCGACTCTCTGATCTTTCTGCTTTTTCACGAAATTTGACTAGTACTCGTGAACTTTACACTGTATGTATCAGAATGTTTGTATGGGATGGAGGAAAGTTACTGAATGGGATCTTTGATCTTTTCGCTGTTTGGGATCTTTTTGCTGTGCGGTGATAGGAATTGAGCGCGGCAAAGCTCGCGGTTAATCATGGGAAAACCTGAGCGTTCCCCATGGCCGCACGCTGTGCGGCTGAGTGTTTCCTGCATCTCGCACGGCAAAGCTCAGTTTCCGGCCTTTCGACACTTTTACACTTGAGAGCGGCGGGGTTTTCGCGGAAAAGCGCCACACCGCGAGGTCTCCTGGACCAGCGTGGGTGCAAAGGGCCCGGTCTCTGACGAGTGCGGCATTGTGAGCCAGAGCTCATGCTTGGCGAGAAGGTTCCTGTCTCGATGACCTTCGCGTTAGCTATGCTGCCAGGCAGTCATGTCCTTCAAGACTTGAGCTCCTCGCTCACTCCAAGATTCTCGCCACTTCAAGCCCAAGATCCTGGTCTGGTATCTCTCATGGATGTGGGTCATGGGCGACGAATATTTTGCCGCCGATGACGATACCTACAGTACTGTACATCAATCAAGGGCGGAGACACTTGATGAAGCCGTGCACCGTGGCACTGACGCCAGCGCTTCAAAGCGTTCCGAAAGCCCCGTACACTGTACGGGCCCCGTACTACGGGGCTTTCGGAACGCTTTGAAGCGCTGTACGGTACAGGTGGTGAATGCTGATGCAAAGTTTGACTTTAAATTTGCGTCTTGCACCGGCGATGAAGGTACAGTGAGTAATGCGCGTTAGCGTCGCGGCGAGACTTGGCGGGTGCAGCGAGATCACGCGGCCGCCACGCTGCATGGCAGGTGGGGGCACCTCGGAGACCACCCGATGGCGTTGATTCGGGCCAGCGCTGTTGAGGCCGCTCGAGCGTTGCACATGCGTCCTGGTTGGGGAGGTTTGACACCGGTGGTGCCTCCACATTGTCTTACAGCTCGTACGCGCCGGTGGTCAAGCCAGTTGGAGAGTGCTTACGTACACAGTCTTTTTTGATGGGGGTCGAGGGGGGGGTGAATGTGACATAGAAGAGGACCAACGGAGGCGGGCCCAGCGACGAGCATTCCAGCCAGCCGAGCACTGTTCTCGCCAGGTGAGAGAATCTTTTTATCGCAGGAGCGCAGCGACTGCCTTTGCGGAGCGCAGCGGAGCAAAGCCATTTCCCGCGGATGACATCCGTCCTGCGGGAAGGTCGTCACATTGTGGGGTGATGGGCTGCCTATACAAACTCCAAGATATCACCGAAAATAGACTGTGTACGTAAGTCCTGCCAATCCAGTTGAGGCGTCTGCGAGTTGTGGAGCTCGCAGCGCCAGGAGTTTACGTGCTGCGCCACCGCCACAAGGTGCGCGCGTTGGTAGCGCCCGGCGGAATGGAGAGTCTTGAGCTACTGTACTACCCGTGAGTCATTGGCGTGAGTGGAGGAAGCACTGCCACAACCCACCTGATAAAAATTTGAGTGGACTCTATGCGTGTTGTGGCTGAGTTCAATCAAGCATGCACCTGGATTCGGTAGCGAAGCTGATACGTCAGTGCGAATTTCCGCTTCGTCCATTGCGTTGTACGACATCAGCGCCTCCCTTCCGAGATTTTGAGCTCGCGATCATTTGGTGCTAGAAGTGTTCACTCGAGCAGATTGTGTTGATAAATTTGCTTCGGAGAATCACAATGGCCTGAAAGCTACTTTCTGCGGAAAGTGATGCCATTCAATTTTCTTCTGCGCTGGAGTTTGTCCGAAGAAATGGACTGAAGGACATATAACCGAGTATTAACAGTTAGTCACTGGGGCAGCGACAACAAGCGGACAGAGCTGCCGGCGACTTTGGATGCGAGTAGCAGTAACATCAGGCAGCAACACACCGAACACTAGGCACTGGGAAGAGTGAGGCCCAGAACTTCGTCCCTGTGGATCAAAACTGATTTGAAGTGTGGTGATGAATTTGGAGCCTTTATTTGAGTCTTGCGGATCCTCAGATCATATACCGGCCTACCTTCTTGCTCCAGGCGAGCCACAGCCTGTATCCCTGCGTCAGTCCCACATCAGACGGCTTCCTTGTACACGGCCTTGGGGTCCTTTGCTAAGCCTTGATCTGCATGTTGTTTGAGAGTTTCTTGAGTTTGCAGCCTTGCTGAGAGCGGAGTAAACGCTAGACGGGATGATTCCTCTTTCTGCAGCCTCAGCATCAGTCGTATCGACCGTCCGCAGCGAGCGCTTAATAGGGAGAGACTGAGACCAGGGTTCAGCGTTAATCGAAGTGTCCTGGGCTTGGTTGATATCGTTGGTCTCGTCCAAACCGTGTCGATGCTGACCAGGACGGCAACGACGACTGGGACGTAGTCCCCCATGGTTTCTGTCGGTGGACTTGAGTTCTTCCGTTCGCAAGACAATTTGGGAACTGAAAAGGTAGAGTGAGGCATCCGGTGGGCGAATTCGAATCCCCCGCGGAGTGAAGTTACGGATGGGTTGTCAGTCGGGTGTGCGAAAGCGCTACAAATTGTTTTGCGGCATAGTTGATCTGTAGTATTTGGAAGCAGGAAGGTTTTCCGCATAAACTAAGTCGATCAAGGGCTAGACTCAGTCACTGTTGCGATGGTCTTGATTTCGGCTCCGTTACGAAGTTACTGGTGGCATCATACAGTTCCGTAATTTTCGAGGCATAACGCAAAATGTAGCATCAATCAGTTCCTCGGTGTAGCAGAGTGCGAATAACTTCCAACCCCAAGGGCTTGTTGACAGCGATAAGGTGTGTTCAAATCATCTCGAGTACGATCTTTCATTATTTGAAAGTTAAATGAAGCAAGCGTAGGAACTTGAAATTGAACGTGTGTATTGAGTTTGAGTTATCAACACGAGCTGAAGGCTCACACATGCATATGTATAGTGCCGTGAAAGCGACGAGCTTGGCCATCAAAAACGGCAATGCAACTGAGCTGCATGCGCCAGAAAGTCTTGCTTGAGCCGGGTCGTTCACGTGCACTTCGCGGTCGATTTGTTTGGTTCTTGTTGGTACTGGCCGATGGCGTGGATGGCCAATTAGAAGACGGTCTTCATCGGAGGCTCAGTAGGGTACCCGGGCTGCTTCGTCTCGTAAGCCGGGGGCTGCGTGGTCTTGACTGGGTCCTTAAGTCCGCCCGGGTACTTGGAAGGCGCCTTGGTAGATTCGTATCCCTTGGGAGCCTTGGGGTCTTCCGCCGGGGCCTGGGTGGACTCGTATCCCTTAGGAACCTTAGGGTCTTCGATTGGCGCCTCCGTGGACTCGTATCCCTTGGGAGCCTTAGGGTCGACTACCGGTGCCTCCGTGGATTCGTATTCCTTCAGGCTCTTAGGGTCCTTGGCCGACACCTCGGTAGATTCGTGGGGGGGGTACCCCTTCGGTGCCTCCGTGGATTTGTCAGAGGGGTATCCCTTCGGAGCCTTGGGGTCTTCAATTGGCGCCTCAGTGGATTCGTACCCCTTCGGAGCTTCAGTAGATTCTTGAGGAGGGTACTCCTTCGGGCCCTTGGGGTCCTCAGCTGGGGCCGCGGTAGATTCGTGAGGGGGGTATCCCTTGGGAGGGTCAACGTGGTAGTCACCAGCGATCTTCTTGCCGTACTTGTCGCCGGTCTTGAGCTCCTTGTCGCCGCCTTCCGTGGAGGACGTGGCATAGTCCGTCGTGGTGCTGCCCTCAGTCGTTTCGTCCGAGCCGTTCGAGCTGTCCGAGCCCTCAGTGGTGCCATAGTCCTTGCCTTCCTTGGTGTAGCTGCCCTCTTCTTCCGATCCCGAGGCGCTAGTGCTGGTGCTGGTGCTGGTGCTGTAGTCGGTGGTCGTCTTGCTGCCGTCAGTCTTCGAGGCAGACCCGCAGTCTTCCTCGGACGTGCTGCCCTGAGTCACAGCTGACCCCGTCGAGCTAGTTCCGTAGTCGCCCGTCGACTGGCTGCCCTCCGATGCACTGGTTGACTCGTAGGCGCTGGTGCTACTGGTGGTCCCATAGCCATAGTCAATCACTGTCTTCCCACCCTCAGTGTTGCCACTTCCCGACGAGCCGGTGCTGTAGTCCACCGTCGTCTGCTCGCCCTCCGAAGCGCTGCTCGTGTACGTGGCGCTTCCGGTGCTTCCCTCCGTGCTGGTTGATGCGGACGAGTAGACAGCGCTTCCGGTGCCGTAGTCCGTGGTGGTTTGGCTGCCTTCCGTACTGGCGACGTAGGTGGCGCTTCCAGTGCTGTAGTACACATCGGTTTGACTGGCTTCGCCTCCCTCCGTCGTGGTCGATCCAGTCGTGTACGTGGCACTTCCGGTGGCGTAGCCTTCCGTGGTTTGGCTCCCTTCCGTCGACTCACCAGACCAGTAGGTCGCACTACCGGTGCTGTAGTCCACGGTCGTTTGGCCTTCTTCCGTTTGGTAGGTCGCACTTCCAGTGCTGTAGTCCACAGCAGTTTGGCTTCCCTCGGTCGACTCGGTCGTGTAGGTCGCGCTTCCCGTGGAGTACGTTCCGTAGTCGACGTCTCCTTCAGTAGAGGTAGTCGACTCAGTCGTGTAGGCAGCACTTCCGGTGCTAGCAGAGCCGTAGGTCACGGTAGTCTCTTCGCCCTCTGTGGCCTCCTCAGAGGTCAACTGCGTGGAGTAGCTCACGTCCCCCTCCGTGCTACCAGTGGTGGTGGTGGTGGCGCTGTAGTAGTCGCCAGAGCTCTCGGCTGTACCGTAATCCACGCTCGAGTCGTCCTGAGAAGGGTAGGTGGCGTCTCCATAGCCTCCGGTCACAGTACCCGTCGGCGCAGGCGTCGGGGTGGTGTCGTAGTCGTAGTCGTAGTCTCCACCCTCCGTCGACTCGGTAGTGTAGGTGCTGGGCGCGGGTGTAGAATAGCCACCACCGGTCGTAGCTTCATCCGGGCCAACCTCGCACTTGACAGTGAGGGGCATATCCGCAGTCGTGTCGTAGCCTACTTGCTGGCCGGATGCAGTGTACCCGGCTTCAGTGGTAGCATCATAATCCGTCGTGGGGAACGCACAGCCCCACGTGTCTCCCGTCACGTAGACGCACTCGGCGTCCACGGGGGCCACGCAGTCGGTTCCGTTGAAGGACGGCAGGTACGGGTAGCAGTCGCCGACGGCAACGTCGCCCGCCTGGGGGCACGTCTGGCCCACAGGCGCCGCGCCGTCACCGGAGCACGGGAAGCCGCGAGCCTCGGGCAGCGCGTAGGTGGCGTCGTACTGCACGGAGATCGGGACGTCGGCAGACGCGAGTCCCGCCGCGATGATGCCGGCCAGAGCTGCAGCAGCAGCAGGTTTTCTCGAGGCCATCAGTCTGTCGCTCAGTCGGTCGATCGGTTGATCGAGAGGAGGAGGTCGATGTCACCGCGAACGGGGAAGTTGAGGAATGAGAGCGTTCGACTTGAGAGACGAACAAGAGGCTCGTGAGAGGAGCCCCTGGGCTTCACCGCTGTTTGGTTCGGTCCAAAAGCGTCGTCTTTGGGGATCCGTCGATAGTAGAAACCCAGTCAGTAAGTACCCCTTGAGGCTTTCTCGAAACGGATGATAAATGATACCGACGGCTTGGCGGGGCGCGGAGCCTGTCGTGGGTGGCCACGCATACGACCGGGGCTTTCTTGTTGCAGCGACTAGCGCAAGGGTGGGTGGGTGGTGTAAGGGGAGATGGAAATTGGCGGAAGATGATAGTTTGGTTCTGCTCTTGGGCTCAGCTAGATCATGGAAAGTAGTTTCCATTTTAGCGCCTTGTGTTCCGCTTTCCATGGAGGAGACGCTATTCACCTGTGGGTGTCTGTCTTTAGGTTCCGGTGCGAGACAGATGCCAAATACGATACCCGCCGCTGCTTTGATATGGTTGCAATGACTCAATAGAATTGAGTCAATACGCTTACAGAAACCTAAATCACTCGCGGTTTCAGTCGACCAAAGCGGTGGTAACGAACGAAATGAGATGGCTACACTAGCATACTACAGTACGGAGACGGGGGGATAGCAATTTTGATTGAAACGGCAGATTCGACTGGCAAGTACTCCATGGATGTATGATAGTCCCCATCGTGCACGAACACAGCAACAGATTTCGTTAGCGTTTGGACGAACGCTGGTGATGTACTTCGCGTCAAAATTCAGCTACGTAAACTAGGTTACAAATGTATTCCTCAAGCCAATCTATCTAAATGCTGCGGTGAGTGCTAGTGTGGATACTACAAAGTCGGCGACGAATCGCTGAGCCAGCGTCGCTGGAGATGGTGACGAACATCGCCACCAGAACGGCAACCACAAGGAAACTCGTCGACGACATTCTGGAGCTCATTTCCACTGGGCTGGGTACCCCTTGTCGAAGTTTCGCTGCCATCTCAACTGCTTCATTATCAGCCACCGCTGCTGCGCCGTTGACTTGAGCAGCCGCCACTCCATCGACCGCCTCCTCATTCTCCTCAACCGGAATGTTCTCGTCCTCTGCTTCACCTTCTTCCTCAGAGTGCGAGTCGTTTTCCCAGTCTTCTACGGCGTCTGGAGCTTCGGGGCCTTCCTCTTCTTCGGGGTACAGCTTCCAGCCATCACCCACAGTCTCCTCCACCTCCGTTGCATTCTCGTACGGGACCCAGTGTAGCTGGCCACACGAGTTCGTGTCGTTCATCCAGCCTTCAAGTGAGACGTTGGCGAACTCGAGGAAGCTCTCGAACGACCGCACCGTACCGAAGCCGTACTTCTCAAGCTCGAAAGTATCAACTGGTCCCTTGAACGGGATCCCGAGGCGGAGACGCACGCGGTTTCGAGCCATTTCCGTGTCCAGCTCCTTTTTCACGGGGTCCATAGGTGACGCCCAAAAGCTCGCCGGCTTTTTCGAGTAGTTATGGTACAAAACATTGCCCAATCTACTCGGCGAGTACAAGTCGTAGCCGTACGTCCAGTAGTTGGCAGACCGCATGAACTCCTCGCCGTCCCAGAGCCACGGCGTGTGCGAGTCGATCAGCACCCTGCGCTCTGCGTGGCACTTGCTGAACGAGTAGCCACCGCCCCAGAGCGCGGCCATCTGCGGCATCCACGAGTCTTTGATCAAACTGGCGCCTACGATACGCGTCAAACCATTGCCACCACGGATAGTAGTGCACAGGTGAGGAATTGAATTGATGATTGCGTTGTCCCCGTTCTCCTTGACCATACCGTCGTGTGTGTGGTGCGGGTACATGGTCATGACCGCCATCTCGTTGTCGATCGACGCCCAGTCCGCCAGGATGTTCTCGTCCCAGCGGTTCGTGAAGACGCTGTGGCCGTCCACTTGCAGACAAAACTCTTGGTCGCCCACCAACTTCTGCTGCAGGTGACGAGCCGTCGTGCATCCAGCCGACTTAGCCGCGTCGCGAGTGTCCACGGTGATCTGAGCCTTGTACCGGCACTCTTGGTCTTCAGGCCACTCCTCCGCCGCCATTTTGCAGTACTCGTCGAGACAAGTTGGGTCTCCCTCGTAGATTTGCTCCACGATGCCGAATTGGAGCCGTTCCGGGTGCGTTGCTCGCTTCAGCGCTGTGAACAGGGTCTTGCCACACCGATACCCGTCTCGAAAGACCGACGAGCCCACGAACATGTCGAAGGAGTCGGGGATTTGAGCTGGTGGCGGTCGCAAGTCGCTTTCCGACGGATCCAGCGGAATGTGCTGCACAGTCGGGTTCAGCTTGGCCGACTTGGCCCAGTTGTCCCAATGGATGGTCGACTCGTTGACTCCAGCTTCTGCGTCGACTTTGATTTCGCCGCTGGCATCGCCGTCCGCGGTTGCAAGTGCCAGGAGCGCAGCAGCACAAGTCACGAGTCGCAGCATGATCCTGGGAGGTTGAGTCGGTGGGTGCGTAAGTTAGAGACTGAGGCAAGTAGCGCCTGCCTTTCACGACCGCTCGAGTGGGGTCGCGTACGTCAGCGTTCGTCTGTCGGGAGAAGTTCAGAGGAAGTATACTATAAGCACGCTAGCATTCATGGAAATCTTAACAAAACAGTGTCACGTTTGAGCCTTTGTGCTCGTTGCTGCCCACCTGCTCTTGTTGGAGGCACCTCAACCTCCATGTGCTATCCCAGAAGGTTTCTATTGATAATGCATCCATGTTTCCATGATGGAAAGAGGACAGGATAAATCCTCAACCTGGAGTTTGAAACGAAACGAATAAAAGCAAGGGAACACGTCATTTCGTCCATGCCCCCCCACACACACACGCAATGCCATGGTAGTGTAACCATCTCATATCGTTCGTTACTCCAGGTCGATTGTCGATGTCGATTGAAACCGCTGATAGATTTCGAGAAACTCTCCTCTAAGCGTATAGAGGCGTGGCAAACGCTATCAAAGCATCGTGCTCGCTACTTGTCCAGTGTACCGGAACTCGAAGGCTGAGGTGCCTCGGAAAAATAGTTTCCATTGACTAGCAAGCAAACCCATCGATTACCCCCCCCCCCTCCTCTCCAACTCCACCAGTACATAGCTACACCCTCACGCTAGTCGCTGCAACAGGAAAGCCCCGGTCGTATGCGTGGCCACCCACGACAGGCTCCGCGCCCCGCCAAGCCGTCGGTATCATTTATCATCCGTTTCGAGAAAGCCTCAAGGGGTACTTACTGACTGGGTTTCTACTATCGACGGATCCCCAAAGACGACGCTTTTGGACCGAACCAAACAGCGGTGAAGCCCAGGGGCTCCTCTCACGAGCCTCTTGTTCGTCTCTCAAGTCGAACGCTCTCATTCCTCAACTTCCCCGTTCGCGGTGACATCGACCTCCTCCTCTCGATCAACCGATCGACCGACTGAGCGACAGACTGATGGCCTCGAGAAAACCTGCTGCTGCTGCAGCTCTGGCCGGCATCATCGCGGCGGGACTCGCGTCTGCCGACGTCCCGATCTCCGTGCAGTACGACGCCACCTACGCGCTGCCCGAGGCTCGCGGCTTCCCGTGCTCCGGTGACGGCGCGGCGCCTGTGGGCCAGACGTGCCCCCAGGCGGGCGACGTTGCCGTCGGCGACTGCTACCCGTACCTGCCGTCCTTCAACGGAACCGACTGCGTGGCCCCCGTGGACGCCGAGTGCGTCTACGTGACGGGAGACACGTGGGGCTGTGCGTTCCCCACGACGGATTATGATGCTACCACTGAAGCCGGGTACACTGCATCCGGCCAGCAAGTAGGCTACGACACGACTGCGGATATGCCCCTCACTGTCAAGTGCGAGGTTGGCCCGGATGAAGCTACGACCGGTGGTGGCTATTCTACACCCGCGCCCAGCACCTACACTACCGAGTCGACGGAGGGTGGAGACTACGACTACGACTACGACACCACCCCGACGCCTGCGCCGACGGGTACTGTGACCGGAGGCTATGGAGACGCCACCTACCCTTCTCAGGACGACTCGAGCGTGGATTACGGTACAGCCGAGAGCTCTGGCGACTACTACAGCGCCACCACCACCACCACTGGTAGCACGGAGGGGGACGTGAGCTACTCCACGCAGTTGACCTCTGAGGAGGCCACAGAGGGCGAAGAGACTACCGTGACCTACGGCTCTGCTAGCACCGGAAGTGCTGCCTACACGACTGAGTCGACTACCTCTACTGAAGGAGACGTCGACTACGGAACGTACTCCACGGGAAGCGCGACCTACACGACCGAGTCGACCGAGGGAAGCCAAACTGCTGTGGACTACAGCACTGGAAGTGCGACCTACCAAACGGAAGAAGGCCAAACGACCGTGGACTACAGCACCGGTAGTGCGACCTACTGGTCTGGTGAGTCGACGGAAGGGAGCCAAACCACGGAAGGCTACGCCACCGGAAGTGCCACGTACACGACTGGATCGACCACGACGGAGGGAGGCGAAGCCAGTCAAACCGATGTGTACTACAGCACTGGAAGCGCCACCTACGTCGCCAGTACGGAAGGCAGCCAAACCACCACGGACTACGGCACCGGAAGCGCTGTCTACTCGTCCGCATCAACCAGCACGGAGGGAAGCACCGGAAGCGCCACGTACACGAGCAGCGCTTCGGAGGGCGAGCAGACGACGGTGGACTACAGCACCGGCTCGTCGGGAAGTGGCAACACTGAGGGTGGGAAGACAGTGATTGACTATGGCTATGGGACCACCAGTAGCACCAGCGCCTACGAGTCAACCAGTGCATCGGAGGGCAGCCAGTCGACGGGCGACTACGGAACTAGCTCGACGGGGTCAGCTGTGACTCAGGGCAGCACGTCCGAGGAAGACTGCGGGTCTGCCTCGAAGACTGACGGCAGCAAGACGACCACCGACTACAGCACCAGCACCAGCACCAGCACTAGCGCCTCGGGATCGGAAGAAGAGGGCAGCTACACCAAGGAAGGCAAGGACTATGGCACCACTGAGGGCTCGGACAGCTCGAACGGCTCGGACGAAACGACTGAGGGCAGCACCACGACGGACTACGCCACGTCCTCCACGGAAGGCGGCGACAAGGAGCTCAAGACCGGCGACAAGTACGGCAAGAAGATCGCTGGTGACTACCACGTTGACCCTCCCAAGGGATACCCCCCTCACGAATCTACCGCGGCCCCAGCTGAGGACCCCAAGGGCCCGAAGGAGTACCCTCCTCAAGAATCTACTGAAGCTCCGAAGGGGTACGAATCCACTGAGGCGCCAATTGAAGACCCCAAGGCTCCGAAGGGATACCCCTCTGACAAATCCACGGAGGCACCGAAGGGGTACCCCCCTCACGAATCTACCGAGGTGTCGGCCAAGGACCCTAAGAGCCTGAAGGAATACGAATCCACGGAGGCACCGGTAGTCGACCCTAAGGCTCCCAAGGGATACGAGTCCACGGAGGCGCCAATCGAAGACCCTAAGGTTCCTAAGGGATACGAGTCCACCCAGGCCCCGGCGGAAGACCCCAAGGCTCCCAAGGGATACGAATCTACCAAGGCGCCTTCCAAGTACCCGGGCGGACTTAAGGACCCAGTCAAGACCACGCAGCCCCCGGCTTACGAGACGAAGCAGCCCGGGTACCCTACTGAGCCTCCGATGAAGACCGTCTTCTAATTGGCCATCCACGCCATCGGCCAGTACCAACAAGAACCAAACAAATCGACCGCGAAGTGCACGTGAACGACCCGGCTCAAGCAAGACTTTCTGGCGCATGCAGCTCAGTTGCCTTGCCGTTTTTGATGGCCAAGCTCGTCGCTTTCACGGCACTATACATATGCATGTGTGAGCCTTCAGCTCGTGTTGATAACTCAAACTCAATACACACGTTGATCTTTCTGCGAACCCTGAATCAGGATACAGTCTGTCCCGGCAAATCAAGAAAGGTCGGACCAATAGAAACTGCGAGGTTGCGAAGCTTGCAAAGGGCTTGACAGAAGTGCCAATGTACTGAATTACTCAATTAATGGAAAAGTAGCTTCCCTCGTCTTGTACCGTCGGCTCAGTTTTCAAGCAGAGGGCACCATTGAACTTCAATCTGAAGGGGGTCGGCGATATAATATCGCCGATATTCTTGTGTTTGTACTTGTACATGTAGTGAATGATTTGTCTTGTTCGCGGAGCATCGCGCCGCGTAGACTGCTGCCTGGGACGGTCATTTAGGGAGTTCTAATGTCCGTACTGCCCCATCGTTCAGGGCAAGGCACTGACGCCCCTGCCGCATGCCGTAACGACCGCATCTTGCTGCAGCAATAACTTATCTAAAGTTCATTTTGAGCCTTTCATTTTACTCCTGCTAACTAGCAACTTGCAGTTGCTTCCCGCTGGTGGACATGTTCCCTCCACTTTTAACTAGACTCAGTACATATTATCCAGAAAGCGCAAATCTCGACTGCATGGCTGTACTAGCTCTGCGAGGTACATTCGACATCGCTATTCTTGATATGCCGGGGAGATCTGTATGGATAAATATCGTGATGGTGCCGACACATATGATTTTATACTTAGCCAGTGTATCGATGACCGATTATTATCGAATGAGAAGGGCGATAGCTGGTATTTTATCCAATGATCAACGTGAGGGGTAGGTGTATGAGCTGCCGACACTCCTGCCGACGTATAATGTAGGCAGGGCTGCCGAGATATGTTATCCACATATAGTGAAGTTAAGTAATTAGGTGTTAAACACATATTTTGCACGGTGCCGACACTTCACTTGACTTTGTATTGCTTCTGTTTGCCTGTTCGAAGCGTTTTGTGTGGCGCTTTCACTTGCTCTACAAATTCAACCGAGTTTCTCAGCAACGCTATTTCCGAAGCAGCATTGTGTCATGTAGAAAGCTGTTTTGGGTGAGGCATTGTTGGTGACACTATGGCCACTGCCGCTAAGGTACCGCCGTCAATACATGTAAGTGACTCCGCAGCAGTTGAGAGTGGTACAAGAATTAGAAATATTCACTGTTATATACATTCTATTCGTGCAATACACTACAGCACTAAGCAACACCGCGCCTGTAGAAAGCGCCATCCCACCATGCAGCGGCGCCGGCACCAGCCGCGCCGCCAGTAGCAGCAGTACCCCCTCCGGGAGGAGCCCCCCCAAGCTCGACATCAGCGAGCGTGCCCTCCGCCGCACCCGGCGATCGACAACTCGCAGCCGCCGCGCTGCTGCTTCGGGTGCTGCTGGTTGTAATGGCGGTACTGGGACGAGGGCGGCTACTGCTGCGGGGGCGTGGTCCTGGGTTGGCTCTGCAGCTCCGCGTGCTGCTGCTGTTGCTGCCTGCAGCGTGACGAGTGGGTGGCCGCCAGGCGCAGGCTTCTTATCGGGCGTCCTCCCTCCTCGTCTTCCTTCTCCTCCTCCTCCCACTCCTCGCTGTTGCCCTCCGCCGACCTCCACGCACTTGGTGCGTCTATCTTCCGCCGTGCCCTTGGTGGTCGCAGACTTCGGGGCCTGCGGCTTGGAGGCCAGCGCCATGACGCGCGCCGTCCGAGCGGGTGCGAGCACTAGCCCGACGCGCCCGTGGCCGGGTACGAGCACCGCGCGTCCGTGTGTGAGATGGCCGTGCACGTGCCAGCGAGGGAGGACTGTTGTCCTTCGTACCCTTGGTCATCTCGCCGTCCTTCGTGCCCTTGGGCCCCCCGCCGTCCTCCGCGCTCTTGGTGGCTTCTCACCCCGGTTTCTGCTGTCTCTTGCCCGTCATGTCCTGTGTGTTCTGGGGCTCAGCCATCTTGGAGGTCCTGATCGCGCCCGTGCACGACCGCATGCCCCGCTCGCGAAGCCTGGAGGGGCGTGGAGTTTGTCACGGGGCAGCGACCTTGACCACGCAAACTGAAAATGCGAGAAGTGTTAATGAGTACAGTAGTTTAGACCAATCATTGAAATTCATCATTTCCACCAATGATAGATAGTGTCGGCAGGTGTAGGCCGGTGTCGGCACCGTCATGGTATGGTAGTATGTAGAGAAGCAGTGGGTTCCTGGAACCCTATTCCATCGCGAGCACGTGCTGCTGGTCTGCTCAGTGTCGAGCGGTGGTCTGCTCGACGCTCGCTGGAAAACGCCCCTTCAAGATTTCTCCCACCCTCGACACCCCCCCTTACGATTTTCGTATTCGCACCCTATTGTACCAAAACAATGGTACATCATTTATATCCTAGATACATCTCATGTGCTATCATTCCGGCACAACCAAAGTCAACTTGACGTCGTACAAGTTGCACGATGCAACCTCTTCACCAAGTAAGCTGCGAACAGCGATCGCCTTTTACGAAATGAAGCAACCGTGTTGCTTTAACTTGGTTAAACGACCGTGTTATTGTGCCTTTCAGAAACTTTGGCCAATCTGACCTCAAAAATGTGGTCTTAAGAAGGAGAGTGTAGGGTTAAACCTAGGATTTGCTGTTAGCCCTGCATCGGGTTACGGAAGTCCTACGTAGGAGCTCCGTCTTCATCTAAAGGGTACCTTTTTGGAAATAAGGACCGAATGGCCATGTTAAGCTGGCCATTCGTGCCTTCGTAGGACTAACGAGCCCTTCGTAGGACTAGATCACGTCAGTGTGCCTGACAGCATCTGTGGTAAATGCATAGTTTGGCCACACTCGTACAGGCGGAGACTCAGGCAGCACCGCAGCTAGGTCACCATGCCAGCGTGGAGCTACGTACGGGTACGTGTGCTACAGCCTGTAGTCTACAGGTATAACGGTACTGCACACGCTCATTTGTTGGCCTCCCTTCGCAAGCAATTCGCTCAGTTTACATTCAGTTATTGTTTATGCACGGTTTTACTGGCCTCGGTACTAACTTTTATGAGGTCTTACGTAGGAGCAAGACTCCTACGTAGGACCTCAAATCGGAGGGCGTTTTGGCAGAAAGGCACAATACCATAACTCGGTAGAAGCCATATCTCGATAGAGCGACCGTGTTGCCATAACTCGGTAGAAGTCGTGACTAGGTAGAGCGACTGTGTTGCCATAACTCGACACCCCCAACGATACCTCCTCTGTCCCCAACACTAGAACAAACCCAGAAAGCTCCATTTTTTTTTAGGTACATGAAAGCTGAACTTGAAAACTTCACGTAACACATATCTTGCTAGCTGGCGGAGTGTCTTCATTTCTCGCTAAGTATCCCAATGAGTTCCATCGCGCGGAGCAGCACCAGCCCGCCGACCTGTCTCGAGATTCAACCAAAACGCTGAAGTCACCACCGCGCAAAGTTACATGGAGCGAATCGTCACCGCTCGCGGCAGAAACTTCAGCTAAGAATCCTCCGACTCACTTCGAAGCCCCGACTAGCAGCTCCAGCCGCAGTGCTGGTGGGGGGCTTGAGTGAACCATGCGCGGACAATGGGCAACATCAGACAAAAACTCAAGCTTGTAGCAAGGAAATTCAGTTGGCAGGTTGCATGCACTTACTTACGCTTACCAGTTAAGATAATGTTTTCTAATGTGGATCTCTACTATATGTAGAGCCCGCTCGCGGGGTTCTAGAGCTTGTCGAGGCTTGGTTTTGTTGTCCGTGTACGCGGACTTTATGTGCTTGAGCTCCGTCCTGCAGTGGTGCATGCCGCATGTATGTGGATGCAACTCACCAACACACACTTGTCGACGACGTCGCGACATCCTCGTGACCCTCCACCCGAGCTATATGCTCGCGCACGAAGTCTTTGGTGGCCTGGCAGTATGGGTGCCGCGAAGTAGCCGACCGGCCAGGTCTTGGCTTGTTGCGGATGACTGGCCTGTGCGGCACGTTGTCTCCCCGCAAGGCGCTAATTGTCGGAACTCGCCAGTGATCTTGGGAGTGTGCGTGCATGAAGTGGTGGGCACCTCCGCCAACGTGCAGGCGGAGATTGCGGAGAACGAGACGTTGCAGCAGGAGAACAGGTAGGACTGACCAAACAGCAGCAAGAACTACATAGTGAACATGGCCAAGTGGCCTTACATAGCAAACAAATACATCAGTCTTCAATCTTCCTCGCCGAGCTCACTTCCACCTGCCAACAGGTTATGAGCCCAATTGGCTCCGACGACACCTCACAATGGCCAAGCCCCGCACGCAACGTTCACGACACCGACGTCCAAGGGCTGAACGTGGCTGCAGACCCGTTCGAGTTGTTCGAGGGGACGCGCTCCGACTCGGGCGCGTCCGACCCCCATGCAAGGGGCAGTCGGGGCTCCAGCGAGAGCTCCGAGCGACTTGACAGATTCGAAGGCCTGCTCGAGGGGATGGCCAAGCAGCAGGCCCAGTTCATGGCCAATCAAGTGAAGCTGCAGGAGCAGCTGCAGCGTCGCAGCGAGCCGTCGCGCACGACGCCGTACGAGAACCAGTACGGCGCGTCGAGCGCGTTCACGGACTTTATCAAGGCCAGAGACCGAAGGATGAGAGTAGACTCTCTCGACGAGTCGATGCTCTCGGTGGGACCGACAGCACCAACGCTCCCGGTGCCGACGCGTCCGGTGGAGCAGGCGACGAATGTGCAGCAGCCGCAGCAGGCGCCGCAGCAGCAGCCGTACTGGCCGTCGCCCTCGCCGGAGCAGTTCGTGCCGCCGACGAACTTCGGCATCAAAATCCCGAAGCCGCGGGACCTGGACTGGCCCGGATTCGGGAAGTTCTCGGGCAAGGAAGTCTACCCGGGACTGGGGGCGAACTTCAAATCGTGGGGACTGAGGTTCCTGAAGCGACTGGCTGCAGCACAGCAGATGAGCGGAGGAGACTGGCCGGAAGAGTTCCGCATCCTCGCTCTCAATGGTAAGCTCGATGGCACAGCGCTTGTGTACTTCGAGAGGATGGTGCCGCTCTGGACGACCGAATCGCCCACGTTGGAACACGTGATGAACAGGATGCTCGTGCCGTACATGACGACAATCACGGCGAGCAAGGGATTGCAGCTGATGACTGCGGAGAAGTCGAAGAGCAGGACGTGGGCCGAGCACTACCAGTACTTGACGTACGTGGCTGAGCGCTCCGGCTGCTCGGACCTACACGTGCTGCAGAGTCTGTGCAAGTCGGCGCCGCCGTACTTGCAGAGTGCGATGTTGACGCGGCTGAACTCGCAGCGCGCCGACTACTTACAGCAGGCCACGGAGTTGGTGGCGTTCGCGATTGAGTTCGATGCGAACATGCTCAAGCAGGAGATCGGGCGCGGGAACCGCGGACGAGGCGGTCGATTTCACGGTGGCGGCCGTGGAGATCAAGGTGGACGAGGATCCGTTGCCCGTGTTGACGGCACGGAGACTCGCTCCTGCTACAATTGTGGTGAAGCCGGGCACCTAGCTAGAGACTGCCCAGGTAAAGAAAACAGCGGTGCTAAGACGTCGACTCGAGTCACGCTGGCCGTGGGAACCGGCACGAACGGGGACTCGTGCACGTGGATCTTGGACGTACCGAGCGGCTAACGGTGATCTTATACACGTAGTCAAGAAGGGCACGGTGGTGCTGCGGACGATCGTGGACAGCAATGAGGTCATCGTGGACTTGTCCGACGTCTACTATACCGGATAACATCATCAGCTACGGCATCTTGGAGGAGAAGGGCGTGTACCTGGAGCCCCACGGTGGCAAGAGCTACACGGTGCAGGAGAACACTGGCATGCGGATCTTTGAGGTTTACAGGCGCAACAAGGTGCTGATGATCGGTGACCACGGAGACACGCGTCAACGCGGTGACGGAGGCAGTCAAGGCAGCGAGCGAATCGCTTGAGGATGCTGTGACGGAGTCGACGCTGCTGGAACTGCACAAGAGGCTGGGCCACATTGCGTACGATACAGTCGAGCGCATGGCCGACACGCCTGGATCAGGTATCCGGCTGACAAGCAGAGAGCGGCCCAACTGTTTGACCTGTGCACAAGGCAAGCACAGCAAGAACAATCAGTCCAAGAAGGACACGGGCGCGAACGCACCGATCGACAAGATTGGTGGCGTTATCGGCAGTGACATTAAGGGCCCCATGACCTCGAGGGACAGGCGCGGCAACAAGTACCTGATCAACTTCATCGACTACTCGACGAACTACGTGCGCGTCTTCCTCGCGAAGAACAAAGCGGATGCTACAAAGGAGTTTGAACACTTCTTAGTGTACTTTGAAAAGCGATTCAACTGCCGGATTCATGTGCTACGTACCGACGGGGGTAAGGAGTACGTGAACGTGGACCCGTTCTGCAAGGAAACAGGCGTCAGACGCCAGATTAGCGAGCGCGAGAATCAAGCATCGAATGGCAAAGCGGAAAGAATGCACCGCACCGTGCTGAACGTGGCACGTTGCATGCTGTTTGCGAGTGGTTTGCCGTTGTACTTCTGGGGAGACGCAGTAGAGTACGCTGCATTCGTGTTGAACAGGAGCTCGTGCAGCGCGAACCCCAAGCGCATGTCTCCGCTCGAGATGTTGACGGGCAAGGTGCCGAACTTGTCCGACATCGTCACGTTCGGGAGCCCGTGCACAGCCTACAGAGATCCTGGCAAGAAAGCGTGGAAGGCCAGAGCATAGGTTGGTATGATCGTGGGCAAAAATGACGAGACGAAGGGCTTCAAAGTGTACTTACCGAAGGACCGGATCGTAATCACCACCCAGCACATCAAGAACGTGGAGACGCTGGACAGCAAGCAGAACGCGCAGCTGCAGGCGCAGCTTGAGCGCGAGGTCCCCGAGCTGAAGAGAGCTGTTGAAGAACGCGAGCAGACCGCGGAACGGAAGGAGCCCGTCGCGGACACGTCGCATATCAGAGAGACGCCGAAGGTGCCCGAGAGCAGCGGCCCGGCGGTGAAGTCAAAGAAGAAGCGACCAAGGAAGAAGTCGAAGAAGAGCAGCAAGAAGAAGAGAACAGTTGCAGCAGAAGACGCTGCAGGAGTGGAAGGAGCTGGCGCTGATAAAGAGCAGCTACCAGCAGAAGAGGTGCAGCCCACGCGCATGCGCACGCGCTACATGGGCAAGAAGCACGTGTCCGTTGGCAGCGTGAGCGCGGTCATGCTCAAGGACCCGAAGAACTTCCGCGAGGCGATGAGGGACCCGCGCTCAGAGAAGTGGAAGCAAGCCATCAGAGAAGAGATCGAGGCGCTGGAGCAGAACGGCACGTGGAAGGTGGTGAAGAAGCCGGAGAACGCGAAGCTGCTGCACACCAAGTGGGTGTTCAAGCTGAAGACGCACGCGGATGGTGGCGCGTGGCGACGAGCAGGAGTATGGGGTCGACTATACGTACACCTTCTCTGCTGTGCTCGACATGGAGTCGGGCAAGATCATCTTGGTGGTGTCGCACATCTGGAAGGTTCCCGCGCGCCACGGAGACGTGCCCGGTGCGTACGTGAAAGCAAAGAAGGAGGAAGAGCTGGTCATCATGCTCGTCATCCCCACCGGAATGGAGTTCACGGAGGAGCAGCTCCGTGCGGTGGGCGTCAAGACCAAGTACGAACTGGCGTTGTTGCTCGAGAAAGGGCTCTACGGGCTCAAGCAGTCGGGCAGGCTGTGGAACCAGTTGCTGCATAGCATCTTGCTGTCGCTGGGATTCCGGCAGTGCTACTCGGACAGCTGCCTCTACGTCAAGATCGAGGAGGATGGATGACGCTCGTCGGCGTGTACGTGGACGACATCCTCGTGACGGCCACAAGCGTGGACAAGGTGGACAAGTTCTTCCAGGACATGCAGGTTGTGGAGCTGAAGGACTTAGGAGTCGTGTCGAAGTTCCTGGGTGTAGCCTTCAGCTACGACGAAGAGGACGGCTGGGCTCTCGACCTGGAGCAGGTGATCCAGGACATGTTAATGAAGTTTGGGTTGGACAAGACGGCCCCGGTCAGCACGCCGATCGGCGGCGAGCAAGACAGCGAGGCACCAGGTGAGTTATTGCCAAGTGGTGGTGCTGGCACCCGACGGTGCAGACGTTCCAGTCATTAGTGGGCAGCTTGCTCTGGGTCTCCAGGTGCACGCGGCCCGACACGTGCACCGTGCGACGAGGAACTCGCACGCACCGAGAGAGGCTGACTGGAGACTGGCGAAGCGGATCGCCACGTATCTCAAGGGCACCAAGAGCATCAAGTTCGTAATGAACGCGGACGATAACGCGATGGGCGAGGACGGCGTGCTGGTGGAGGCGTACAGCGACGCCGACTACGCGGCCGACAAGAAGGACAGGAAGTCCGTGAGTGGTGGCGTTGTGATGATGGCCGGCGCTGTGGTGGCGTGGGTGTGCAAGAAACAAGCGTGCGTCGCACTCTCGACGATGGAGTCGGAGTTTGTCGCGGCCTCGCACACCACTGCGCACATGCTCGGCGTCATCGAGTGTTTGAAAGAGATAGGGATCAAGGTGAGGATGCCGTCGCTGCTGCACGTCGACAATCAAGCAGCGATCGCCCAATTGGAAGGCGAGGACACCACGGGGCACGCGAAGCACATTGACACCCGCCACAAGTTTGTGAAGGACTTCGTGAAGAAGAAGGTGCTGCTGATCAACTACTGCGAGTCCAAGAAGATGCGTGCGGACGTCCTGACAAAGGTCCTCCCGGCGCCACGGCTCGCTGAGCTGCGTGGGCTTGTGATGCTCTCAGGTTGACCGCACGGGAAGGAGTGTCGGAACTCGCCAGTGATCTTGGGAGTGTGCGTGCATGAAGTGGTGGGCACCTCCGCCAACGTGCAGGCGGAGATTGCGGAGAACGAGACGTTGCAGCAGGAGAACAGGTAGGACTGACCAAACAGCAGCAAGAACTACATAGTGAACATGGCCAAGTGGCCTTACATAGCAAACAAATACATCAGTCTTCAATCTTCCTCACCGAGCTCACTTCCACCTGCCAACACTAATTCTTGGTGTCTCTGGTGTGCTGTGCCCCAGCGCATGGCAACGCAACTCACTCACTGTTCGCTGCAACGCAGGCGACGCACGGTTGGATGCAGATATCGCGGTGCTCCCTGGAGTTGCACAACGTGCGCTCTTCGTTGTGCCGGAATGATAGCACAGGCTTCTTAGAAATGTATCAAGGATAGAAATGATGTACCATGTGTTTGGTACAAAAGGGAGCGAATACGAAAATTGGGGGTGCCATTACCGCAGTTGAGGCGCGCCTGAGTGCGGGATATGGGGAGCACGAGGTTAAACCACCGCGTAAGCTCGAAAGAGCGCACAACACGGCTGCTGCAGCGATGGTAGTAGAAGAAGCAACGCTGTAGATAATTGGTTAAGTGGTGTGGTTCCTGTGCAACATAGTTGTAGATGGCGCCGAGACTTGTTGCTAGCTTAAGCGCCATCCTAGAGGAGATCGCTCCGCGCCATCCGCATGACTAGGCCAACCATCTTGCCCATTTTACGTACGAAATGATCGCGTGACCCGGTTTTTGGGGTTTACATTGTTTTTAAGCTCGAGTGCAGTAATAAACCAAAACCTATGACATGGGGTGTGTTTCTCTATATGCGAAATGCGGTAACGATTATTGTCGCTTTCAAGGATTTTGCGCACTCTATTCGTTTTCGAGCATCTCCAACGGTAGTGCAAAAGTCAAGGAATTGCACGATATTTGCACAATTGCAAAAAAATCATCCCCAACGGCGAAGTGATAGTGAATACGAAGTAGCTCTAAAGTAACAATTTGAAATTGATTGTGCACTACAGCTTGGTGGAAGTGAATAGAAGCCTGCTATTCACTTCGGCTAATCACGAATTGCAAGCGTTGAAACTCCCGGCGCCAGTGAACAGGCGCACTTAGAGCATCTCCAACTGTAGTGCAAATCGCAAAAGTGATAAGGCAAAGTGAATGGCCGATTAGCAACATTAACAAGACGAACACGCTTCAATTTTTTTGCAATAGTTCAGCTTCCCCAACGGTATTGCAAAATTGCGAAGTGAAAGCGGGTAGCCCTCCCTCCGCAATGGCCGATAAAGGGTAGCGTAGCTTAAGTTATCCGTGGCAAAGGCACCACAATAGGCAGCAATAGGCAACTATAGAGCACTTCAGGTCGATAACGGCCCGCCGTTGTTTGCAGCATGCATTTGGGACAACAAGTCATTTGCCCTACTTACTGTAGCAACTGCCGGTAAGCCCGGGAGCTTCTATTCATCCGGTATACCTATGAAACTAGTAGTATATGTATTGTGAGAGCGTTGTGTACCTCTTTCGGACGGGTGCACGCGCTGAAGGCGTCCATAAATGCGTATTCTCGCCTTGCACTTTGCGTGCAATAGCTGGCAGGTCGTAGTGAATAGCAGGCCGATGATCACTACGCCATCCGGGAATTGCACTATCGATTTCAACGTATTACTTCAGCACTACTTCTGAACCCCTATCACTTCCCCGTGGGGGATGATTTTTTTTCAATTTTGCAAATATCGTGCAATTCCTTGACTTTTGCACTACCGTTGGAGATGCTCTTACAAAGCAACCTGCGTTCGTGCTCGAGGTGCCTCCTAGCTGCAGTCTTCGAAACAGCGGATCTACTGTTTTCTCCTCCTCCATCAGCATCCATTCAGCGCCCAAGCTCCGCGGGCAAGAAAAAATCGAAGCAGCTTTAATTTGAAGAGCAAGTTGACAATCAACGATGCTCTCACAGCGGGAGCTTGCAAAAGCCACGTCAGCGCAAGTTGAAATTATGCAGCAGCAGCTTGAAGTTGCAAAGCAAAAGGTAAGTATTATGGAGGCTCAGCACCAAGCGTCAAAAGAGCAAGCGGAAATGGCGGTTATGTGCATTTCGACTGAAGGCCTGTCCGATGTAGGAAAAGAATATCTATTTATCAAGCAGCGTCAACTTCTCGATAAGCTCCGAAACGAATCTGAGAACAGCTACACCTTTTGCCGCCCATTCTCAGGTTAATCGCCGGCCAAATTTGGCGTGCCCATTTTTTGGGTACATAAAAAGTATCCAAACTCAGGAGTACCACTGTATTATCTCGATCAAAGTTGGCTAATCCCCAATCAAAACAGGGCAGTTCCTTGACTACATGTACTGACGCTCCATTCTTCATGTTTTCCATGCGGATCGCGGCGTTCACGAACTTGGAGGCATGCAGCTCCATCTTCTGCACCATGCACTGAGTGATGCGGGGCATCGAGTAATGGAACCTGCACCGGATCCGAGCACCTTGTGCCTACGAAGGATAAAATGAAGACTGAATTGATGGAGCGTTAGCTGCTCACTGCCTGAGCTCCTACCAACACTCACGGGTTCCTACCCGTTCCCATACAACGACCTGCTTTTCTCTGCTTCTCAGCTTTCGTCTCAACTGCCATGAGCAGGTCTCAGATATGCATTCCAACACGCCCTCCTCGAAGAGCACTCTTCGCCTATTGCACGCTTCCAACACCGGCCAGCAACAGCAACGCCTTGAGTCTCTTCTTGTCAAGAGGTTTAGTGAACGTGTCGGCAGGGTTCTGCTCACCCTTCACCTTGTGCAGCTCAATAGCTCCTTTCTGCACTTGCTCCCGCACATAGTGCCAACGTAGCTCAATGTGCCGCGTGCGGCAGCTGTAGGTCGGGCTTGTAGCCATCACGTGAGCTGCTTGGTTGTCCACTCCAATCCGTAGCCGGATAGTGTGATGAGGCAGGATCTCCTGCAAGATATTACTCTCTGCAACCGCCTCCATACTTGCTTCACAAGCCGCTACATACTCGGCCTCTGCCGTGGACAAGGCAATGATCGATTGTCGTCGTGACATCCACGCAATGGCACCGCCAGCTAGGGTAAACACAAACCCCGTAGTGCTCTTGCGTTGCTCAGGATCATTTGCCCAATCACTATCGCAATATCCTTCCAGCACCACTTCACTCGAAACTATCCGCCCTCTCGAGTAGGTGATCCCATAGTTGCGTGTGCCAGCTAGATATCTCAGCACCCGCTTCAAAGTGCCCACATGCTTTGTGGTCGGCTTTGCAACAAAGCGACTCAGCTGTCCTACCGCAAAAGCCAAATCCGGTCTCGTACCGGTGGCCAAGTACATGAGCATCCCGACTGCCTCACGGTAAGGGAAGCTTGTTTCCGCCACCACTTCATCACTGCTCGGCGCCAGACGCACATTCACTTCCATGGGATTCCCAACAGCATGAGCCTCACTGTAGCCAAACTTATTCAAAATCTCATTTGCGTACCTATCCTGTCGAATCGCAATCCGCTCCGTGGTCTGCTCGACCTCAACGCCCAAGTACTGCGCCAGCTGCCCTTGGTCCTTGATCCCATACGCTTCGTTCAGTTCCTTGAACAAGCGCTCCTTGTACGGCTCGTCGTTTGTCGCTACGAGAATATCGTCGACATAGACTAGCACGTACGCCATCGTCTCACCCTCGAAACGATAGTACAGACACGGCTCCGTCAGAGATCGCAGGTACCCGTGATCCAGAAACCACTGGTTCAGTTCCGTATTCCACTCGTGACCTGACTGCCGCAGTCCATACAATGCTTTCAGTACCACGTACACATGCCCATTCACTTTGCAGGGATAGCCATCGATCGATCGTAGGTACTGCCGAATAACTCAGACGAACATTCAAGTATGCGGTGTTTATATCTCCACCAAACACACTCAGTCCCAGGTCCGCTGCTATCGCCAGCAGCAGTCGGAACGACGACATCCTAGCAACGGGGGCGAACGTCTCACGAAAGTCAATCCCGGGTCGCTGGTAATTGCCCAGTGCAACAATGCGAGCCTTGAAGCGGATCACATATCCTTGGTGGTCCGTCTTCAAGTCATACACCCACATCGTATTCACCAGCAGTGCATCCTCAGGCATCTCTTCGCCAGAAATCTCCATGATAACACCTTTGGCTTTCAGCGCTGCAATCTCCTCCATTTCGCCCATCAGAAAGAACTCTCGCCACTTAGAACGCATCATCTCACGGTGGTTCCGAGGAATCTTCACATTACTTGCTCTTATGAGTCGTCCATTCTTGTACAGAGTACGCGAGGTATTGAGCGCAGCGTTCATCACATAGTCCTTCAAGTAGCTGGGACGGCGTCGCTCGTCGTACTCGCGAAGACCGGTGCGTGTCTTCTTCACATCTGTCTTTGCTGCATCTCGCTCGACGCGCACCTCTTCCGACGGAGTTTCGTCACGATGCGACCGCTTCCCGATATTCATCGGCAGGGTCGGTGGGAACATCACACTAGCGTCAAAAATCTCGCCAGCTGCTGCATTACCACTCGAATGCACCCTCTTGACCGATTCAGTCTCACCGAAGTCCTCTTGCAGTGACTGAGTGCGCGACAGGTTTGCATCTCCCTCGTGCTCGTCCGGAGCCAAGACACTTGCCACAGTAACATCATCACCATTGAGAATTTCATCATCTTCCTCTTCCTCAGCATCACTATGCGCTCCTCCTACCAAGCGATGACCCACACGTTCCGGTTACCGACACGGCGTCGTCACCCCCAGCAGCACCGTCGTCTTCTTCAGCAGCGTCCTCACCGCTGTCAGTGACTTTCTCATCATCGTTCGCAGGAGTCGCAAGCGTACGAATTCCACACTTGCCTCCATCGAGGCGCTCGCCAGTGCCGCCAGTCTCGTCAGTACCACCACTGTTGTCCTGCTGCTCTTCATTCACTGACTCTCCATCAACAACAGCTTGGCTGTCATCTCCCGCCTCGAGAATAGCATTCTCGTCAACGGCGTCCTCAAAAGTAGACTGCATTTCACCGCTTTGCTCTAGTCCCGCCACTACTGTACTCGCCCATGTAGCCATGATCGTATTTGAAGCCTGATCGGCATCACCAATATCACTTCCGTCGGTGTCCCTGGCGTCGGTCACCGTGCGTCTGACGAAGTGCAGCGACTCCAAGTCCTCGTCATCCACGTCCACTTCGTAGCGATCACGGTACATGACGTCCTCAGCCACTCTCAGATCAGGAACAAACTTAGCAGTGTGCTCGTCAGGAAAATAGACCTTACATCCGATCACGTCTTCTGCATACCCGAGCACAAAGCCAATTCTAGCGTTATTGTGGTGCTTCTTCCGCTGAGGAGACACCGGCACGTGTACATAAGCCAGTGCACCAAACTTCCGGATATGGTGCACGTCCGGCTGAATCCCAAACATCATCTCGTAAGGAACACCGCCTGTGCCCTTATTGCACACACGATTCTTCACGTACACCGCGTTTCGCAGTGCTTCCGGCCATAGGCTCCGGGGAAAGCCTGCTTGCGCCATCGTCGCCTTCGCCATGCCCTCCAGCGACTGATGAGCCCGCTCGCACAAGTTGAGTTGTGAGGATTTAGGGCCGACTTTCACATGTTCAATCCCTTGCGAATCGTACCAGGTTGTCATTTCATCGTTGAAAAACTCCCCTCCCTTATCCGTCAGCACTTGCTGCACTTTGTACAACGCACCCCTGACATTACGACCCGCCTGCCGCTCGGCGCAGAGAACATACTCCTTCACGAGTCTGTTGATCACAGGACTTTGCTTGTCACTAAGCAGGTGTACCGTGACGAAGCGAGAGTATCCGTCCATAATGATCAGCACGGCCTCATACCGTGTACCGCAGTCTTTACTGGGGATTAGGAGGTCAGCGTACACAACCTGGTTCGGCTCCTTGGTTGCCCGATCCAAATTCTTCCTGTACGTCTTCCTCTTCTGTTTGCCCAGATGACATGCATAGCATGTGTCCTCTTTCCGCTGAGTCAGCAGCATCCCACGTACTAGACCTTTGTCCACCATGGTCTTCAAATATTGTGGACAAGTGTGGCACATACGCTCGTGCCAAACTGCCAGTGAGCCGACTCCCTCTGCAGCAGTGTAGTTGCACGGAGCACGATCCTGAGGGGTGAATTGCTCTCGCTCACCAGGGCCAATCACCTGGAACCCCCAAGTAGATTCCTGCGGAGTAGCGACAGCCACTGCTCTCCCCTCTCTTAAGACGACGAAGCTTCGAGTTGCAATGTCATAGTCAAACTCAAATCCTTGAGCGTACGCCAGTCCCGGTGAAAACAGTCCATACTCAGCTCCAGGGATGAAATGCACATCGTCCAGAAACATTACAACTTGTTCATCACCGACTTCTGTGGCCAATGCCACCGTTCCTACGCCCGCAATGCGTGAAGCAATAGTTGGAGTCACTCCACGGACAGCCCGTATGCCCGCCGTGTCAGCCGTGAACGATACAAAGTCCGAGCGATTCCCGTCACATGTGAGTTTGACGCAGTGTCGAAGAACCACCACCCACTGCCGTAGTCCGCAGCACCTTGATCACTGTCCTCCAGTAGTACCTCAGTACCTTCTGCACCGTGATCACTAAGTAGTTCCTCCTCACCATGTGGTTCTACGTGCTCGTCATGTGCATTTCGTAGCTCCTCGTGCATCTCTGGCTGCTCCTCCGCCACTAACCCCGTCACAACACCAGGATCCGCATCATCCTGCGTCGGACTCGATGAAACACCACTAGGGTACAATTTCCCCGCGGTTTTCGCTTCTGCTCAAAGTCATCAGCACCGCTTTGCTTCTTTGTCCTCTCCGGGCAATTTGCCTTGAGATGTTTATCACTCCCGCAGACATAACATATCCGCGTCTTCTTTGACCCATTAGTCCTGCTCTGCTCACCTCCTTTGCCACTTCCATCTCGTTGCCCACCATGGCCCCCTTGCTTCTCACTACGCTTGCCTCTGAACTCTTTCTGTCGAGCGGCCGCAGCAAGAATCAATTCTCGAACCCGCTTCGGTGTGTACACGCTCGGGTCCGCGCTGTAGTAAATGGAAGACTTCAACCGCAAACTCAATCTGGTCCGGCAAACTCTCAAGCAGCATATCCACCATTGTATTATCGGCAATAACATGCTGCAAGTCCGCCAACTCGGTCTTGAGGTTGAACATCCTGCAAAGATGGAGGTTCGTGTCTCCTCCAGGCGTCAGCTTCATGCTCCACATCTCGTTCTCCACGCGACGAATCGTGTAGGCCTTGATGGCTTCATTCTGCTTGCCCTCGTACAAGTTGCAGAGCTCCGCCGACATCTCCGATCCGGTCTCCTTGTCGCGTATCTGCTGAAGAACGTCCGGCGGCACGGACGTACCCACCATGCGCATGATCTTGAGCTGCGCTGCGTCGAAAGCCTCCAGCCTCTCCGCACTCGCAGTCGCGAGCATCGCCCTGGTCAGGTCTCCGACCGCGATCTCCTTGAGCTTGTTCTCCTTGAACACGTTCATCATGGCCCACTTGTACGTCTGCCAATCCTTGCCGCTCCAGTTCTTCGGCACCCCTTCGTTCGTGTACTTCAGGGGCTTCGACATCCCCGAGTAGCTGCCGCCGGCAGCGTGCTTTGGGCTCATAACCCTAATGGAACCTGCACCGGATCCGAGCACCTTGTGCCTACGAAGGATAAAATGAAGACTGAATTGATGGAGCGTTAGCTGCTCACTGGCTGAGCTCCTACCAACACTCACGGGTTCCTACCCGTTCCCATACAACGACCTGCTTTTCTCTGCTTCTCAGCTTTCGTCTCAACTGCCATGAGCAGGTCTCAGATATGCATTCCAACATCGAGACGTGAGCAACGCGCTCAAGAAGACGCATGCGCGCTTCCGTCTTTGAGATCTGGAGACCGCCACCGATCTGCGTCATGGGCGCGGACATCTCGCCCCTCGCCAGCGCGAGGTTCTGCTACACTGTACATGTAGATGTTGGCTTGAGTGAACTGAAACAGTTCTCAATCGGGGATGCACGTGGGGCTGTGGGGCCGCAGGTGGCGAGAGATGGCCGTCTCGGAGAGGCTCACTCCGAAGTACTCGTACGCCATAGCCCGCAACGTGCCCAGCGTATACGATCAGCACTCGTTGAGCCAGAGCTCAAGGGCCGCCTTGATCTCCGCGTTCATCTTCATGGCCCGTCGGGGAAGGCGGTCGTCTCGGCCGTGGACCGCGCGAACCCGTTGTGCTGGGCGATGATGCGCCAATCGCTGCCGCTCTGGAAGGCGTCCAAGACGCGGCGGCGTTTTTCCGGGGTGTGGCGGGCGAAGGTTGCTTGAGTGGACATCTGTGGGGCTCAGGAAAGAATGAGGAATGAAAGCATGAAGCGAGCTTCCTTCCACGCGTCGGTAGGCCATTTCGCGCGCGCGCGAAAGCACTTGCGCAGCGCGCCTTTGAACGTCAGAATCTCGTCAATTTTAACTACATCGAATGGGGGATTAGCTAACTTTGATTGAGATAATACAGTGGTACTCCTGAGTTTGGATACTTTTTGTGTACCCAAAAAATGGTCACGCCAAATTTGGCCGGCGATTAACCTGAGAATGGGCGGCAAAAGGTGTAGAAGTATTTTGATACGTGCTCGATAAGGTCTGCCTTGAGCTGATAATGAGGAGTAGAATCCATAACTTGGCGGTACTTGCTTGTAAATGATTCCGGTACATCATCATTGGGTTTCAGCCTTTCACATCGGAACTGATGACGTGTGTAGCCTGCTTCGGAAGCTTCGTATGCAAATATGGATGGGGAAGGCCTCCTTTCGGTACATTGGTAATCGTCCACGATCATGTTATGTAGAATAACACAGCACTTTAACGTGCTCTTGATCTTGTCTAAAGACCAAGTGTGGGTTGGGCGAGCAACGATTGCAAACCGAGCGTGGAGCACCCCGAAAGCGCGCTCGACATCTTTTCTCAGAGCTTCCTGAACAGCCGAATAGCGTTTTTGCTGGACATTAATTGGCGACGAAATTGTTTTTACGAAGCAGCGCCAGTCAGGGTAGATACCATCGGCCAAATAGTAGAGAAAGTCGTATCTGTGCCCATTAACTTCGTACGAAAACTGAGGAGCGTTTTCATCAATGTACTCGCTAATTAGCGGCGACGCATCTAAAACATTTAGATCGTTGTTGCTGCCTGGCATGCCCACAAACGCATGCCAAATGTGCAAATCGGATGTGGCCACGGCTTCCAACACCACAGTAGCGTCTTTGGACGCACCTTGAAAAGCACCACGCCACGAACTTGGGCAGTTTTTCCAGCTCCATTTCATACAATCGATTGAACCGATCATACCAGGGAACCCACGAGCTGCGTTGATCTCTAAAATGCGCATCATATCTTCCTGAGATGCTAAACGATGGTGGTACGGACCGTAAACAGCAATGATGTTGGCTATGAATTTATCCTCCGACTCGATCACAGTGCTCTCCCCAATAGAGAAGAAGTCGTCAAGCAAATCAGCTGAACATCCGTAGGCAAGCTTGCGAATAGCGGCACCAACTTTAATGACAGGATGCACTCCATACTTGCCAGTACAATCCTTGCGCCACGTAAAATATTCATCACACTCTCCGAACTTGTCCACTATACTGAGAAAAAGGGCCTTGCTCATACGAAATCGCCTACGAAATTGCTCCTTTGTATATGTTGCCCGCGTCGATATGTACTGCTTGTGAAACCGATTGTAGGCGAGGACGTGGTCGCGGTTAAGGTTGGCGCTCCTTCCAGGCCCCGAGCCGCCGTGTTTCTTCTTTCGCGATCGTCGCTTGCGCAGAAAGCGACTCGTTATGACCACGGAGCAAAGGGCCTTCGCGCTGATCGAGCTCATTGTCCCTGCGATGGTTTAAATCGGGTTATGTTCTGGCTCGAATCGATTTGCACTATCAATACACCGTTGGAGATCTTTGCAACTATTGCAAGATTAGATGTCTCGTCGTTGTAGCTACCAGCTTGCAATTCGACTTTCACTTTACCTATCACTTTTGCAATTTGCACTACCGTTGGAGATGCTCTTATAACTCGTCTTCGCGGTGTCACAAATCGTTGTGCATTGCGGATAAATCGTTGCTCAAAGCACGAATTAGCTGTCATGGCCACAAGTTGCATCGTCAAATTGCTGGTGTAAGCCAAAGAAACGCCTCGCGGGTGGGGAGATTGAATTGTGTTGGCCGCTGTGTCCAAGAAACGCTTTAGTACTTGACGCTTCTAGACTAGAGATATTTCCATAGTACGGTTCATAGCGCAGGACTTCCCTGTTGCTGCATACAAACGCTGCTTTGAAAAGCTAGCTAGCACGCAACTTGCAGTTTAGCGAGTTGCGAAAACGAATGGCGGATGGTTCAACCGCCATTCGTTGTTTCCATCGATAGCTCGTTGCGCTTTCTGGTAATTCGTCCTTCAAATCACTGAACGATGATCCCGCGGTAAGTCGTCCTCTAAATCGTCAAAATATAAGTCGTCTCCGCCAAAATGCATGAAACGCACAATACCCTCCCTAGTACTTTGCAGCACCCAGATACTTCTCGTCCCTTCAACTTTTCTAAGGCGTTCCGGCCGCTCGTCCTTATTCGACGTGCTTGTCCTACTTAACGTGGCGCTGGTCTCGCCGTTGCCTGTGCAGCGAAGCAGCTCGCCGCCAAACACGTCGCTTAGCACTTTCGGTAGAGTGTACTTGACGTACCGCCACCGGAGGACGGAGGTCACCGCTTGCAGCGACACCCAGCTCGTTCCCGCGAAGCACACGATGTCCTCATTGTCCGCAGTGAACAGGAACACAGTCTCAAAGAGCCGAAGGATCAAGCAGAAGTGCGCTTGGAGGTGACGGATCCATTCTCGCCGTTGATACGAACTAATATCCGATACCGAAACGGTTATGCGTAACCGTGGTGCATCATGAAGCACTCCAAGACGTTTCGCGCGGAGGCGCACCCGTTAAGTAACGGGTGGGGTGCTTCAAGATGCACCCGTTAAACACCTTGCGTAATGTATTCCTCAAACGTATCTAAATACTGCGGTGTGTTCTGCCGTGCATGGTTCCGCAAACTCGTCGACGGATGGCTCGTGAGCCTGCGTCAGTGGAGATCGTGACAAACACGGCCGCCACAACGACAACCCCAACGAAAGTCGACGACGACATTCCAGAGCTCTTTGCCACTGGACTGGGCGCGCTTTGTCGAAGTTTCACCGCCATGAGAGCCGCGTGGCGGTCATCAACCGCAACTTCATCACCCGCCTCCTCGTTCAACTCCTCCTCAACATTCTCCTCGTCCTCATCTCCTTCTGCCTCGGGGTCCCCTTCTTCTTCTCCTTCCGGGTTCAGCTTCCAGCCACCGCCAACGGTCTCCTCCACTTCTGTCGGATCCTCATACGGAACCCAGTGCAGCTGACCGCAAGAGTTCGTGTCGTTCATCCAGCCTTCAAGTGAGACGTTGGCGAACTCGAGGAAGCTCTCGAACGACCGCACCGTACCGAAGCCGTACTTCTCAAGCTCGAAAGTATCAACTGGCCCCTTGAACGGGATCCCGAGGCGAAGACGCACACGGTTCTCGGCCATCTCCGTGTCTCGCTCCTTCTTCTCAGGATCGATGGGCGCCGCCCAGACGCTCTCCGGCTTTTTCGAGTAGTTATGGTACAGCACGTTGCCCAACCGACTCGGCGAGTACAAGTCGTAGCCGTACGTCCAGTAGTTGGCAGACCGCATGAACTCCTCGCCGTCCCAGAGCCACGGCGTGTGCGAGTCGATCAGCACCCTGCGCTCTGCGTGGCACTTGCTGAACGAGTAGCCACCGCCCCAGAGCGCGGCCATCTGCGGCTTCCACGAGTCCTTGATCAAACTGGCGCCGACAATGCGTGGCAGACCATTGCCACCCCGAATAGTGGTGCACAGGTGCGGGATCGAGTTGGTAATAGTGTTGTCGCCCTCCTCGTTGATCATGTAGGTGTGCGTGTGGTGCGGGTACATGGTCATGACCGCCATCTCGTTGTCGATCGACGCCCAGTCCGCCAGGATGTTCTCGTCCCAGCGGTTCGTGAAGACGCTGTGGCCGTCCACTTGCAGACAAAACTCTTGGTCCCCCACCAACTTCTGCTGCAGGTGACGAGCCGTCGTGCATCCAGCCGACTCGGCCGCGTCGCGAGTGTCCACGGTGATCTGAGCCTTGTACCGACACTCTTGGTCTTCAGGCCACTCCTCCGCCGCCATTTTGCAGTACTCGTCGAGACAAGTTGGGTCTCCCTCGTAGATTTGCTCCAGGATGCCGAATTGGAGCCGTTCCGGGTGCGTTGCTCGCTTCAGCGCTGTGAACAGGGTCTTGCCACACCGATACCCGTCTCGAAAGACCGACGAGCCCACGAACATGTCGAAGGAGTCGGGGATTTGAGCTGGTGGCGGTCGCAAGTCGCTTTCCGACGGATCCAGCGGAATGTGCTGCACAGTCGGGTTCAGCTTGGCCGACTTGGCCCAGTTGTCCCATTCGACCGTTGACTCGCTGGCTTCCCCTTCGCCTTCGACTTGGCTCTTGGCATCGCGTGCAAGTGCGAGGAGTAGTGCAGTGAAAGTCACGAGTCGCAGCATGATCTTGGAAATCGAGTCGGTGGCGCAAATTGAAGACTGAGAGGCCTCCGGTCGCGAGGTGCTTATGCGGATGGATCCCTTTCGCCTTTCACGACTGCTCGGGTGGGTCGCGTACGTCAGACGCGTTCATGTTTCGGTTTTAATTTGAAACGGTGGAAAAACGCTGGAGAAGTCCGGAAATGAGCCCTTTTGGCTGGAAGCACGTGAACAGCGTGCAATGGTGTGCACCCATGCATAAGGCCTTGCGTGATTTTATAGAAATTAGGACACGGTGGCGAGAAATATTTCCGGCTTTGATAGAAAAATGAGATCCACGTGTTGGGAGTTTTCTACGCCTTGAAACTCATAATATTTGTTATGAATATGTTCCTGGCCAACGTCGAGAATAAACGCGTTAAGCCCGCTATGGGAAAGTTAAGGCCACCACGCGGATTGCAGCGGTGAGGATCGTCATCATCATCAGGTACTGCAGATATTTTTCCAATAGACACTGGTACTTAGCTTACTCAGTTTTGTAAGAGGAAAAAAGAAGATTGCTGTGTATTGATCGCTCTTCGTTTGCAGGCTCGGCTTCATCGAGCCTTTTTTTTATTATTGGAGCCGAACAGTTCCGAATCTACCTACGAACTCCCTGTAGCCAGCCACAATGTATTTCTCCGAAGGCTTGTCGACAACCCTCTTCATGCCCTCAGAGATCTTTTCGGGAGTATATCTTCAGCCGTACCACGTCGAGCCGCTTCGTCGTAGATCCCTACGTTCCTCACCCATTGTTTCTCCACATCCATCAGTATATTTCCGCTTTGGGCCAACTCGGTCAGACACGTAAACATCGACACCGAGTTCATCTCGAACCCCACAACGAAAATAACTTATTAGCGATGTACAGAAGAGGTAAGAAATACTGTGTACTTGCAACATATTGAATTACCACCACGCTTCTGAGTTTCTAGTCGTGACTGAGGTGGTGGGCTCTCGATACGCAGCTTCGTCGGATGGCGCGAGACTTGCTGTCGTTCGAGAGCGTCACGAAGAGAGCGACCAGAACGACGCCAAGCAGTCCCCAGGCTGACATATTGGACGAGCCTGGCTTGGGAGACTGGATCGAGCCCTTCCTCAGCTGTACCACGTCGCCAATCCCAGCACCGTTCTTCTCGTGAGCACTGAGTGCCCGTTGCCTGAACACGTCCTCAGCTTCGTCCTCGAACATCTCGCGTGCCACGTGCTTGGCCAGCCGTGGACTCTCGTTGTAGTCGTCCCATTGCGACGGAACGTGCTGCTGCGGAGTTGGGTACCGGTCAACCGGAGCAGGGGCGTCTCCAGGACGCATCCTCCAGCCGCCGCCCACAATCACCTCCACTTCCGAGGCGTTAGCGTACGGCACCCAGTGCAGCTGTCCGCACGAGTTGGTCTCGTTCATCATGCCTTCGAAACTCATGTTGGCGAACCTCATGTACTGCTCGAAGGAGCGCGCAGTACCGAACTTGTACTTGTTGAGCTCGTAGCCGTCCACTGGGCCCTTGAAGTCGATTCCTACTCGAAGACGCACTCGGTTGTGGGTCATATCCATCTCCAGCGCCTTCTTGGCGGGATCGTACGGAGATTCCCAGAAGCTGGCGGGTTTCTTGGAGTAATTGTGGTACAAGACGTTGCCGATCCGACTGGGTGAGTACAGATCGTAGCCGTGCGTCCAATAGTCCGCCGAGCGCAGGAACTCCTCTCCGTCCCAAAGCCACGGAGTGTGGGAATCCACAGGCACATTCCGCTCTGCGTGGCACTTGCTGAAGGACAGACCCCCACCCCACAATGCGGACATTTGGGGGATCTTGGCGTTGCGCTTGATGCTGGCTCCGACGATCCGGGTCAAGCCATTGCCGCCCTTGATGGTGGTGCAGAGGTGGGGGATCCAATCCGGCGCGTTGTTGTCTCCGTTCTCCTTGATAAAGTCGTGCAGGTCGTGCGGATACACCGTGAGCACGGCCATCTCGTTGTCGATGCCCTTCCACTCGTCCAGCATGATCTCGTCCCAGCCGTTGGTGAAGATGCTGTGGCCGTCCACTTGGAGACAGAACTCCTCGTCCCCGATCATCTTCTGCTGCTGGTGGCGCGCGGTAGTGCAGCCCGATGCTTCACCCGCCGGTCGGGGGGTCACCTGGATCCGATCCTTGTAGCGGCACTCGGGGTAGTCCGGCCACTCGTCCAGAGCCATCTTGCAGTACTCGTCCACGCAGGTAGGGTCCCCCTCCACCAACTGCTCTAGGATGCCGAACCGGAGTCGCTCCGGGTAGACCGCGCGCTTCAGCGCAGTGAACAGCGTCTTGCCACAGCGGTGGCCGTCTCGGAAGACTGAAGATCCAATGTGGATCTCGAAGGACGTCGGGATCTTGGCCGGGGGAGGGCGCAGACTCTGGTCGTATGGATCCAACGGCACGTGCTGCACCGTCGGGTCCAACGTCAGGAACGTGGTGGTGCCCAGTACATTGATCACGGGGGCGTCGTCGCCGTAGGAGTTCACACCCAACAGCGCAACCAGCCCGAGAGACAGCAAGTTTTTCATCGTCGGGGAGCAACTGGCTACGTATGCGTGGGCGGTTGAAAGTCGGGGAATGACCGTGACCCTGCGTGGAAATCCTAGCGGCGCCTCCTCCAAAGGACAGGCGAACGGATATGAACGGACGCTGGCGATCGATCCTTCCTTCAAGCGGACCAGCGGGCGTTCTTTAGGGAACGGCCTTTGGTCCGTTCGACCGTAGAGCTCAGATGCTGGGGCTTTGGGTAGGGCTCCACATGTGACTTCGGGCGCGTGATACGTCCAGAATTTTTTCGCTGTTAGACGCGTGTTAGAGGAGTTCAGGCCAATAAATGCTACATGTACGCGCCTGTCCTGCTGCGTGCAACATGGACACAAAGACTTGTTGATCGTAGCCCGGCGACATATCGTAGAGTCTATCGAGAACGCATAGTAAGATCTTGTTAGTCTAGTTTTCATGGTATCTGGGCTTTCAGGTTCCGTAGAATCGGCAACATGTGGCTGCGGCTAAATCGATGGATTTCACCCCTGTTAGAAGAGTCAAATGCGCTTGACTACGCTTTGGATACGTCACCAAGCTTCTGTAGTTGACAGATTGCGTCCAGAAAGGTCCTAAGACGACTTAGTCCCGTGTTTGTGGTGCCATCGGACTGGCCAAGCTCTTATGGGGTTGTTCGAAGTTGGCGTCCTTCACCGAAGCCGAAACCTGTACCTGCAAATCTCACGACCGCGAAGGAGTAACAACATGGGAGACAGTAATTCACCCCTCGCTGGGCTCGAAGTCTTTGATTAGTGCCAAAAACTAAAACAAACAAACAAAAACCTATCTGGCAATGGAAGCAGCACCGAAGCAGAGCTTACTACTTCGGAAGTTTTTGTTACCAACGTAGCTTTACTCATGAAGTCATTATGTGCATTCGCATCTCCAATTCGTCGCCATAGAATTCTATTGGTTCGCTTCACTGATCGGATTCCACTCGGGGATGGAGGCCGTGGAAGCTGTTCCCTGCCAAGGGCCCAGAACTTCGTCCTTACTCCACGGGATCAACGGCTGAATCTGCGTTTGCGCTTTGCGAGGCGGAGAAGCGGCCGGATTCCTCCCCAACGAGCTGTGGTGAAGTTGCTGGTACCTTCTTTTCGTCGGACTGCTACGCTTCGTGCTTGAACCGATAAAGTTGAACTGGTTCGTGGCCATCGCTAGGAGTTGCGGGCTTAGAGGAGCTTGGGGCGCAGGGGCGACTTTGGCCTTCGGCGACCCCAGCCACTCCATGCTGCCCGCATCCACAGTCGCGACTACGTGAGCAAATACACGGCGCTTTTGCTTGTTCGAGGACGGACTGGGGCTTGAGTTGCTACTGCTAGTGGCGATGGGAGGCAACTCAACGCCTAGTTGCCGCTCAAGCATCTGTTTCACGGGGCTCGTGGCGTTTGATACCGAGCACGAATTCGGGTAGATCGCGGAGATCCGAACTTGATACAGACGAAGCTTTTCCAGCAGGAAGAGAAGCACTTCGTGTGCATCGGATGACGACAATTCGTCCAACGCTGGGCGTTGTGCTAAGACTCGTCGGCCGAATGCCTCCATAGTCGTCGTGCTTGGAGCCTGCTGAATCAAATCTTCGACGCGCTTATTGACTTCGACGGCGTGTGCTGGGTTCACTTCTGGTTCACCCAGGCCGTCACGCTTGCAGAGTCGTTGAGCTTCAGCTGCTTCGTCCAGTGAGCGGTAGAGGAATTGGATGACTTCGTCTTGCTGCGCCAAAATGAACTGACGCTCTCGCTGGAACACACGGAGCCACTCAAGCGCGCGCTGCAACTGCGCTTCAAGCTCAACGCGTTTCTGCATCTCCGCCTCAAGAGCTCCGTGTGTTGTTGATGCGTCCATGCTTTCGTCAGTCGTGGCGTCCTTAACCCCAGTACCTCCAGCACCAACGGGGCTACTAAGCTCAAGTTGAAGTGCTGTAGCGCCTTCGTCAGCCTTTGGATGCTGCAGCTTGGCCAGGATCTTTTGGTAGTAGCGGTTCTTCTTGGCCATCAACTGTTCGTTGGCTTCTAGCACCGTGTTCTTGGCTCGTAAGGTGGCCGCCTCCTTCTGTGCCGCGTCGAGTTTCTCCAAGAGACGCTCCGTCTCGCGACTCTGGAACGCTAGCTCCTGCGTGAAGTGCTCGTTCTCCAGCAACGTTCGCTGTGTCGTCGACACTACCTGGTCGTTCGTCCGCAGCATTAACTCCGCCTTGGCAGCCTGCATCCTCCCCATCAGCTCCTGCTTGGTGCGTGCCTGCTCCACTAGATTGCTCCGCTCTAGATCCTGCATTTGCGTCTGGAACGCTGCTCGCTGGGCGTCCAACTGCGTCTCGAGCGCGTGTGTGTGGGCCTCCAACTCGCGCTTAGCGACTGCGAACGCGTGCACCTGCCGCAGTTCCTCCTTCAGAGCCGCGGCTTCTTCCTGGGACCTCTCCTGCCCAATGACTCGATCACTCCTCTCCACCTCCAGTCGCTCTTGCGCCTCGGCCGCGACCTTCTCCGTCTCCGCCTGGGAGTCACTCAGCGCCCTCTCGAGCTCGGCAATGCGCGCCATGTGCTCGTCCGTCTTGTCGTGGAAGTAGTGGAACATCTCGCTCTGCTCGTGGGTCTGCTTGGCCAACGTCTGCTTGAGGAACGCCACCTCCTCCTTCAGCGAGCGGTTCGCGGCGTCCTGCGACGTCAGGTGCTCGTTCACCAGCATCATGTCGAACGCCAGCTTGGCGTCCGTGTGGCCGATGGCGTCCAGCACCGCTTGGGACAGGATCGAGTTCGTCAGCGGCGCCACGCCCCCATTATCCCCGGCTTCGCCTGCATTGACCGCACCCTTAGCAGTGGCCTCCATTCAGCTAGTTCGTGCTCCTCCTGTTCGTGGTGCCAATGCTAATAATGCTGTAGAGGGATGGAGGGGGTCATGGCGGACAAGTTCCCCCCCCCCCTCTATTCTTGGTCTCAGTCGGGACTTGGTCTGCGTCCTCAGTATTTGCCGAGACCTGGCAACGACGACCAGCAGCACTCACCTCGATGAAGAACCCGTGTGTCCCTAGGTGAACGGGGCGGGTCGGTGCCCTACCGACCGGTCGATCCGCCTTTCCGAGTGATTTCTGCGTTTCTGCGGGTGGGGCTCTACTGGATCGGGCGGGGGCTGTCCCTTCGGGATCTCTATATCTCTGCAACGGCTCGACCGAACCAGCGACTCGTGCGTGGCAACCGTTAGTTCATTCCGGAATCGGCCAAGGGCATCGCAAGCATGTCGACAACGTCCAAGCGGTCGGTCGCAGCTCTACTGCTGCTTGGGGGCTCTGTGGCTGCTGAGCTGAACGTCACGGTGCAACACGACGCCACGTACGCGATGGATCTGACGCGGGGACCGGTATGCTCGGGTGTGGGCGATCTACCGACTGGGGCTGCGTGTCCGCTCCAGGGCGACGTCGCCATCGCCGACTGCCACGACCGGTTAGCGACGTTTAACGGCACCGACTGCGTGGCTCGTGCGAACGCCGTGTGTGTCATCGATGCTGAATCCAAGTGGGGCTGCGTCTTCCCAGTTGATGGCGATGATGAAGAAGAAGAGGATTCGACCAGTACGGTGATCGTTTCAAGCGAGTTTGCGTCGGAGGAATCGCCCTGGGGGGACCTCCCGTGGAGAGCGCCACCACAAGTGATTTTGGAGGAGGATAGACCCAAGGACGAAGAGGTTTTGCAGAGAAGCGCTCTGCTGCAGGTTAAGTAAATTGAAACATGTACGATATTTTAGGTTGCACTCAGTCTTTGTATGGATTCATTTATTATAATTGTCTGTGTGTCTTCAAGCCTTTTTAAGGCTTAAAAGCTGTGCGGCACCGCTTAGCTGTGGCTGCAGGTAGTGCGTCTTACCTTTTGACCCGAGAATGGCCACGCGCTCTTGAGTTTCATCTCAAAGTTGACGTCACTGGTCGGCACCTTGGCATTCCCAAAGTCGGCCGAGTTGAGTGCCGTCCTCGCCGCAGTAGTAAGCTGTTCCCACATGATAAGAGGTTGAAAGTCGCCGCTGCCATCGGTTGTGGTCAGGTACGGATCTCCACACTCGACCGAGAGCTCGTGTGAAAGTTTGGGCGTCGTGCCATCCGAGATGCCGGAAGTTGCAGGCGCCTGTGTCGAGTACTCCCAGTCTGCAGTGGAGAGTGAAAGGCCCAGAATCTTTGGGGTGTTTGAATCGGGGTTATCAATCCACACGACGGCACTAGCCCAGTCGTGGCGGCGCGTGGGGTAGTCGTTCCAGAATCCTTTGGGGAAGTACCAGGCGTACAGGATGGCGAACCTGGTGTTGTACCAGGCAGCTCGGCCGTACACTTGCGAGCCCAGGGGAGCGTTGGTACAGTCCGTACTGCCTTTGCCTTCTTCACTGAGGCCGCTACTCGTGTCTCCAGCAGAGTTCACAGCAGGGAAGGAAACACAGGCCCCACTTCCGATAGACAGACGCGGTTTGAACTTGACGGCAGCTTTCTGGGCGGATGTCGAAGCGGTTGGCTGGGCGAAGGGAGCGACTTTGTTGAGGTCGATGGAGCTGGCAGCAGCAACTTGGAGAAGCGTGACAATGGCGACGAAGAGGCTGGAGAACTTCATCTTTCTGGACTTGAGCGGTTGGTGAGAAATTGAGAAGTGCACTAGGCTGAAAGGATCCAAGAGCTACGCTCGTCGCACCATTAGATATGGATACGCTTAAATACCTAAAGATTTTGGAGTGGCATTTCAAGATGACCTAGCTGTTCGCCAGGTCACAGGATTCGTAAATTTTTGCACGAATTAAGATGTGCATGATGAAAAACCCATTAGTTTAGTATCTCGAGCGTTTGGGACGCCACAAGAAGTAAGCGTAAATTACTCGCTGCTGTTGTGCTGCGTCTTGGGCAGACGGAGTCCACCCGAGAACGAGTTTTTCGAGACCGCCACGTACAAAACTGCAACGGCAATCACGAGGTAGATCGGCAGCGGTGAAGTCGGTAGTTCAGCGCCCACGCTGTTAGTCACACTTTGCCGGAGTCGCCCTTCAGTTTCTTGGCCACTTTGCTGCGTGCTCTCTTCGGCTCCAATACTTTGAGGTAGAGCTCCATAAAGCTTCCACCCTCCACCCACAATCTCCTCTACCTCTGTAGCGTTAGTGTACGGCACCCAGTGCCTCTGCTCGCACGATTCTTCATCTTTCTTGTCCTCCTCGAACGTCACACCGGAGAACTCCAAATACTGCTTGAACGACCGGACGTTGCCGAAGCTGTACTTGTCCAACTCAACGGTGCTGACCCGCCCCTCGAACGGCTGACCCATCAACACCTTAAACCGATTAATCCCCATCTCTTCCTCGCGGTCCTTAAGTTTTTGGTCCACTGGGATCCCTTCGAACCGCGCTGGAACGGAGGTATAGTTGTGGTAGACCACCGACCCAAGCTTACTGGGTGAGTACATGTCGTACCCATGCGTCCACAGCCTCGACGCGCGCAGGAACTCCTCGCCGTCAAAGACCCACAGCGTGTGTGAATCCACCGGCACCCTCTTCTCGGCGTGGCACTTGTTGTACGAGAAACCCGCGCCCCACAGAGCCTCGAGCTGCGGGATCTTGGACTTGCCGATCATACTGGCGCCGACGGTCCTCACCAGTCCATTCGCCCCCCTCGTGGTGGTGCACAAATGCGGCATGTCCAGGTTCTTGGTGGGCACGTTGTCGCCATTGTCCGCCACAAAGTTGTGGATGTGGTGGATGTACGTCGTCATGACGGCCATCTCGTTGCCGATACCCGTCCACTCTTGGAGCAAATTTTGGTCCCACCCATTCGTGAAGATGCTGTGGCCGTCCAGTTGCAGACAAAACTCCTCGTCGCGGATCAAATTCTGCTGCTGGTGTCTCGCTAGCGTCGGGCCCCTGGAATCGTACGCCGAGCGCTCGTCGACGCGAATTTGGCCCCGGTAGCGGCACTCGCCCCACTCTTTTTGAGCCAGGATACAATACTCGTCCACACATTTTTGGTCCGATGGGTACACTTGGTCCACCACCCCGAAGATGATATTCTGCGGGTTTGAGGCCCGCGTGAAGCCAGTGAAGATGGTCGTGGCACAGCGGTAGCCGTCTCGGAAGACCGAGAGCCCAACGAAGAGCTTGGCGTCGTCCGGCACGCGCGGCGGCGGCGGCCGCAGATGACGCAGCGCCGGGTCCAGCGGAATGTGCTGCACGCTCGGGTCCAGCTTCACGGAGCGGTTGGTGTCCACGATGCCCATGGTGGACTCGAAGCCGCTAGAGGCCATGGCGAGCGGCAGCAGCAAGAGCACAGCGACGAGGAAGAGCGGCGTGCGCATGATGACGCGCGTGAGGCAGCTATTTTGGGGGCACTCTTTTTTTGTTTGGCTTTTCTATTGGATACAAATTGGTCACAGAAGTGAATGTAGCTCTAATGTTACTTGAGCGGCTTCCATCGACAAGCGACAGACAACGACTTACAAAGCCGGCACGCTGAATAGTATCCTCCTATATTAAGCTTCCGCCGATATTAAAACCCGGCAGAGTTTTGGTTGGACGAAAAAAAAATCAGTTGCACAAAACTCAGAAAATATCCATGTCCAAAGTGTCGGCCAAGATAACATTCAAGGCAATGGACCGATCCAGCGGTCCGATCGGTGGATGAAGGCATGCAGACGCGAACGGGGGCGCCGGAGAGCCGCGCAGGCGGCCGGGAGCGCTGGAATCGGCGCGGTAGCGTGCGTGGAGGCAAAAGGAGCAAAGAAGATATCAGAGGAGGGGATCGAACCCTCGATCTCGAGCGTGTGAAGCTCGCGTCCTAACCACTAGACGACACTGACACGTTCGACTACTCACAACACAAAAACAACACAAAAGTCACCCTACACGCTCCTACACACAACACACAAGCACACGCGCTTGCGCTTGCGCCACGCCTACACATACTCCTCGCTCGCCAAACCGCCCTGCCGCACCCGCGCATTCGACCGCATCGACTACCAAAGCATCACCCCTGACCGCCGCCGGGCTACGCCGCCGCCTCGTGTCCTGGTGTCCTGTGAGCTCGGTTTGACCTGCAGGACACCGAGGACGCTGTGGTGGCTTGTGCGCATGGCCGACAACGCACCGGACGCCCACTTGCGAGAACTACGAAGACAGCCGCAACCGGGCTCGAAGCCCAGCCAGGCGGGCCTCCAAAGTGTCGGCCAAGATAACATTCAAGGCAATGGACCGATCCAGCGGTCCGATCGGTGGATGAAGGCATGCAGACGCGAACGGGGGCGACGGAGAGCCGCGCAGGCGGCCGGGAGCGCTGGAATCGGCGCGGTAGCGTGCGTGGAGGCAAAAGGAGTAAAGAAGATATCAGAGGAGGGGATCGAACCCTCGATCTCGAGCGTGTGAAGCTCGCGTCCTAACCACTAGACGACACTGACACGTTCGACTACTCACAACACAAAAACAACACAAAATTCACCCTACACGCTCCTACACACAACACACAAGCACACACGCTTGCGCTTGCGCCACGCCAACACATACTCCTCGCTCGCCAAACCGCCCTGCCGCACCCGCGCATTCGACCGCATCGACTACCAAAGCATCACCCCTGACCGCCGCCGGGCTACGCCGCCGCCTCGTGTCCTGGTGTCCTGTGAGCTCGGTTTGACCTGCAGGACACCGAGGACGCTGTGGTGGCTTGTGCGCATGGCCGACAACGCACCGGACGCCCACTTGCGAGAACCACGAAGACAGCCGCAACCGGGCTCGAAGCCCAGCCAGGCGGGCCTCCAAAGTGTCGGCCAAGATAACATTCAAGGCAATGGACCGATCCAGCGGTCCGATCGGTGGATGAAGGCATGCAGACGCGAACGGGGGCGACGGAGAGCCGCGCAGGCGGCCGGGAGCGCTGGAATCGGCGCGGTAGCGTGCGTGGAGGCAAAAGGAGCAAAGAAGATATCAGAGGAGGGGATCGAACCCTCGATCTCGAGCGTGTGAAGCTCGCGTCCTAACCACTAGACGACACTGACACGTTCGACTACTCACAACACAAAAACAACACAAAATTCACCCTACACGCTCCTACACACAACACACAAGCACACACGCTTGCGCTTGCGCCACGCCTACACATACTCCTCGCTCGCCAAACCGCCCTGCCGCACCCGCGCATTCGACCGCATCGACTACCAAAGCATCACCCCTGACCGCCGCCGGGCTACGCCGCCGCCTCGTGTCCTGGTGTCCTGTGAGCTCGGTTTGACCTGCAGGACACCGAGGACGCTGTGGTGGCTTGTGCGCATGGCCGACAACGCACCGGACGCCCACTTGCGAGAACCACGAAGACAGCCGCAACCGGGCTCGAAGCCCAGCCAGGCGGGCCTCCAAAGTGTCGGCCAAGATAACATTCAAGGCAATGGACCGATCCAGCGGTCCGATCGGTGGATGAAGGCATGCAGACGCGAACGGGGGCGACGGAGAGCCGCGCAGGCGGCCGGGAGCGCTGGAATCGGCGCGGTAGCGTGCGTGGAGGCAAAAGGAGCAAAGAAGATATCAGAGGAGGGGAGCGAACCCTCGATCTCGAGCGTGTGAAGCTCGCGTCCTAACCACTAGACGACACTGACACGTTCGACTACTCACAACACAAAAACAACACAAAATTCACCCTACACGCTCCTACACACAACACACAAGCACACACGCTTGCGCTTGCGCCACGCCAACACATACTCCTCGCTCGCCAAACCGCCCTGCCGCACCCGCGCATTCGACCGCATCGACTACCAAAGCATCACCCCTGACCGCCGCCGGGCTACGCCGCCGCCTCGTGTCCTGGTGTCCTGTGAGCTCGGTTTGACCTGCAGGACACCGAGGACGCTGTGGTGGCTTGTGCGCATGGCCGACAACGCACCGGACGCCCACTTGCGAGAACCACGAAGACAGCCGCAACCGGGCTCGAAGCCCAGCCAGGCGGGCCTCCAAAGTGTCGGCCAAGATAACATTCAAGGCAATGGACCGATCCAGCGGTCCGATCGGTGGATGAAGGCATGCAGACGCGAACGGGGGCGACGGAGAGCCGCGCAGGCGGCCGGGAGCGCTGGAATCGGCGCGGTAGCGTGCGTGGAGGCAAAAGGAGCAAAGAAGATATCAGAGGAGGGGATCGAACCCTCGATCTCGAGCGTGTGAAGCTCGCGTCCTAACCACTAGACGACACTGACACGTTCGACTACTCACAACACAAAAACAACACAAAATTCACCCTACACGCTCCTACACACAACACACAAGCACACACGCTTGCGCTTGCGCCACGCCAACACATACTCCTCGCTCGCCAAACCGCCCTGCCGCACCCGCGCATTCGACCGCATCGACTACCAAAGCATCACCCCTGACCGCCGCCGGGCTACGCCGCCGCCTCGTGTCCTGGTGTCCTGTGAGCTCGGTTTGACCTGCAGGACACCGAGGACGCTGTGGTGGCTTGTGCGCATGGCCGACAACGCACCGGACGCCCACTTGCGAGAACCACGAAGACAGCCGCAACCGGGCTCGAAGCCCAGCCAGGCGGGCCTCCAAAGTGTCGGCCAAGATAACATTCAAGGCAATGGACCGATCCAGCGGTCCGATCGGTGGATGAAGGCATGCAGACGCGAACGGGGGCGACGGAGAGCCGCGCAGGCGGCCGGGAGCGCTGGAATCGGCGCGGTAGCGTGCGTGGAGGCAAAAGGAGCAAAGAAGATATCAGAGGAGGGGATCGAACCCTCGATCTCGAGCGTGTGAAGCTCGCGTCCTAACCACTAGACGACACTGACACGTTCGACTACTCACAACACAAAAACAACACAAAATTCACCCTACACGCTCCTACACACAACACACAAGCACACACGCTTGCGCTTGCGCCACGCCTACACATACTCCTCGCTCGCCAAACCGCCCTGCCGCACCCGCGCATTCGACCGCATCGACTACCAAAGCATCACCCCTGACCGCCGCCGGGCTACGCCGCCGCCTCGTGTCCTGGTGTCCTGTGAGCTCGGTTTGACCTGCAGGACACCGAGGACGCTGTGGTGGCTTGTGCGCATGGCCGACAACGCACCGGACGCCCACTTGCGAGAACCACGAAGACAGCCGCAACCGGGCTCGAAGCCCAGCCAGGCGGGCCTCCAAAGTGTCGGCCAAGATAACATTCAAGGCAATGGACCGATCCAGCGGTCCGATCGGTGGATGAAGGCATGCAGACGCGAACGGGGGCGACGGAGAGCCGCGCAGGCGGCCGGGAGCGCTGGAATCGGCGCGGTAGCGTGCGTGGAGGCAAAAGGAGCAAAGAAGATATCAGAGGAGGGGATCGAACCCTCGATCTCGAGCGTGTGAAGCTCGCGTCCTAACCACTAGACGACACTGACACGTTCGACTACTCACAACACAAAAACAACACAAAATTCACCCTACACGCTCCTACACACAACACACAAGCACACACGCTTGCGCTTGCGCCACGCCTACACATACTCCTCGCTCGCCAAACCGCCCTGCCGCACCCGCGCATTCGACCGCATCGACTACCAAAGCATCACCCCTGACCGCCGCCGGGCTACGCCGCCGCCTCGTGTCCTGGTGTCCTGTGAGCTCGGTTTGACCTGCAGGACACCGAGGACGCTGTGGTGGCTTGTGCGCACGGCCGACAACGCACCGGACGCCCACTTGCGAGAACCACGAAGACAGCCGCAACCGGGCTCGAAGCCCAGCCAGGCGGGCCTCCAAAGTGTCGGCCAAGATAACATTCAAGGCAATGGACCGATCCAGCGGTCCGATCGGTGGATGAAGGCATGCAGACGCGAACGGGGGCGACGGAGAGCCGCGCAGGCGGCCGGGAGCGCTGGAATCGGCGCGGTAGCGTGCGTGGAGGCAAAAGGAGCAAAGAAGATATCAGAGGAGGGGATCGAACCCTCGATCTCGAGCGTGTGAAGCTCGCGTCCTAACCACTAGACGACACTGACACGTTCGACTACTCACAACACAAAAACAACACAAAATTCACCCTACACGCTCCTACACACAACACACAAGCACACACGCTTGCGCTTGCGCCACGCCTACACATACTCCTCGCTCGCCAAACCGCCCTGCCGCACCCGCGCATTCGACCGCATCGACTACCAAAGCATCACCCCTGACCACCGCCGGGCTACGCCGCCGCCTCGTGTCCTGGTGTCCTGTGAGCTCGGTTTGACCTGCAGGACACCGAGGACGCTGTGGTGGCTTGTGCGCACGGCCGACAACGCACCGGACGCCCACTTGCGAGAACCACGAAGACAGCCGCAACCGGGCTCGAAGCCCAGCCAGGCGGGCCTCCAAAGTGTCGGCCAAGATAACATTCAAGGCAATGGACCGATCCAGCGGTCCGATCGGTGGATGAAGGCATGCAGACGCGAACGGGGGCGACGGAGAGCCGCGCAGGCGGCCGGGAGCGCTGGAATCGGCGCGGTAGCGTGCGTGGAGGCAAAAGGAGCAAAGAAGATATCAGAGGAGGGGAGCGAACCCTCGATCTCGAGCGTGTGAAGCTCGCGTCCTAACCACTAGACGACACTGACACGTTCGACTACTCACAACACAAAAACAACACAAAATTCACCCTACACGCTCCTACACACAACACACAAGCACACACGCTTGCGCTTGCGCCACGCCTACACATACTCCTCACTCGCCAAACCGCCCTGCCGCACCCGCGCATTCGACCGCATCGACTACCAAAGCATCACCCCTGACCGCCGCCGGGCTACGCCGCCGCCTCGTGTCCTGGTGTCCTGTGAGCTCGGTTTGACCTGCAGGACACCGAGGACGCTGTGGTGGCTTGTGCGCATGACCGACAACGCACCGGACGCCCACTTGCGAGAACCACGAAGACAGCCGCAACCGGGCTCGAAGCCCAGCCAGGCGGGCCTCCAAAGTGTCGGCCAAGATAACATTCAAGGCAATGGACCGATCCAGCGGTCCGATCGGTGGATGAAGGCATGCAGACGCGAACGGGGGCGACGGAGAGCCGCGCAGGCGGCCGGGAGCGCTGGAATCGGCGCGGTAGCGTGCGTGGAGGCAAAAGGAGCAAAGAAGATATCAGAGGAGGGGATCGAACCCTCGATCTCGAGCGTGTGAAGCTCGCGTCCTAACCACTAGACGACACTGACACGTTCGACTACTCACAACACAAAAACAACACAAAATTCACCCTACACGCTCCTACACACAACACACAAGCACACACGCTTGCGCTTGCGCCACGCCTACACATACTCCTCGCTCGCCAAACCGCCCTGCCGCACCCGCGCATTCGACCGCATCGACTACCAAAGCATCACCCCTGACCGCCGCCGGGCTACGCCGCCGCCTCGTGTCCTGGTGTCCTGTGAGCTCGGTTTGACCTGCAGGACACCGAGGACGCTGTGGTGGCTTGTGCGCATGACCGACAACGCACCGGACGCCCACTTGCGAGAACCACGAAGACAGCCGCAACCGGGCTCGAAGCCCAGCCAGGCGGGCCTCCAAAGTGTCGGCCAAGATAACATTCAAGGCAATGGACCGATCCAGCGGTCCGATCGGTGGATGAAGGCATGCAGACGCGAACGGGGGCGACGGAGAGCCGCGCAGGCGGCCGGGAGCGCTGGAATCGGCGCGGTAGCGTGCGTGGAGGC